AAAAAACGCGCCTGTTCAAAAAGAGTTGATCAGAGTAACACGCGTCCGGGGCCGTAATTACGCCAAACACGGCACCTCGCGCGCTCGTGAAAACAATTATTTGACTAATATTTGGAAATTTTGGAGAAATCTTTGATTAGACGTCAGAATCAGATTGATTCTTCCACTCGGGAATGAAGACTTAGAGATTTTTGTGAAAAGAAAAAGAACAAAGAAGAATTCTTTTTTTTTCCAAGGACAAGGTAAGAAAGGTCGAAATAATAATAGTAATAGAGGGTAAAGTGAGCTGGAGTTCTCAGACTCGCCTGACAGCTGGCACGGACCCAAGGGTAATTGAATGAGCCGTTTTCAGAAAATCGCTATTTCATTATTTTATCATTGAATCAGGTCGTATTTGTACTTTAATTAAAAAAGTCGGTTAGTGAAAACAGTACTGTACTTTCAGCAGCTTGAGTCAGGTTCTGAAAGGCTTAAATGAAAAGCCGCGTAGCGGCTTTTTTCAAGACGAAGCCGCAAAGCGGCTTCGCCAGTATTTAATAACAAATTGAAATGGTAGTCTTGCGAAGCCGCTTTGCGGCTTCGTTTTGAAAAAAGCCGCTACGCGGCTTTTCTTTGAAGCTCTTAAGGGGGGGGTCGACGAGAATTTTTTCAGAGGTGATCGTAATTTCGCGTATACACATGGTCTGTGTATGAATCTTATATTTTTGGAATCCTCAGATCCTCCTGAATCTGTTGAGCCTAAAATTATTCGATAAAAATAAGATTTAGGGGGTGAAATTAAGAAAAATGTAAAAAAAATGACTATTTTTGGTGCATTTTCGCGAAAATGCCCCTACTTTGACGGCATTTTTGACAGATTATTTCTGGCCAAAATTTTTTCTACTTCTCGCCGGTTAATTTTTTCAACCCTTTTCTTTTTGCCAGTAAATTCAGATTTTGCCTATCTGATCAGGTTTTCCCGCATTTTTGGTCACGGAAATCCCGATTCTCGTCGACCCCCTCCTTAAGAATCTGACTTTTGCTTTTTTCAATTTTATCAGTCAATCGATCAAGGGAGCTTCTGTCAAAAAGTGACGACTTTTTTACGTCAGTGTCTGTTCATCCCTTATTTTCATTTTGACACGACTTGGGCTCAATCAACGAGAAGGGATTTATGAAGCGAGTTGTTGTTTATAAATCATGCGATTGTTTAATATACAAACCTGGCAAATACGCATGCAAAGGACCTCATTAAAGCAAAGTAATGAAAAATCTGCGGCAAGGTGAGAATGGATAGCCCCAGGGGAGTGGGGCCAGCCGACCCCAGGCTCGCTCTGAATGGCACCTTGATTGCATTCTAACCCGTCTACTTACAAGGAAAGAAAAAACGCCAAAATTAACAATAGAGATTTTCAAGTTGCAGATTTTACTAAAAAGAGGATCGAACGCGATTCACTAGTAAAATGAAGAAACTTTTGCAACCAAAAAGATAGGGCGAAAAGTAAGTCTGTTTGCATATATCTGCGCTCAGCAACCTCTGTAGAAGCCTGAGTCAGGTTCTGAAAAGTATAACTGAAAAGCCGCGTAGCGGCTTTTATTTTAAACAAAGCCGCGAAGCGGCTTCCACTGAACTGCTAAATTGATTGAAATGGCGCATTCGTTACAATAATGTAGTAATGCTTTTTAGAACCTGACTCAGGTTTTCTCCACAGGTTGCCGAGCCCAGAGATTTTTGGAAAAAATTCAACAAATTGAAAATATTTTTTTCTTTGCAAAATCAGTGAATATTTTTGACCTAGATCAGAAAGAGTCTACGTCTGAATAACCGTCTATATAACCACAGTCCTAGGAATTAACGTCATCCTTTTCCGATCAAAAAGCCTAGACTAAATGATTTATAAAAGGAGACGGATTTGTAACGAAAAATTGTATTCTGCATGTAAGACGGATTCGAGGTACACGTTGTTTTCATTAATATCGGATCACCCTTATTGAAAAATTAATTTCGCGCTTATCCCAGGCCTATTGTGGAAACTCAGAATACAGCCCGTCTTAGGAGATGCTCTCGGAGCACTGTAAAAACGCTTTGAAAGCGGCGCATTAGCATTCTTTTTTTTTACTCGAAAAGAGAGAAACAATCAAAATCGACAGGTACTGCTATTGGTGATTTTGAGAAAAATAATTTATAAAAAAAAAAGCTTCGAAAGAATGATCGGATAAATGATTTACTGCTTGTGATTTCGCGCTGTATTGTGTTCAATAAAGAATTGCCTTGGCTGAAGGCATTGTGCCCAACTGTTTTTGTCATTATAACAGGAGCCGGAGCCTGAAAGTGTGAAATTTGCCGCTCGAGGAACAAAAAAAGAGAGACCAAAAACGATTATACTGAGCTCATTTAGAAACTCGTATATAGAAGGTACGACAAATTAACTCTGAATTATTGATTTTTTGATACGTCAGAAAGAGAGTGAGAGAAAAATAACGCGAAGGGCAAGGGCGATCCCTGATCGCTCACTTCCAAGGTAATCTCCGGCATTTCCTTTGGAGAATTTGCTAATTGAATTCAATTCTTTCGGTTGTCAGAGAAAAAATACTGCATACTTTCTGCCTCTTTCTTCATTCTGACCCTTTAGCTCGTTAGGGTTAGTGTAAAAAACCTGAGTCAGGGTTTGAAAGATCTCTACTGAAAAGCCGCGTAGCGGCTTTTTTTTTGACGGAGCCGCAAAGCGGCTTTGCAAAATTTCCTTTGCAATTTTTGAGGCTTCGTTAAAAAATAGCCGCTTCGCGGCTTTTCAGTAGAGATCTTCCAAACCCTGACTCAGGTTTTTTACACAGGTTGCCGAGACCAGCTGGCCCCTTTCAGATTCAAAAGTGGCATCAAATTTGGGATTTTTTATTAAAAGCTTTAAAAACAATAATTTTTCTCAACAAATTAGGTGTTTTTTTTTCTTCAGTTGATCTGAGAAACTGAGGATTTCCAAGAATTTTTATAAGAAAAAAGGAAGCTAATCTTGGTCAGCGCGTGAAAATCTCCGAAAATCTACCCTTTTATACCTTAATTATTAAAGAGGATAACTCTTGTTCTCAGACTATGAGAATATAAAGCACAAGTATTAATAATAATTACTTGGACAGGTAGCCATATGCCAGGAGAAATGGTACATTCGGCTTCAAATTGCAAAGTTCAAATTCTGATCAGATCAGTTAGGCTCCAAACTCACTTGAGCAGAAGCTTTAGGAGGATCAATATTTATGTACCGTTTCCTCGCCTGAACAAGAAAAGTGGTAAAATTATCACACACAGATTTCCCAAAAGAATAGACTCGCGCGATTTAATTACACTGTTCTTTCTCGCCACTATTCGCTAATTTTCTTTTGATTTCGCTCTTTTCAAAGAAAACCGCCAAACTTTCAATTTAGCTTGATTTTCATTTTGGCTAGACATTTCACAAACTCTTGAAAAAAAGAAGCGAGAAACTGCTTTTCAAAGATTTTCTACTGTCTATTTTCGACCGACTGTCCCTTCATTTTAGTGGCCTTGAATGTCTGGAGATTCTTTCAGGATCAAATTATTTTTAATTCGAGACTGTACATTTGAGATCTGGGCTCGGCAGCCTGAGTAAAAACTCTGAGTCAGGCTCCGAAAAAGCAAAAATGAAAAGCCGCGTAGCGGCTTTCTTAAAAACGAAGCCGCAAAGCGGCTTCGCCAGAAGTTCAATATCGATTAAAATGGGTACACTTATATTTATTTATAAAAGCCGCTACGCGGCTTTTCATTTTTGCTTTTTCAGAGCCTGACTCAGAGTTTTTACTCAGGCTGAGCCGAGTTAGAAAGAGTTCAAACTTTTTATTCTCCAAAAGAACTACCCCATTCTACCTACTTGGGTTAGGGATAATACCAGAGGAGGATAATTGCGTTTACTAATTGATTTTCGAAAGAAAGGGGGGCACATGAAAGAGGCTTAGGGAAGGAATTTGTCACGGAAGACCCTCGCTATTTTATAGCTAGAGCGCTATCTTTTCTAACTAGCAGTAGTCAGACTTAGCGTTTCAGAACTTGAGAACTCTGGTAAGAGAAACATTTTGTTTGACTGGCAGCGCTGATAATCATAAACAGATTTTTTCGAAGAGGAAGGCGGGTTTTATTGACAGAAGAGAGGATGTAGAGGTGATAGTTGACCTTTTACTTTCTTCTTTATCGAAGAATTGAGTTACGCCCGAAATATTTAACTCAAAATCAAAGTTAGTGTTAGGAGCAAGTTTTTCTCCGAAACTATCGTAGATACACCCTTAATTTCAATGGGAGCTTTAAGATCAAAACCTTGTCTAGAACCATTCCCCTTATGATGATCTCTCGATATCAAATTTAAGGATATACAGGCCGTTAAAGGTAAGGTTGCTAGGAGCAAGCCTTTTTTGTGTTTTTGTTTGAGGTATACCCTTAATTTTTAGGAGGAAATTAAGGCACTGAGCTACAATCGTTCCCCTTTTTAAAATTAGAGAGTTAGATTTTTTTTGATAAACCCTAACCCTAGCCCTTTATACTTCATTTTTGAATGAATGGGAAATTCGAGTTGGTAAATTTGCACCTGGAAAGAAAGAGGAAGCTGACTGTATTGTCCGCGGGGGCGATTATGAAACAATTAATTTTCTGAGTGGATAGTAGTAGTTTGCCAGATTGGCTTTTGTCGTGTGACAGGTTAGGGCTCAGGCTGGATTTACACTTGTAGGGCCCGATCCCTTTGTACCTGGGGAATAGTTGCCCGAACTGGGCACGCTTTAGGAGGATAGCTTTGATGCGTATTCAATTTGGGCACACGGCCGCTGCAGTTTAAAATTGATACCCGACTAATTTGACAGTCTTCAGAACGAGAGAATAACCCGCCGCAGGAAGAAACGCGCCAGACAATAATAAAAAAAAGACCGAAAAACAGAAAAGAGAGAGAGAGGAAAACCGAATTTACGAAAAATACACATTCACACTGGCGAGCTCAACAAAGAGAATATGAAAAACAGAGCAAATGGGCTTGCTAATTGCCATTCTTCTAGTACAGGTAACAATTGACAATTCTGAATTGAGCTTTTAAAAATGTAAAAGGGCGACTGAATTTTTATGTCTCCCCAATTACCATAGATTCTCTCATTGGTCGAGTTTTCTCAATAATTATTGATAAAATGCAAATTTATGATTGAACATTTAAGGACCCCCCCCAAAATTAGGGCAAACTCGTCAATTTTCGGCTAAAAGACCAATTTTCAATTGCGATTTTGAGGGTGAAAGAGTCGAGATAGACCCCCAAAAAGTGGAGCCTCAAAATCGTTTTTTGACCCGTAGAATCCATTTCCGGGGTCAAAATTTTAAAAAACCGAAATTTCATTTTTCGAAAAAAGCTGACGGGGGGGGGTCCTTAAAATTTTAATAATTATCGAGTGTTAGTATCAAAATTTACAAAATTTTCGAGCCCGAGTGCTTTTTATGCATCAATTTTTGATTGAAGAATAATTCAATGAAATTGAACAACCCTAACCCTAACCGAAATTCATTCAGATTGCAATTGCCGAAAATATACTTAAAACACCTTGCTATGCGCTTGAAAACGCGATCAAATGCCTCAACCCCAAAAACCCAGCAAACGTCCTCTCCGAAACAATAAGCGAAACAAACCCTGGATGTCCAACTATTTCCGTTTTCGACTGGTGCGTTCCAGGACATCTTTATGGCGAGTCGGCAAAAGTTCGCTGTCCATGGCATAATTTCTACCAGAAGGAGCCGGACAAATGGCCTGCGCATACGTTTACTGATTTCGGGCACCCTGGATTCAACGAAACTGCTTGGACTACGATCGACTGCGATATCCATCCGTACAAGTTGGCCGTCAGTTGGACCAATTTGGACAGAACGATCTGCAAAGAACATGTCAACAATTTCGAGCAGGATTACTGTGACTCCCTGCCGCCGCACTGTAACTGCGATCCGTTGTGCGCCGCTGCCGGGGTCGAAAATGTCAACTCGTCGATTTCGTCCGTGAATGGAACGACTGATGGAAACGCGCAAATCATCAACTCGCTCCAGCACTTGCGGATGGCCAAAATGATCATGGTGTCGGGCTATGCGGTGTCATTAATTGCCACAACGCTGGGCTCGATATTGATGCTCATGCTGAGACGGCTGCGATGCACGCGCATTTACATCCACATAAATTTGCTTATTTCATTCATGATGCGCGCGCTGCTCTGGTTGTTCCACGGCTCCGTATATGGAAGTAAGTCTATTTTATCAGACAACGATCTGTAGACTGGGACAATAAAACGGCGGGATATTGTCTCTGCCCACGCTGATTTTGCTACCTTGGTAATATAAAGGTTATTGTCAATAACTCTTTACCAAGGCCGCAATAAGCTTTTTATTCTTGGTTTTTCATTGACGTCATTTTCAAAATTGAATGTTAATCCCCAAAAAATAAAATTGCCCTTTTAGACGCAGACGATTCCCTGTCACATTCGCCAGCTCTTCAGCCCGACCCAATCGTCATGCAGTACTTTCAAGACAACAACCTATCCAACTCGACGGATCCGAAGGAAATCCACAAAATTGCATTCGAACATCTGGTGAAAGATCTGCTGAATAAGAAAAGCGGCGTGTCGGATTATCCAGCTCTCAAAGATGCTCATACGACATTTTGCGAGGCCCGTGATCCAGAAACATCTGTAAGTGATAGCTACGATCGGCAACCTGAGGAGAAAACCTGAGTCAGGGTCTGAAAATCTCAAATGAAAAGCCGCTCCTCCAGAATGGTCGGAAAAATGATTTCGCGAAGCCGCGCCGCGGCTTTTTATTTAAGATTTTCAGACCCTGACTCAGGTTTTCTACACAGGGTACCCCGCAGCAGTAATCATGAGATGTTCATCGTTTATGCATCAATTTTTTATTGAAGAATAATTCCATGAAATTGAACACATTTATCTTTTAAGAGCGCTTTCGTCTGCAGAACTTATGAAGCCCTATTTATGTACTTCCAGCTATGTAATTATTTTTGGTTTCTCGTGGAAGGCTTTTACCTAAAAATGCTACTTCAACGGTCCTCCGTGAGAGCGATGAGCAATATGAAGTACTATTTATTGTTTGGATGGGCATTGCCACTTCTGCCGATCCTTATTTGGGTAATAAGATAAGCCTCTCTGTCGATTAAGCATCATCTGTTGGTTCAGATTATTGTCAGTCTAATCACAAGGAGCGACAAGCCATGTTGGATCGATGACGAAAATGGCCGTGTCACTGAAAAAGACTACACAAACATGCTCATCTTGGAAATACCAATTATGGTCACAGTTCTTATCAACGTCTTCATTTTCGTCTCAGTTGTTACTATTGTCGGCTCCAAGCTTCGGGCAACGCTGAGGTAAGAGAATTCTCTTCCTTGATTTTCTTCATTGACATTTTTTTCTTTAGAAAATCAGACTTTCGTTATCGACTTTTGCGAGCTAATTTGGCTCTTATTCCTCTTCTTGGCATTCATTACTCCTTGACCATGTTCGTTAAGTAAGTTCAGCCACTGAGACTGAGTGCAATTATACAATGATTTCCTCAGGTATTTGGCCACTGAAGACAAAACGACACTTCATACAGTATGCAATTACATCAATACGATTATGAGTTCACTCCAGGGACTCTTCGTTGCCATCATTTATTGCTTTTGCAACGCGGAGGTCCAGGTAATCATCGGATAGAATCTGACATAAGCTGATTTAACATTTAAAAAATGACAGGACGAATTGGAAAAATCATATGCCGCCTGGAAACTGGGAAAGGACGTCCGCGACGATGCGATTCGGAGAAGATCTACTCTTTCTAATTCACAGGTTCGTCAATTTTTCAGCAACAAGCAAAACTGTCGCTTGTTTGAGCGATTGATAGTTACAACTATTGAAATATTTATCCTGTGTTTAGTCTGGAGGAACCTGGTGGCCTCAAGGACGTCGTAGGTCATCAATATTCGGAACTAGCCGGGGTCAAAGCTTTTCTGTTCCTCAGAGAAGATCGACTGAGCAGACATGTAAGATCTCACCCTGGTATAAAGATTGAACGAAGTTCCGTTTAGATGTCCCCAGTGAATCTCTTCTGAGTACGAGACCGACAAATATCGGTGGAACTTCCACGATGCGAAAAGCCAAGTCGAAGATTCAAAACATGATCAACGGCACTGATAATCATGATAAAACGACTTATTCCGGCATGGGTGCTGCTAAAAAGGTGACCTTTCTTCCTAGCTCTATCTCTAAACGCCTCTTAGTTGTCGATACAGGGGCAGACTTCGCTAGAAGAATCGCGCCCAATGTCAGTTTTCCAGACAATGGGCGGTATCGCGGAAGAAGACAACGAAGACTCCCCGGCAGTCTCTGAATCCGACGCTTTTCTGGGCTCTCCGCGGCGGCAGGGCGTCTTCACGATGGACAGTCGCCTCTCGCGATTCGCCGATGACTCGGGCTACGAGGATAACCAGCAACCAAATCAGAATCCAACTCAAAGTGAAACGAAGCCTTCCAGTCCTCCACCATCTCCATCACCGAAATGAGCCTCATCGCAGCCGAGCCTTGTTGCCCAGCTAAGAAAACTAACTGTTGCCGAGTGCCAAAGCTACCTCAAAATTCAACAGAAACTTCAAAAAAGAAAAAACTCTCCAAGGCGCCAAAGATTGAAAAACAGCGTTGCGCTGAGAGGGCCAATTTTCCGTTCAATAAGACTTCTTCGCTTTATATTTATTATTTTTGAATCCTTCCCGGAATCAAACAACCTTCGCCGTCAAAGTTCAGATTTTAAAGAATTATTTAAAACTCAGTTACAAAAACTCAAAGTTGACACATTCTTCAACAGTTGCTATTTAGATCTGCTTCTCTTAATAAAACTTCTATTCGAATTCATGTTGAAATATTAATATAATATAATATAATATAATATAATATAATATAATATAATATAATATAATATAATATAATATAATTGAGGTAAAAATTAAAGTGATTTTTTATTTTGAGAAAAATTTTGGCCGTTTTCGGAATAAAATTCCAAAATCTACCAGAGTACCAGAGTGCTATGCATGAGAACGTCTCGTAACAAAGTGGTTACGACGCCACGTTTGCGGGCACTCTGTTGTTAGATAAATTATTGTGGGGAGCTGTTTCAGCGAGAGTAGCAGCCACGCTGCTGTCTAAAAATTTTTAAAGTAAAAGATCACCTTGTGATTTAGCAAAATAAAGCAAACGCTAGAAACGTCATCTTAGGTCCTAAGACTTAGGAAGTAGATATCAAGAATCGTGATTTTCAAACGGAAATTTCTGCAAAAATTAACACCCTAATTTTACTTTGGAAACATAAATCTTCCTTTATCTGAGGTCTATCGGCGGCACAAATTTGAATATCAAAAAAAAATTAGACAAAATTTCTTGTCAAAGTTAACGAAATTTGTTAAGGGGTAAGTCGAATTTGAACGATTATTTAATATCTATTAGGCCCGTGCTCTATGGGCCATAGTCAGTTGCCAACTCTACCGACTTTTGTCAATTCAAAGTCTCCTTGAGTACCTTAGAATGTACTTCTTTGAAAGTGGTAAAAGTGGAGAAGTCGAAGTTTCTTATTCGGAATGCTGAATCATATTTTCAATAATTGAATCTATGTCGAAAACGAATTGCATCAGCTCAAGGTTAACTCTCGCTGAAACCAATTGTCGATTGCACGAAAAACATCATTCCATAGTTTTAATGAGTTTCGTAAATAAACGGCGCGACAAGCGATTTCAAGTACTTGGCGTATTCTTTCTTTAAAAAAGGCATCCGCAGCATAAATAAACGGGCTAAGGGTTCAGACTTTTGTCCGAGTCTTTAGTGCTGTAGTTAATCTAGGCCAGTGCAGTCTACGGCGTAAAAAAATAAGGTTACTTACTGATGAATTTTTAATTTAAGTAGACTCATTCAAAAGCTCTTGAAAGTGGCTTTCTTTTGAACCGATAAAAAACTGGGCCCTCTTTCCTTGTCTACTGTAATTTCTGGCCTCGGAATCCTGTAAACAGGAACAGGGATTTCATTTTTGGCCCATTTGCAAAGCAGGAAACAGGACAGGATAAAAACACAGGATACAGGTCCTGTTCTACAGGTTTCACAGGCTTTACAGGCATGTAAACTCCAATTTCAGCGTTTTAATTTTTACTTTCTAGGGCTGTTCCTGTAAACAGGCGTGTTTTCCTGTATTTCCTGTATTTCCTGTTAACAGGCCTTTTTACAGGTTTATTTTGGTCTCGAAATGCAAGACAGGAAACAGGACAGGGTCCAAAAAACAGAAAACAGGACCTGTTTAAGGTTTTTAGACAGGTCAGAATTCCGAGGCCAGGCCCTTAACTCATTATGTTAAAGCATTGAACCTATGACTCTCAACTACAATGTGAAACCTGGATTACATGCCTTGAATATCATGTATTTTAAATAATGTGCATACTTCCTAAAATTTATATTATATAAAAATATTATATAACATTTATATTATAAATATAGGCATAATATATTTTTTGAAAGATTTCATTATATATATTTTTAAAAAATATTTATAAAATGTATTTTTTTTATTTCCAATGTATCATAAAATATCAATGAAAAAAGGGGGATTATTTTCGATTTTTCTCTTGGGGTTTCTTTTGTGCGATTCTGAAATCGAGCGGATTATTTTCAAGAAAACAGCGCGCGCTCGCCACCACACGGTTTCACGAAAAAAATGCATGTAGAGATCCTATATAAACTTCGTCGTAACTCGTAAAATCAAGCTTTCTTCGAAAAGAACAGCTAGATAAAGTCTCAAACTTTTATCTAGCAACTTAAGAGAATGAAGCTCATCCAATACCTTCCAGCCGTCGGAGTTGTCCAAGGAGGCTACTTTCAGCAGTACAACCAGCTGACTCAGGACGAGAGAGAAGCTCGACGAGTTCTCTGCGATGCCAAAATCGACGAGACACAGGATCTGTTTCCCGTAGAGAATGGATCGTGGCTTTGCCCAGGTTACGGCAAATTGAGATCCAAGGTCAGATGCCATCCGATCTGTAATCAGGGAATGGACCCGGAATGGACCGAGAAATCAATCTCGAAGCCAAAAAAGGACGGCGTCCGATTTATGGCTCGATGTGGAGATCCAGCTACGATCGCTAGAAAGTAAGTCTACACAAAAAAGATCGTTCTAACCCTCTACTCAAGAAATCTTCCCGCTGGAACCACCTTGAGATGCTCACCAAAACCAGCTCATCCTTGCGACGCCGCAGCTGCCGCCACAAGCATCCAGGACGGATCGCTCACGTTTGCCAGGCTGATCAACAAAAAGCGAGCCAGTTACGATGTCTTCTGCGAAGATGGAACTTTTAACGGCCGAGTGCGTTGCGTCGACGGCGAGTTCCGACCGCCATTTTGGAATAAAGAAGATTGGGAGAGCTCCTGCGTCGGGAAGACAACAACTACCACATCTTCAACAACGACGACAACAACCACTGAAGACCCATGTCTTTCCGTAGACTCATGCGCTGGGCTTGACGGCTGCCAGGTGATCGTTGGCGGATGCGCGACCACCCCGATCAGAAACACCCAACTCCAAGCTCTCAACTCCGCCGTCAACTTCCGCTTCTCTGCTGACGTTTACTGCGACCACAGTATGCCATTTGGTGAGTGGCTGAACATCTTCCACGTCACTAAAGGAACTGACGATACCAGCCTTGGTGACCGAACCTTCGCTCTCTTCCGATACGCAAACGACAACAGAATGTGGATCGGTGTCAACGACCCAACTGACACTGATTTCGAGGATGCCACAACTTTCAGCTGCACCGACGGTGAATGGTTCAATATTGCTGTCGAACAACGACAAGTCGAAGGAGACCTTGATACTGTTCAGTACTCTGTCACTCATAACGGTGCTGAAATCGCCACAAACTCATACGCCACAAGCCAAGCTTTTGATGGCAATCTTCTTGCCTACGTTTCTGACGACTGGTACCCCGCTGGTTCAGCCTATGTGGTCAGAAATTTCGTCTACCAACGATTTGCCGACGCAACAACAACAACTACCACCACATCGACAACCACCACTACAACAACAACCACGACCACCACTACAACAACGACGACAACCACCCAAGACCCATGTCACTCCGAAGACTCCTGCGCTGGCCTTGATGGCTGTGAGGAAATCGTTGGTGCCTGTGCCGTAGAACCCACCAGAAACACTCAGCTCCGAGCTCTCAATTCTGCCGTCAACTACCGATTCTCCGCTGATGTTTACTGTGCCCACAACAGCATGCCGAACGGCGACTGGTTGAATATTTTCCACGTTACCCAAGGAACTGACGATACCACCCTTGGTGATCGAACCTTCGCTCTTTTCCGATACGCTAACGATGACAGACTCTGGATTGAAGTCAACGATCCACAAGATACTGATTTCGGGCATGCTATTACTTTCACTTGCACTGACGGTGAATGGTTCAACATCGCTGTCGAAGCCAACCAAAATGCTGCTGATCTAGAACTTGTTGAATATTCCGTAACTAAGAACGGAGAATCTCTTGGATCTGGTTCGTACCCGTTCAGCTCAGCATTCGTTGGCAATCTTGAAGCATACGTCTCCGACGATTGGTATCCTGCAGCGTCCACGTATTTTGTCAAAAATTTCGTTTACCAGCGATTTGCAGACGCAACAACAACCACGACAACAACGACCACAACCACAACAACAACGACCACAACCACAACAACCACGACCACCACTACAACAACGACGACAACCACCCAAGACCCATGTCACTCCGAAGATTCCTGCGCTGGCCTTGACAGCTGCGAGGCAATCGTTGGTGCCTGCCCAGTAGAACCCGTCAGAAACACTCAACTCCGAGCTCTCAATTCCGCCGTCAACTACCGCTTCTCCGCTGATGTTTACTGTGCTCACAACAGCATGCCAACCGGCGACTGGTTGAACATTTTCCACGTTACCCAAGGAACCGACGATACCACCCTCGGCGATCGAACCTTCGCTCTTTTCCGATATGCTAGCGATGACAGACTGTGGATTGAAGTCAACGATCCAAATGACTCAGATTTCGGACATGCCATGACTTTCACTTGCACTGATGGAGAATGGTTCAACATCGCTGTCGAAGCCAACCAAAATGCTGCTGATCTAGAACTTGTTGAATATACCGTAACTAAGAACGGAGAATCTCTTGGATCTGGTTCGTACCCGTTCAGCTCAGCATTCGCTGGCAATCTTGAAGCATACGTCTCCGACGATTGGTATCCTGCAGCGTCCACGTATTTTGTCAAAAATTTCGTCTATCAACGATTCGAAGATGTCACAACTACAACAACAACCACTACAACTACAACCACAACAACGACTACGACAACAACCACGGAAGATCCGTGCGTTTCTGAAGATCCTTGTGCCGGACTTGACAACTGCGATGTCATCGTCGACGCCTGCGCCGCCGTCCCGGTCAGAAATGTCCAAGCCGCCACCCTCACCTCTTCCATCAACTACCAATTCTCTGCAGACGTATACTGCGATCACAGCATGCCTGTCGGAGAATGGATAAATATCTTCCACGTTACTAAAGGAGAGGACGATACCAGCCTTGGTGATCGAACCTTCGCCCTCTTCCGATACCCAGACGAGCAAAAAATGTGGATCGGTGTCAATGATCCGACTGATTCAGACGGCGAGCACCACACAGATTTCACCTGCACTGATGGCCAGTGGTTCAACATCGCCGTCGACGTCCATCAAGTTGCTGGTGATCCAGAAAATGTTCAGTTCACTGTCACTCATGACGGAGTTGAAATTTCCTCGAAGATTTACGCTTACGCTCAGGCCTTCGGTGCAGGCCAAGAGCTTAAAGCCTTCGTGGCTGACGACTGGTACGTTGCCGGAACCGCATTCACAGTCAAGAACTTCGTCTACCAACGATTACCAGAAGTTGCTCAATGCGCCGTCGACAGATGTTTGGATCCATCTATAGGGGATCCAGTTATCTGTACGAACATAATTGATGGCTGCGGGGTCAATCCAAGCCGAAACAATCTCTTGAAATCTGTTACTGTTTCTCAATCCTATCAAATTGTCGCCGATGTTCTTTGCTCTTCATCTTCGACAACTGAATGGCAGAATATTCTCCGAGTTACGTCTACATCCGAAAACAGAGGCGCAGTTGGCGATCGGCAATTCATCATATTCCACTACCCCAATGAAAGCAAATTCTACATCGGCGTCAACAATCCTAACGGCGCTCACCATCACTCATACGTTGACAAGCCATGCACGCCGGGCCAATGGTACACCATCGTTGCCGAACAATTCATTAATCAGGCTTCGGGCCTTATGTATACCCAAATTGTTGTTGACAACGAATCGTTATTTACGGATAGCTACCCAGTGGCATCTGCTCCGTCGACCGGAAATTTCGATTTCTTCGTTTCTGACAACTTCTACGATGCTTCCGGATCTGACACTGTGCGAAATTTCGTCTATCTTGACACCTCGGCGGCCGATCAGTGGGTATCGAAGTAACCATTGAGGAGGATGGCAGAATCTGAGGTTCGCGAGAATACATTGGCTTTGCGCGAACCCCAATTCTGAAACTTTACCATGAGATTTCTAACGCGCTTCCCGCTCAAACTTGATTTACAATATAAATTTTTTTCTTCTTTCAAATTATCATCGTCAGTTTGATCAACCTGGTTAATCTCATACTTCCGTTTTAACTGTACAAACCAAATTATACTTTTTCTTTCAAATTGTCATCGTCACTTCGATAAACGAGATTTATCGAATACTTTCTGTTTCCCTTCTTCATATTCGATTCAATTAATAAAGATTCGTGGTAGGATAAGTGAACGGGCTTTTTATCGCAAAAGGATCCAAATTTGGCCGGTTTTTAGCGATTTCGGATCAAAGAGGCGGCTTAATTTTGGGACTCTATTGACAATAGACTATTGTTAATCAATCGGCGCACAGAATCTTCGACCATTTTATCTCGAGAGCGATGTCGGTCATCTTTGCAATCTCGTCGGAAGCATTTCCGGTGTAAATATTCAACATGTGTCCTCGCAAGTAAAATATAATGCGGTCATTCTTGCGGTTATCGTCTTCAGATTTTTGAAGGTTGGACTTTCGCTTTTTCTGGATTTACTTAACTGACATTCGATACTATTTCAATATTTGATTTTCTCTCTTTCAGCGGGAATCTCGCTTGTTTTATTTCGCAGAAAACTCAATTCTTCCATAACATTCTAAAAACCAAAGTTCCTTTCCCCATCAAAGCAAGAATGAACGAATTTCATCCAAGAGAATTGACCAGAGACGTCATTGAGAAATGGTTGGAAGATTTTAAAAGGAAATTGAAAAGAACGACGAGCAGAGATAATTTGGATAGACTGATTCTGTCGGTGGAGAGAAGCGAGTTTGAAGATGATGGGTGTGCTGGATGGGAGGAGGTTATTTTTGAAAATGGAAAAGGAAAAGTTTTTTACCTTAAATACGGAGAAAAAGAATCGGAAGAATGGGAAATAACTTCATTTCAAAAAATGATCCTCGAAAAAAATCCTCAATTCGAAGGGCGAAAAATTCAACGTTCGGAATTAAAAGAAGAAACTGGAGAATGGATTCTCGATGAGTTTCTTCAACGAAGAATTATTTCTTCTGGAGGAGAAGCGGTTGTTTTGGAAGAGAGATTTGGAGAATTAGAAGTGGCTGTTCGGGTTCAGGTTTTTGACTCCGCGCTTTTTGTGGAGGAGAATGAGGAGTTGGAGTTTGGGATTCATCTTTTGAAAGGTTTTTAAATTCATCATCGAATAATTCGACAATTTGATATTCTAGAATTTCAAGATTATGGATCCGCGACAAACGACAAAGAAGACGACGAAGTAATCCCAGTGCACACAAACGTGATCAAGAATTTCTGCAACATCGAAATTTACTCGAGCAAAGACGGAAAAAGAGAGGACTGCCTTGGATGGATTACAATTATGGAAAAGTGCGACTGCGATTTGCGAAGAAGATTAAAAGAAGAGAATTTGAATTTGGAAGAAAGGAAGAAAATCGCGATTGAAGTGAGAGTGGGAGAGCAGTATTTAGGAAGGGTTGGAATTTGGCATTGCGATCAGAAGCCGGAAAATATTTTACTGAAAAATGGAGAATGCAAATGGATAGATTTTGGAACTATTTGTGAAATTACTGGAATAGAGAGCTATCAAAGAATGGGCTACGCGAGGAGAGGGAGCAAATATAGAGATATGGAATGTTTATGTAAGTTTTAAATTCAAGTTATTTGAACATAGATTGCTTCTGTGTTCATTAATTTTCTAAGATGCTGGATCTGCTGCTTTTTCGAAAGGCCATCAACTTTGTGGGGAATATGGAGGCGACGAATATGCATCACCACTTCACATTCTGATTCTGTGTGATTGGAAAACAGCTTGGAGTCTTCTGTTCAAGCCAATCGAAGAGAATGAACGAGAAAAAATCGAAGAAGAATTGAAGGAAAGTCTTCTTAGCCTTTTATAAATTACCGTTTTAAGTCCTGTAATGCTGAGTGGCTCACAAAACATCCACCATCAAACAAAGAAATCGAAAACTTGTCCAAAATAATTTCTTTGAAGAACGCGGCTCCTGATTTTTGCCTGGACGATCCAAATTTGACGAAATCCTCGGCAATGGCCAATCTCAAACAAAAACTGACGAGACAGATCAATTTCGACTTCAAAAATGTGACGAAGAGAGTTTTAAACCAAAAAGAAAGCAATCTTTGTGTCCCCATTTCAGTTTCTGTTCTTTTGAGATGGGCACTCAAAAATGATTTGAAAATTGATGACTATATAATGGAACAAAATTTTACTCTCGAAAACATCTTCACTCATATGACGATGATTATTTACCCCCGCAGTTTGGCTGGCTTGAATCTGAATCCGAGAGAAGAAGAGCAACAATTTCAAACAAATAACGTTGACTTGCTTCTCAAAAGAATGAAACTGGGAACTTATTTAAATGAAAGTGGATGGGACATTATCAAAAAATTTTGCTATCAAATTAAAGGCGATTTTTATTTTGAAGAAGGTTTTTATGAAAATATCTCGTGATTTTAAATAAAATCATTGCTCTAGTCCTCCTCCACCACAAAATCGTCTTCACCCGTCCCCTAACCGTCACCGGCGCCTACCTGAATCCCGATGGCTTAATAATTTTCCACCAAATGGTGCTGGACCGAATCGAAAACTCCGAATTCATTCTCCAAAACACTTTAATCGCCCATTCCGGCTCTCAAATCAGAGTTCCTCTTTTTCGCGAATTCTACGCTTCTGAAGAAATGATGAAAGAATGCTTCAACCGCTTCAACGATTTTGTTTATTACGGAGACAACAACGAGTTTCTTCTTTTAGTCAACGAAAATTACAACATGGAAAAAGAAAAATGGTATCTTCTGCCTCGAGCTTATTCAATAACTCTTACACGAAAATAAATAGTAAGCAAACTAATCACACTTGCATGCTATCAAGTTTTCAGGGAGCAGAGCTTCCACCATCGCATTTGCCGCCAGAAACGCTTTTCTTTTTGGATAAAAAATTCTTTCATGAAATTCCACTGCAAAAAAACAGTCGGAGTTTATTTCATATGCTTGAAATTTATTATTTTTCGTTACAAATAGTAACAGCATATTCGCGCACAAATCCATCGACGCTCGTTTTACAGTCATTCTTACAAACGGCAACAAGGATTGTTGCAATATCTTCTTCGACTTTTTTGAGTTTTTTTTTTAATTCGTGTATCAGAGAATTCATATTTGAGCATATAAATACAGATTTATAAACTCTTCCTTGACATAAAGTGAACAAGTGCGGTGTGAGCTGAAATTCGAATTCGCGTTCTTATAACGGTTTCATTTAATTGTAACTGCTTCGCTATTATCAGTGAGTAACCAAATCATTCTGTCTGGCAAACAAATGAAAACAACTGCCCTGAATAACAAGCTTTGCACTTGCCGAAATCGACATTTTTCCATCCTTTCGGAGTCAAGTACTTTCCACCTCGTTGATATCTGACCACTTGTTCTGGCTCTTTCTTGAAGTATCCAACCCATCTTTGGAATTTTTCATCGCTCAACTCCTAAATATAATTAGAAATTTATCGCGAAAAAAATAATATTTTCAAAGAACATCTAAAATTTCAAAATTTTCAAAGAGATCTCAATTTGTTTGCATTTTTATATTTTCAAGGCAGTTAAAAATGTATTTTTTTTTGTCAGGGGAATCATCATTAAAAATTGTTGAGTTGCTGCTGCCCAAATAATTTTCGCTGAAGGTTGTGCATATTGCTCGCATATCGCAGCATATCCATTGTGTTTTGAACCTCCGCGCGCATTTTTACCAACTCAACACCAACAGTCGCGGGGTCACGAAGGCGTTTTGCGAAGCTCTTCAAAGTCGAGCTCGTGCGTCCAAATACTTCGGAATTTTCACCGACGGCGGCGACAAGCGATTCGGCGGCGATAGTTGCTCGAGGCTCTCTTTCGGGGAAGTTGAACCTTTTTCGCTGGGCGGGAACGAGTCCGCTTTCGTATGCCTCGGCACAGGAGGAGACGTTACGCGCTAGAACGCGTATATTTCGTAGCTGTCGGGAGACGGCACTGGGTTGCTCGATTTCAGCAGCGTAAATGTGAAGCACTTCTTCTGCAGGATGCAGAATCGAGGGGAAGACTTGAAAGAACGGCAAGTTTTCGTTGATTCGAACCCCTTTGTAGAGCAGCCGAAAAGTCGTCATTGATTCCCAAGAATTCCGACTTTTTAGAAATTCGACTATTTCGCGACTGAGATCAACGCCTCGAATAACACGGCATACGTTTTTCCAAACGTACGAGCCGTAACTCTGCGTTTCGATTATTACAGTGCTGATAAACATTGCTTTTCGAAGAATGAAAAGCAGAAGGAAACAGAAGCTTATATAGCCCGGGTAGAGGACGCCAGCGCTCCGAAAATGGAGCATTTAGGACGCTCCCTTCTGATCCTAGTCAACTGACATGAATCAGGTCGAATGATGCGGAAGGAAAAAGAATTTATTCAGCGTTATACTTGGTAACGTATGAATCGTCTTTATAGGTAAGCCATATCCGCCTCAATTATCCTGCTTCCCGGATTTTTCGAATGTAACAAACTCTCTACCTGTACTAGTTCCTCCACATCTTCATTTTTATCATTTCCCAGCTCTTTCTCGTCGTTTTCAAAAGTTTGCTCGACGCTCTCTAGATAATAATGAGACCAGATGAACTTTCATTTGATATTTATAGGTACATTTTATATAGCAAAATATTCAGGATTTACCAGCTTGCCGTTGCGCAGATTCCAGGTCGGCGATTTCCTCTCCATCATCTTCTTCAAACTCTTTGCCTCCTGTCAGTTGTTGATCGTCAAACTCTTCCGATACCAGCTCGAACTCGTCAAAGAGGAACTCACCTGACTCCAGGTCGCCCTTTTCAATGTTGCATCTTTTCTTGTGACCTTCCTTCCAATGTGCTAGTTGGTGTTCCCGCGAGCAGTAAAACGTCTTTTTGCACTTGGCGCATCTATTCGGGCCTGGGTAGCCGCAGACAACGCACATGTTTGGACTAGGGTAGTTGTTTTTGAACTTGATTGCCTCAATCGGATCATCGTAACTGGGCGGTTCTTCGGGATAGAACGCGTTTTTCAAGGGCAGTTGCTGCCTTAGCACCAGTGGAGCAGCGGTGCAGCCATTTTTTGACGAACAGATGAACACATAAATTGTGCGGTGAAATGAATCTTAATTTGAAAATGATGGGAAGAATTAAAAGCAGAAGTGTGTACCCGTTGAGTCTCCGGGGCTGTACATTTGCATCAAAAAGCGCATGCTCGACTTGCAAGTACTACATTCTCGAGGAAAATCGCCGTGAGGAATAAGCCAGGCTTCGAAGCAGTTATGTAAAAGTATGAAAAAAAAAACGCTGAACGAGAAAGGCTAAGACTAAGCCCCCTAGGATTGTATGAATGAATAACACGCTGCCTGGAGCACCACCAATTTTTGAAGGAAAAAAACATCTGCTAAGCCGGAATTTATCTTCATTATTCACATCTTCTGGAAAACCGAGAGTAACCATTCTTAGAGGACATAAGAGGCAACTAGGCGGATATGGAAACATAAAAATGGAAATAATTTTCCATCTCAAGCGCGCTAGGACGATGATTCTCGTCCTGTGCCCTTTCCAACGGGGCAACTCTTATCCAATATGGCAAAAAAATAACGTCAATTCATTAACATATTGACGCCTTGATAGATCATCTATTTAAAAAAATTTCCAATTTATTCTTTTATTGCACATAAATGCTTAGACAATCGAAAATATTTTTGAAGAAATACGTTCTATTTGAGTGCTGCGGAAGCAGAAACAGAAGCAGGAAACAATTGATGATAATTTGGCAGTGGAATATACGCGGCGGTTACGCTTCGGCCGCGGAATTGTCGCCCGTGCAGCGAGTTCACAGCGGATTGGCAAGAAGCGGCTATAAAACAGTTGGTGAGAGAAGTCAGTCTTGGAGTTTTCGAACCTGAAGCGACTTTAACGAAGACGTTGCCCGCCAAGCTGTTTTGGTCCACATGGACGTGATACACATCTCCAAAGTTGGACACTCGTTGGATAACTTCTTTTCGCACTTTTTCTGGCCACTTTCCTTTTTCAGAATTGACATCGAATGCATTGGCGATTTGGAAGCACTGCGTACTGATCGGAGCAGCTTGCCGTCTGGCCATCATACGCTGGGCCGCTTTCGAGTTGCCGTATCCGGAACCAGCCGCCGAGACTAAAAACTAAAATGTCAAGCAGAAAGCAATCAGATACTACCTTCTGATTTCACAGGAGTATACTGGACGCCCTCGATAGCCTTTTTAGGTTGATAGTCTAGCATTGCCTTCATCGCGTTTGGATTGTGGCTGCTTTCAATCATCAACTGGCGCATATCGTGCTCGTGCTAGACAGTGCTTACTAGAGAAGTTAAAATTGGAGATTCACCTCTCTGGCAGCTTTGCCTTTCGCGACCATTCTGAGAATAAGGTTAAGTCCTCCCAAATCGAAGTTGTGCAAATGCCGGATCGCATCTTCACCGCCCTCGCAGTCGACAAAGGTCACGAACGCTGTGCCGGAAGAGCCGCCAGAAAAGCCATCCTTGATTATTTGAACCTTTTCCACGCGGCCAAATGGCTCTTTAAATTCGTCAAATTCAGGCAATTATACCAATCCACTTACCCATGATCATTTTGAGCTGTTCTTCGGTGACAGTTTTGTGCAATTTGTCGACTCTGATTTTGTATGGCCCGGTGCCAGCTTTCATCAGATTCTTTTTCGCCTGCTCTAGCTTTTCCGAGTGTCGATTCTTGTCGGCCTGAGCGTGGTGGACCACGATCGCTCTTCCCAATACTCTCTGTCCCGTCAGACCCATCGCTTTTAATTTGTTCAAAAGCTTTGCAGAAAGATAGGGTTATATTATCGCCTTGAACACTTTCCTAAGGGAACGGATTGAACATGTTTAAACTCTATATACGCCAGTCCCTGCGTTTTGTGCCTTTCGTCTTTTATCAGCTTGACTGCGCGAACATCTCCAACCGAGGAGAAAAAGTCCTTCAGGTCGAATTCTCTAGGAGAGAAAATTAGAATGAATTAGGATCACTTTTCCTATCTATCGTCTATTTCCGGAAGATGCTCACCTGATCTCGTGAGCAAGCTGCATGGCGATTACTGTTCTAGCGTCCCGCTCGCGGGCGGAAAGCTCGAGCTCCTCGTCGGAATCCGATAGGCCGAGTTTCTTCTTCGCTTTCCTCGTTAACCGCCTGTCTTCCTCCTCAGAATCTTCCGAATAGCTGTCGTACGATTTCCGCCTTCTTTCCTTCTTCACCTTGACTGGCTTGGTGTCTGGATCTTCCTTCTTTATCCAAGAGTGCGTTTTTGCCGCCGTCTAAAATCAAATCTCGCATCAACCAGAGACAAGAAATGACTCACTTTGGTCAGATTCTTCATTCTCGTCTTGAAATCGATTTCGGGCTCCTCCTTTTTGACGCGCATTTGTCTTGGTTGGAAGTTTCCTGCCTGGGCAGGTCGTCTACTGCCTCTTTTACTGTCATCCTCGTCGGGTCTGCGGCCTGCTCGACGGTGGTATTCACGAACGTCCGATTCGAAACCCATCTTTGTTTAATGTTTTCACTGCTGTTTTGAAGAAAAAGACTGATATTTTTGTTTAATTGAAGTTTATTCAGAAATTTGAAGCGAAATGGCACTGAACTACTATTGCAACAAAACGTGCGAACGGGGGAATGGAAAGATAAATGAGGTAGGTGATCGGGTTAGAAGGGGAACCGTCGTTAAAACAAACAATAACAGTGGGAAGTTATGAACGAAAGAAAAGAACAGATTTCTGAAGATAAAGGCACTGTGAAGTATTTCATTTTTTATTTTGTTTTTGATGCGTTTTCCATGTGAGGAATTCGGGCCTAAATCATGAGTATGCATGGGTTAAAGAAGTTTTCACGAAACCTGCTTCTGTCGCTGCCCAAGTTGATCCAATTTTACGATGATTCCGTCGACTTTCAATGTCAAATCGGCAAAGGCAGATTCCATTTTGGCAACTCGGTTTCGAAGAAGATCGAAGTTCTCGTTATCAACAAACGTCTCTCGCGCTTGGCCAAAGACGTCTCCAGCAGCTACACTCGGAGCTGCCGCTGATTTTTGAGAGACTGTGTCTAGATCCTAAAGAAATAAGAATGTTCCTATGATTTTCTTCGCTGATGGCTGACCTTTTGAGTTTTCAATTTGGTCAACGATTCCTCCAGCTTAGCGAACTCCTTCCTGTCGAGCAAGAGATTTCCATTCTCATCATACTTTTGAAAGTAAGACTGAATCTCGTCCTCTTCCAAGCCTGACTTTTCCATTTCTTTTCTGAAGCTATGCCAGTCGATTTGGTTTTCTGAATCAGCGGAATCATGATTTTTTTCTAACGGAAAGGCTTACCATCGTCGGAATCATCGTCGTCGGAATTTGAAGTCCAGCCAAGTTTACCCCAGAAACGCTCTTATGAAGAAATAAAGTAATCTGACGTTATGATAACGTAAAGATTCATCTCAAGGCAAGCCGTTCAGTGGCTTTTTCCACTAAAGCTTACCTTTAAGAACCGCGATTTGCTCGGAAACCGGATAGTGATGCTCCCCAGGGACAGATAATTCCGCGCGAACTTCCGAGTAAGTGTCGGATATGATCGCAATGAACATATTCACCAAAATGAAGAAGACCACGAAGACATAACTGATTCAGCTTTTATCAAGGGGATATTTACAATCGAAGATTTACCAAATGAAGTAAGTGGGTCCCAAAATGCGATTCGAGCTTTCCATAGCATGGAAATCAAAGTCGCCAAGAATGATACGAAAGAGTGTGTAAGTCGCGTGGAACATGTTTTTAAAATCGTCCAATTCGCCGCCGAAAATGAGCACTCCGAGCTCGGCGTAGGCCAAGAAAACCATCAAGAAAACGATGATGAAGGCGGTCAAGTCACTAAAAAAAAACGGCTGGTTCTGTACTTGAAGTCAAGTAGACTCACGTGCTGCAACGTCGAAGAGTTTTTGTGAAAACAGCCGTGCTCTCGAAGTCGGTGAAGAACTTGTTCAGCTCGATCCAGGAAAGGAAAGTGACGATGGCGAGGAAATAGTTGAACTGATTCTGCCAGAAGACAAAGTTCGCCAAGTAGCAATCATTTTCTGTTTGAGGATCGCAGCTGCTAATTTCATCCGTGTCGATGATCGCATACTTGACCAATTTGAAGATGACGACTCCGATAGAAAAGACCAAATTGAAGAATTGCGTTCGAAGAGCAAGATGCTTGAAGAAGCCTCCAAATCCAAGAATTTTCATTTCATACACTTTTTCGCCAAAGTAGTAGCCGATCAAGATTAGCCACAGAATCTCGCAAACGACAGTGGTAATGTCGAGAGTGCTGGTAGAGCTGTAGATATGGATCGTGCTGAATTTGTCGAGGGTGATGACGCCGCCGGAAGCTGGTAGTTCGAAAGACATCCTAATGATTGTGTATAGATTCACATTCTTGTTGTAAAGCTGGCAATCGATTAGGAGAATTCTAGCGCCACGTGAGAGCCATTGTAGCTCATCCTTCAAATATCGAATGTCCTCGATCGCTTTGGCTGGCACTTCAAAAACTTCGTCGCTTGGAACAGGGAGATGCAAGAGGTATCCTCCCGCCCAGTACATTCTCAAATAGGGCAGCGCTTGTCCCCAGTAATCAAAACCAGCGATCGCGCCTGGAATTTCCGTATATCTTGCTGGCTGCGGCAAATCCGATCCGACAATCAGGTCGTCTTTGTTTTCACGCGCTTTGTGATACTCGTCGTAGCATAATTCGCCTTCGTCGACAAAGCCAGGCATGTCGCAGTCTTTCGCGTTCACTCGCTGCATTCTGATCCGCGGCGGCGTGCTCATATCGTTATAAAGGAGCTGGTTCTCGTAAACTGCTTTGAGAAAGGGCCCTTCGAGCCAGTCCCAAATTTCTTTCTCAGTCGTTACGTCGTGAAATCCTTTTTTGTCAGGGTCGAGTCTGTTTTAGTGAATTCTTTAGGTGATGAATAAGACCCTTTCCTGTGTCTTCGACGTACAGTGTCTTCATCGCATTTGTCAAATAAAAACTGTCGGAATTTGTGTACGAAAATGTGCAGATAGTCAACAAAGTCAGGAAGCAAATGTATTTGATGACTTCGTTGAGCCATGTTCGGAAAATGAATTCGTTCGTTCGATTCGTCCCAGGGCACGTGTACTTTGTCCGGAAGATCTTTTGACCCCATGTTAACGCGCCGGTGTTGGTCTGTTTCGGGGCATCTTCGTCGGAATCTGCTGGTTCGTCGTAATTATTATTATTTTCTAAGAAAATCAAAGATGTCGGACGAAGAAAAATTCAAACGTACCGTCAACGGAACTTTCCGAATTCTTCCTCGTTTTCGCAGACGGCGCTGGCACTTCTTCACTTTCTGGCTTTTTCTTCTTTTTCTTCAGAAAGCGCTGCCAGTTGTTTTCTGAATCGTAATGAATCTCAAGATCGTCCAACAAGATCATAGTCATTTTTCCTCTTATTAAAAAAACTTTTTAACTTTCGCCAAACTCACCCATAAACTCAACTGCCGAATCCATGGAAACGATTTTCTACTAATCGGATTATCCGGATATCGTTTTCTTCCGGACGCTTCTTCTACTGCCCGAGGAAGTCCGCTCTAAAAAATAGAGCTTTTCAAAAGACTGTGAACTTTAATTGAATAGGCAGGAGAATAATTTTTGAATAAGAATAACAACAAATCTTTTAAACTCAATTTAAAGTCTTATGACAATTTTTCCAAAGTGCGATTCTGAGACCATACTTTCAAAAGCCTCCGGAACACTTTCAAAATCAAAAACTTTCGAAATAGTCGGTTTGAAATAAATTTTAGAAATTTGCTCAAAATAAGCTTGTCTTTCGGAGAAAAAGCCAAAGCGGAATTCGGCGCCGGCGCCCGCTTCTTTTCTCAGATCGGACTGAACTTTTTGGTGGACAAGGATGAACTCGGGAACACTCATCGCCGACATTGAACCGAGCATTTGTAGGAGTGGCGAGGAGTAGCTGATTAAAGTTGACTTCTCGTGCTTCATAAAGCGACCCACCCATTCGTGGCTAAAGAAAAGTTTCATGGGTATATTTTCTTCTTTAGAAGATAAGCTTTAGATAAGAAGCCCTGTTACTTACGCTTTTCCATCCGCGCAGTCGAATACAAAATCATAGTCGTCGTCCACCAATCTCTTCCTATACTCTTCATCGTGATAATCCAAGACTTTCCCCGCGTTCTCGATTTTCCATACTTCTCTTCCGCCGATTACGTCAACTGTCGCCCCGTCTTGAAGCAAGAGCTGTGTTAGGACGGTCCCAAGCCCTCCTGTAGCACCAACTATCAGGATTTTTTTCGTATTTACGTCAGCAAGCGTTTTCACAGTAGGACATCCGAAAAGTGATATTCCACCGCTTATCCCTAGAAAATCAATAATCCAACTCTATTAAGATTTATAATCTAACCAAGAGACGACATGATAGTAGAAGTGACGAACGGAAGACAGGCATTCTCCTCGGGTGAAAGCTGCCCATTCTCCGGAAAGAGTGCCTTTTCATTCAAGACCATTCTCTCCTGCAAGGAGCCCGAGTCGAAAGGATGTCTGACACCGACAACATGATCGCCTTTTTTGAATCTTTCTCCATCTTTCATCACAGTCGCATGGAAATCTCGACCAGGGATGACGCCGACAGATGCGTCGTGCGTAGAGAGCCCAAACGTATTGCCGAGCTTCTCCCAAATCTCTCGGAGATTCTTTCCGCGCCCGTTGACCATCCAGTGATCGATCGGATTCAACGATACGGCGTTTACTTTCACAGTCACGTGGCTATTGTCACATTTGATCAGCGGTGTAGTGGGAATCTCGACTTCTCTCAATGACAGTACTTTTGAGGGGTTTCCATATTCAGTAGCACTCCAAACACGGGTCGAGAGTTTTCGTGCAAAACGCATGTCAACTTTCTGAAATCGACAATTCTTGATTATTTAAATCTAGTGGAATGGCAGTGGAATGTTCCGAGAAAATGAGAAGAAATCAGTGGAGAAAGCTGGTCGAGCGCAAATTAAATCTTCGGATTCCGGAAAATATGGTTCCGCTTTCAAAGCTCGGAAATTTTTGACTAAAGAACCGGCGATCTTTCACTGGAGAATTGACGGATCGGGGCTTGCCATATGCGATCCTCATCACTTTTGGCTCCGACATCTTTTCATGGTCGAAGTGCTTGAGGACAGATTCGTTGATGGCTCTGGGATAGCCCTTATTTTGGGGATCAAAATATGAAAAGATAACTTTTATCGGTAGAGTCTGGGCTCGGCAACCTGTGTGAAAACCTGACTCAGGCATTCTACACAGGTTCTCGAGCCCAGCATAGAGTTAAAAGAAAAAGACTGATCGTGAATAGATTATTTTTAACCCCACAGCCAGTCGTGAACATTCTTCGTTCTTCTCTTTTTCTTTGATTTCGGTTGTCCATTACTGTCCCTTCTTATCCTGTCGCCAAAGTCCTTGCAATGAATTTTTCTTTTCCCGAATGAAACCTTGCGGTAACAGATGTTAACTTAACATTTCCATTAGCGTCAATTTCCGCGTCATCCGATCCTGAAAAAAAGAAGCGTCTGGGATGCGAGAGATGTCGGAAAAACACCGACGGGCTCGACAAGCATCATGCTCGCTGCTGGCTCATCGTCCCTGATAATCAATTCCGTGAGACAATGAATGTTGCGGCGGAGGAAGGCAACACGAGCTAGAATACTCTTTCCTTTTCGCACAGCTGGAAGGAAAGCCTCGCCGCATGAGAGAAGGCTGAACATGCTTCCATCTTTTGGATGAATGTCCCGGAGACTGGAAATCAGTTTTTCCTGATGAATGGTTGAAGAAATACTTGAGTCTCGCGCCCGTAAAATGGGGACCCCTATTTTTTATCTTGAAAGCCATTGCGTAGCTGCTTTTCAACCTTTCCTGACAAATACTTCCATGTTTAAACATCAAATTATAAAAGCTCGTAGCTCTTTCTTGAACTGCGCTTTCGAGGCCCTCTTTTCCAGGTATCATTTCTGGTCCAGTATCTCTCAAGCTAAACTGCGCCATTTTTATCAGTTCATCTTCTTTTCCATTACGCTCGGCCAAAGTTTACATCAAAAATAATTCGTCGAAAAATATTCTCTAGAAAAAAAAACTGGAGAAGGAAGTGTTCGTGTGTAAGCTTGTGTTGAACAAGCTGCCAAAAAAAGAAAGAACAAAAGCTTGAACATACAAATTTACTCACAACCTCTTGACTTTGTTCAGCTTTAAAATTCACGAAATTCTGGTTCTAGTTTCAAGCTTGAAATTCTGACAGGAGACTCACAAAGACTCTATTTCCTGTGTATGCAGACTATGGGTTCCGAAACCTGTGTAGAGCACCTGAGTCAGGGTATTAGCGACTTCGGTTTTAAAACAGCCTTGCCGCGGTGGCTTTTCATTGGATATCTTTAAAACCCTGACTCAGGTTTTCTACGCTGGTTTTCGAGCCAAACACAGGCTAGGGTTTAGACTGAGCGCCTGTGAAGAATTAATCTTCTTTTCCTGAGTCAGGCTAACTAAGATCTGAGTAGAGCACACAGGTTTTTAGTCCCTACACAGTTTTCTACACAGGTTTTTACGGAGAAAATCTTGAGAATACAGAAAAAAGTACTCCGTGTCGGGGAATCGAACCCCGGTCGCCCGCGTGACAGGCGGGAATACTCACCACTATACTAACACGGATGGGAGGGAGAAGCAAAAACGTAATTATAAATCGGCCGACCGTTTCCTAATCTCGCCACATCGACGAAAGGATTCAGAAGAAGTCCCCGGAGCAGTTGCAACATTCTCAGCTGTCTCTCCGCGACAGAACACATCGAGCATTGTTGAATGATGAATCTTAGTTGGGGGAGGATTTCGTTCAGATGGGGATTGCTTTCGAAGTCTTTGGCGAAAAAAGCAACACGTTCGTCTTCGTACTCGTCGCCAAGTCCGTGCGTGAGATGAATCAAGTAGAGGTCCCAGTGGCCGGGGTAGTAGCGAGACTTGTGTTGGAAGACTTTTGGTTGCTTCTGAATTTTAGAGATCAGGAATTTATTTTTGGTTTATAAAAAGGAGCCACGGGCGTAGGAAAGACAAACAAATCTTGATTTAGATCTCTTCCTTTAGAAATTTGGCGGTCGGTTTTCCATCAACCAAGATAGCATATTTCTCCATCGAAAAAGAAGAAAAGAGCATTTCAGGTCTTTCTTCTTCAAGGGACAATTCGCTCAAATCTATCGACTTTGGGACGTGGAAATGCAACGCGTTTCCTTCGTAATTTACAACTCCGTATTCTGGCTCATGAGCGGCTAGAAAAGGAGCTTCTCCGAATTCTTCCAAAATATGCTCCAAGTCGTCGGACTGTAAATTCTTTCTGCGGCAGCGAGAAGCATGTTTGACGCTCTTTTTTACAAGCACTTGGAGTCTGTAAGTCAAGTCTTCTGCTTTTCAAGGGATTTCAAAAATGAAGAAATATGGTCAACAAAAAGCGAGAAGCCGCTTGCGGCTTCGAGTATTAAAAAAAAGAAGCCGCATATATACATTAAAAGATGCCTGGAAAGGTTTAGCGGGGCTATCGATCGGGCACCCAAAAATGCCTGTTCGCTTGAACCCTTTTCTCGGTTTGGGGCTAGGGGACCGGAAATACCTGTCTGAAAGGTACTTTCAGGGAGGTGCCCGGCCGATAACCTTCTACTACGGTAGTAGTACTACCCTTGGAAATCCCTCACCAAAAGAGCAGCTAATTTCTCCTCGTTCGCCAATTTCAAATTCAGCTCCTCGGCCGCCGAGATCACCATTTTGGGAGAAACAACCGCCACTACTCGCTTTTCCGACTTTGCACTCATGCTTAATTTTACTCACTTTTACTGAACTTCTTTTTCGGACTCTTTTCAAAGCATATTGCACGTAAGTTTACATATTGCGACTTTTTTTTGTTGGAGAAGCAGGAACTCAAAAACTTAAGAAATGGACAATTCAAGTGTTTCGGATTATTTTTAGTCTAGAATAGTTAAAATAGTAGATTTCGCGTGTAGTCGACAGAAAGGAAAATGAAAAGAATATGAAGAAGCAGCTTTAAATAATTTTAGTTAAAAAACAGGTGGCGTCTGCAAGGAACGATGCAAGAGACACTAGTCCGAGGGCGAGAGGTGGCGGGTCAGGACGTAGCAGAGAAGGGGCTGCACGACGGCGATTCCAAGCGTTAAGTATTGCCTGAAATTGAATGTTAAGAATATTTGAAGAAAATAAAAACATGCATCTGGGTACGGCAATCTGAGTAGAAATCTTGAGTCAGGGCCCTAAAAGATTTTCTATGAAAGGCAGCGTAGATCTATTAGGATCCTAACTCAGGACTTCTACACAGGTTAACGAGCCCAGCATCTTAGCAAGTTGACAGATAAAACAGGCAGTTCAATGCTCATTCCCATGCCGGAATCACCATCAGTCTCAAGAAAAAAAAATACAAATACCGAGAAGTTCAATTATTCTCCTCTAAGAAAAACAGAACTGATCGGTACCCATGTACGATGATGGATAGAAGCTTACCAAGTTTTCCTTCGAATATGACAATTTATTGGGGGCGTGTCATTATTAAGAATGTCTCTACTTTTTAAATTTCAGTTAATATTTCAACTCTACAATCTGACAAGTAGTAAGGACGTGCTTTTTTTAAGGTTAACGAAGTTTTCCAGCCCACTTCCGCCTTATAGACCCCCTAACACCATACCTTTTTAGAATCAGCAGTAAATTCTAAGAATTTTGACCATTTAAAATTCTAGAAAACTCCACTTCCGGTCGATTCTAGAGCCGGAAGTCGACGAAATTTGGGAGTAATATTAGAGTGCGACCTATCAAATTGATGCTCAGAAGATTTTGATTCACCCTCTAATCAATATATCAGAAGATAAAGTCCCAAACGTGGTCAAACCGACCGGTAAAATTATGTAAAAAAGGCATAAAATCATCAAATTTTTTTCAGTTTTTTTCGGTTGGTTTGATTCTCGTTGGTGTCGATTCTTTTCTTAAATGATAGGGAATCGTCTGAGCATCAATTTGATAGGCCACACTTCGCCCTTACACCTAAATTTCGACAACTTCCGGCTCTAGAATCGACCGGAAGTGGAGTTTTCTAGAATTTTAAATGGTCAAAATTCTTAGAATTTTCAGCTGATTCTAAAAACGTATGGTGATAGGGGGTCTACAAGGCGGAAGTGGGCTGGAAAACTTCGTTAACCTTAAAAAAAGCACGTCAAGGCATAAAACTTACTTCCTAGTGTCCCCAGCGGCGTATTGTCCGTGCGCGGCGGCCGAGTTCGACTGGACGCGGACTTTGAGCGATCTCACCAAAAATGTGCAAAGAGCAATAGATCCGTAAATCAACGCTCCAAGGAAGACTGCGTGGCTATTTGAGACCAATCCACAAGTAAGCGCTAGAATAATCGGGACGAATTTGTAGCCAGCGAATGCGATGATGTCCAAATAACCGAGATCTGATTGAATCTAAAACAACAATTGAAAATTACTTGGATGAGCTAGGATGATTTGAACCTGTAACAAGAAAATGACCATAAGAGTAACTAAAACTTCAAGAACAATCCAGCCAGTAGCACCGCTGGCATATTCGCCAAGCTGTTCGGGGTTGAACTCGCCATGAAGACCGATACTGTAGCCAGCGAGAAGGATGTATGTGATGAAGCCCATTGTCGGAATGTACATGTCGTGTGCGTTTTCGTCATCCCTGAAGTTTAAAAATTATACCGAAAAAATGACGATTGAAAAGTAACCTTGGGCAGACAGGATTATTTGCGTCATTTTGAAATTTCGTGTGCCACTCGCTTTTGAAAAAGGGCAACAGAATGGACTTTAGTTTACTCGCCACGTAAGCGTTGTCCACTGCGAACAGGTATCGAAGCCGCGTCGTTGGAATGTACTCTAAAAGGATAGTTGTACAAACAGTAACTGTAAGTAAGAAAGCTGCGGGTAAGGGGAGGGAGTGCGCTTACGTTGAGCTTTTGCCTTCAATTGGTCGGTGTGTTGGTTGAGGAATTGCTGGCCCATCTGGAGACCCATTTCTCCAATTTGCTGGTTCGGGATGAAATTCCTGAAACTCTTTTTGAATAGTGAAAGCAATTAAATACTCGTACATCGGGTTCGGCGCAAAACTGGCTTGAGTTGTTGGAGTCTGTTGAACTTGCTGTTGCTGCTGTTGTGGCTGCTGCTGGTATTGGTTCTGGGAATAGCCCTGTTGCTGCTGGTTTTCATAGGGATTGTTAAGGTTTGTCTGATATCCGGAATTCTGGTCGAACTGGCCCGGGTTGTAGTAGTTCGAGTAGTCTTCGAAGCCTTGGTGACTCATTCTGAAATTGGAATCAAGGAGGAGATTTCATGCAAAAAGAGTTTGTTGAAGCAGCTGCAGGAAATTTCGAGTCTTGAAGAAAAGTAAGTCACAGTGGATATTCTAGTAGTTCTTGGCTTTCAGAGGGGTGATGAGGCTGTGATTGGTAGATGCCTGATTGAAAATTGAAATTAAATTTTTGAAGCTAAAAATCAGCTTTGATTAGTTTCACTTTCAAAATCATTGGCAGGCTTGTTATTTTGATTCTCGGCAAGATAGGCAAAAGATTCACTCCTTCCTTTTGACAAGGGCAAAAGTCGATTCACGAGATCACCGGCCAGGCGGTAGAAAATGAAGAAAACGTCGCACAGGAGCTTCGCCAGGACTTTTTCCGCAAAGGTGTGAAAATAAAGCTGGGTGGCGACTGAAATCGGTCAGTAAGAAAGACTTTCCAATGATCAGCTTACCAAGCATAACAAGCCACAGTAGTACTAGAAGAAAATTCCAAGCAATCGCCAGGACGGTTAAAACTTCGAGGATGAAGGAATGCGTTCTTTTGAAGAATTCTCTAGCAGGATAAAACAGTTCGGCGATGGTCAAATAAATGCACCAGGAGAGCAGAAAAGTGTGTCCGGAAATGTCGAAATGATCCCAAGTATGGCCATTTGAGCGGCACAACCGTTTTGTCGCATAAGAGCTAGAATTTTAAATTTTAAATCAAAATACAAAAATCACCCTTTCTCTTACCTGACAGCACTGAAATTAGCGTCTCGACAGGTGCCAGTCAAATCGCCGAGCTTGAAAGTGAACTGGGTTCCTAAAAACCACACAAGGGTTCCAAAAACGCCAATTTTCAAAATCGCTCTGATCGAGTTTTGTCGAAAATCGTCCCTGAGCGCCCAGCTGACTAACACCACCGCGGGAAAAAGCGAGTAAAGCGTCCATCCCCAAGCCCACTTGACAAACAGAACATTCAGAATGTTTTCCGCGTTGGAGAAAAATGAGCTAAAATATACATTTTAACAGGCGATTACAGGACTTGGCTCGGCAGTCTGTATAGAATGCCTGAGTCAGGGTCTGAATGATCTTGAACGAAATAACCATCTCTAATAGAGATTCTCTATTTTAAATTCTGGCGAAACCGCAACGCGGCTTCTTTTACCAAAAAAGCCGCGAGTCGACTTCTGACTTTGAAGATCTTTGAGACCCTGACTCAGGTTTTTCGCAGGTTCCCGAGCATAGTTTTAGGAGAAATTTGTGTTTTTTCATTATGAAAATCTTCCCTAAAGTTTAAAAATATTTTATAGAGCAAATCACCTTGGAACAAAAACCACGCTGCTCAAAGTCGACAATCCCAAAACCAAGCTCCAACTAAAAATGCACCAAATTTTCGTCTTTTCGCAAAAAATTCTCTCCGCCATTCTTTCTTCTCAAAATTTCACTCTCACTCCGAAAAAGTCATTTCTCGTATTCGTGGCCGTGGGAAAGTCTTTTTCAATTCTGGCCAATCGAATCGGCGCCTGAGCGCTTGAGCTCCGAGCTCTTTGGTGATGTGGCCGGCCGGAGGGGCACCCGGCGATCCCGTTTTTTGTCTTTTTGAACCTTCTGATTTTGGCTGTTACGCGCTCCTTTTTGTTGATAGAGAAAGATTGGGGGAAATTTATTTGTGCGGAAAATGAAAACCAGAAGAGAAAAATTGGAGGAAAACAAACTAGAAATCCTACGATTCATTTTTTCAAATTTATTTTCCTAAATACTGTATTTATTAAAAAGACTTATCGCCTTATTTTTATTCTGAATATGCTCAAGTTTTTTCTTATAATTGCAATTTCTAACGCATTCAATATGCCTCAGTGCTGAATTTTAACAGATTTTTTCCACTCGAATTCAGGTAGTCTTCTTTCACATTTTTGGGGCTCGTAAATCCGTCAAAATGGCGATAGCTTCGTGAATTTCAAAATCTGGCCTCAGGAACCTGTATAGAATACCTGAGTCAGGGTCCTGAGAAAGCTATTACAAAAAGCCGCGAATGCGACTTCGCTTTTTCAGGACCCTGATTCAGGTTTCCTACACAGGTTGCTGAAACTCGATGAATCGAAAACCGTAAATATTATAAGTAAATATTAAATTTTTTACCCTTCCTCCATGAATATCCTTCGCAACGCGGTGTTTTCCTAGAATGTCAGCAGATACAGTTGCCCCGGTAGAAACGACGAAAGCGATTTTCCGAAAACTGCGAAGTCTTCCGGAAAACAAAGTCTGTTTCGACTGTTGCACGAAGAATCCGTCCTGGTGCACGATTCCTTACGGCGCGTATGTTTGCCTTGAGTGTTCCGGAGTTCACAGGAGTCTGGGAACTCATTTGACTTTTATCAGAAGCTCAGGTTAGCTCAGGAAGCCGCTCTTTTAGTTTTAAAACTAGTTTTTAACTAGATTTGGACGGAGCATGGACTTGGAAGCAGCTTCGATGCATGCAAGTCGGTGGAAACGCGAAAGCACGCGCCTTCTTCCGAGCAAATGGCGGAGAAACTTCGGACAAGAATAAGAAATATTCGTCCCGAGCGGCGACGCTATACAAAGCGAAGATCGAAAAATTGGCGCTCGAAGCAGTGAGAAAATACGCCGGAGAAACACACATTGGAGCCGTCGCTTCTGCTGATGATAGTGCCCCAGCGAAGAATCGACATGACGATTTCTTCAGGTAAAAAATGAGAAAATAATTCTTTTGTGCTAGAATCGTTTTTCAGTAAATTCGACAACGCAGACTTGAAGCAAGAAGCTCCCGTCCCCGCCCAAGTGAAACAAGAAGCGATTATCGTCACTCCAGTTGAACCAGAAAAGACCCTTGCCGAAGTTTCAAACGGAATGGACAAGTTGTCCGTCAACCTCGAGACGAAACCAGCCAAACCCGTCAAAGTTGCAAAGGTTTGTTAAAGTCCGCGATCACGCTCAATGAAATCGATTCTTTCAGCTGGGAGCGAAGAAAACAGGAAAGAAGAGCGCTTTTGGAGGAGCCAAAAAGGTCGACAAAACTGCCTTCAAAGCTGCTTCTTCCGCGGCTGAACGCGTCGAGAAAGAAGAAAAGGTAAATTTTCTCTTTCTGGAGTTTTTTCAGAACGGTTTATAGCCTATAAATTATAGGTTGTGCAGAAGATGGATTCAGGAGAAGCAACTCTTTCGACAGAAGCTGCTGCGCGACTCACTTACAAACAGGTAAATATGACCATAAAGGTGACCGCCCATAACTTCTTCTTCTATTTTTAGATCGAGCGAGATCAAAAGAAAGCTTCGGCGAATCTATCCGGCAAGAAAGCGGAGTCAGCTGCTCGTCTTGGAATGGGCTTTGGCGGAATGAGGTCCGTTCCTTCTCTTTTTGGCTGATTCTAGCGCTGTTTTAGGACTGTTACTCATGACACGGATTTCCAAGAAATCCGGCAAGTCGAAGCTTCCACTACTTTCAAAGAGCCGTCTATTCTTGACGAAGAGTCGATGGGCTCTTTCTCTCGACGTAAGGAAGAAAATGACGATCTGGCTGACCTTTACGCCGCTCGAAAGGTGAGAATTAAAGGTCGTTAATAAATAAAAACTTGGTGCTAATAAGTAATTATTAATTTCTCTTCTTCTCGCTTTCAAATTTTAAAGATTAATTCACTGCCATCAACACTTCCTTTTAAAAGTTCGAATTCGTAATCAAATTTGTTCGAGAATTTACGTCTAGGAAATGAACCTTGGAATGCATGAAAACTAATCACTCTTAATCTAAATCTTTCGGAAGTAAACTAACACTAATTGGTTCAGGGCGAAAACATGTATCAAAGGTTCGCTTACTAGATGAATTCATCTGCGTAAGTCAAAAGTCTCAAAAAATTCCAAAATTCAAAATTGCCGTAGATGCCAAAAAAAGAACGAGCACTTTCTCTCTCTCCTTTCTTACTTACTTTTCTTCTAGTTTATTTAAAAAATATTGCAATATTCAACAAGCTATTTATCGAAAATATTCTGTTCAACTACTAGCGAAATTCCTGCTCTCTTTCAAGTTCTAGCCGAATTGAAATTTCAAACTTGTATCAGAAAAAAGAGAAACTTAATTTTGAATTAAAACTTCTGAATTCTTGATCTCTTTTTCAAGATTTTTCAAAAAGTGTACTTTTTACTCTTTGAATTTGTAACTGTAACTTTTTAACCGGGTCAATATCCGTTGCTTATTGACAATCACGAAAATCATCGATGATTTGCATAGACAAACTACAATCACACGGTGGGCTCAGCAACATGTGTATAGAACCTGAATCAGGGTCAGAAATATCTCGAATGAAACAAAGCCGCTTCTTCTGAGATATTTCAGGCCCTGACTCAGGTTTTATACACTTGCCCAGCCCAGCTGGCATGATTGCTATGTGTTTGAATAGAGTTGAATTTATGCCGTGCCATTTCGTCGTAAAATTTACTTATAAAAAATAACGCTCTCTTCAATTCGAAGTTCCTCCTATTCGTGTTCCCGCTTTTTCAAAAAAAAACATAATCCTCCTTTTTCATTCCTTCCGTCTTTCTAGCGTTGTTTTTAGAACAATGTCTCCAGTTTTACCGAAGAGAAGAGCTCTTCTTCTCGGGGAATGATGTCGCGGGACAGCAACTCTTCCAGCACGACGAAAATCGCCCCGACTTCGGCCTCCTTCGACAGCAACAAGTACCAAGGAGCGAAGGCGATCTCCTCGGCCGATCTCTTCGGGGATGAGCCTCATTCCTCCGATAGCACTCCTCAGTCGAGATTGAGCCAGTTCTCGGGCGCCAGTGGGGTCGGATCTTCCGACATCTTTGGCAATGGAAACAGCTCCTCTTCCTCCTATTCTGGATACAACATCAGGTTCGAACCCTCCCAAATCAGACCAATTCAGACAGTAATTTAGGGACCAAGCTTCGAACATCGCCGACAACGCTGCGTCAATGGCTGGCAGTGCCCTGAGTGCGGGCTGGAACGCCTTCAACAAACTCAAAGACAACTACTCGTAGATTACTCTGTATACTAGTAAATTTATCCTCCTTACTAGCAATATTATTCAATTCTGCTACAACTTTACTTTCCTTTTTTGTTCCGCTCGTTTTTCTCCTTTTTCATGTTTTTTTTTACATAATTACCTTAATTTGTAGCTAAATTTAAAGTTATTCTTGATTGACTTAGTGGAGCGTAAATCCTTTAAAAATAGCTCGCTCCACCAAAATCATAATTCGAGCAAAGAGGCGAAGAACAAGCTATCCTTATCTATTTATATTTTATGACCTTATCCCGTTTTCCTTCAGCAATTTTGTTATTTTAAATTCCTGAGTTCGCAAATCAGGCCCCATTCATTCAAACCCTGTACCATCAACCATCGAATCATTGTTTTTTCTTCTTCTATCATGATTTTACTGTCACCTATCCTCCCTTCCTATAATATCCTTTCATATTATCTTTCGGGTTGCTGCAATATCTTCTTTTTTTTGGTGACTGAATAAAGACCCAAATTCATTCGTTGTCTTTGTTGTCTTCGACGGGTGCATATTCACAGGTTTTACAATGTAGAGTCAACGAGAGCATCTTTACTTATTTTAGAATGGTTGTTGCCGCCGCCGTTTTCCTTCTGGCGGGTGTAGCGGTGGCACAGGACTTCAACAAGAAGTTCGAGTACCAGTATTCCTTCAAGGGCCCCTACATAACGCAGACTGATGGAACCATTCCCTTCTGGTCTCATCACGGACACGCTCTTGCCGGCGACGACAACATCCGTCTTGTTCCATCTTTGAGAAGCCGTCAGGGCTCTGGTAAAGCAATCTAAAATTTTAGATTCTAAATCTTTCTGGAACTCATTTGCCTTTTCAGTTTGGACAAAGAAGGCCTTTGAAAAAGACTGGTGGGAGATCGAGGTCTTCATCCGCATTTCCGGACGTGGCAAAGTCGGCGCCGACGGAATGGGAATTTGGTACACAGTCGAAAACGGCGAAATGACCGACCCGTAAGTCGCCACTTTTCCGCCAAGTATCTTACTGTTTGTTTCAAGACAGAAAAACGTCTACGGCGCGAAGGATCAGTGGATGGGCTTGGGTATCTTCCTCGACTCGTTCGACAACAACGGCAACCACGACAATCCAAAAATCATGGCTTTTATTAACGACGGAACTAATTCTTATGACCATGCTAATGTACTAGCTACAGTTATTCTTCTCTCAAATTGAAGCTGATTTAAGGATGGTGGTTCTACTGCGCTGTTTTCCTGCCGCCGGGACTTTCGAAACAAGCCTTATCCAGTCAGACTGAAGATTCGTTACTACAAAAGCACGCTGACGATCTTCTACCACGCGGGAGTCACTGAATTTGACGATTACGAGTTCTGCGGCTCTGCTGATGTAAGTATCGAAATAGCGACAGAGGCTCGAAATCTACTGTAGAATGTTGTTCTGGAAAAAGGCTTCTTCGGTTTGTCCGCGGCTACAGGTGGCCTGAGCGATGATCACGACGTCATGAAGTTCCTGACACACTCCATAACCGATCCAGAGAGCAAGGATGCCCAGCCGGACGAGGCGGAACAAGAGGAGATTCAGAAATGTAAGAGAATTTTCTTCCCAGCTGTTTGAATCACTTTCTGGCGGAAAGGAGTAATCTGTTGTTTAGTGGAGGAAGAGCTCAAGCAAAAAGTAGACGAGCTCAACACGAAATTCACCGAGGATAAGGAGAAATTCGCCGAGGAGAATCCAGATCTAGCACCGAAAGAGCAGCTCGACATTGGAAGCGATGATCCACAATTGCAGCTGATTTTTACTGTTCAAAATCACATCCAGCAAAATATCAAGGTATTTAGCTATTGAGGTTTTCGCCTTCCAAGAAATTGATTTTCGTTTTAAGACGATCGCGTCGGACATTGCGTCTGTCAAAGAAATGATAGATATGTTGCCCGCTAAGATTTCCGTACCCGCAGCTGCGGAGAGCACTGGCAACGCTAAAGATGCTTCTCCTCCCAATCCTCCAAGTCAGGCATCTAATGAGGCTGTTGATGCTATCAGGATAGTTGACGGGAAGACGAGCAAGATGACTAACGGAAAGGGCCTGAATGAATGAAAAATTCTTTTTTCGGAAATTTATCTGGCGCTAGGACATTTGTCATTTTTTTTAATGGATGAGTGAATAATCGAGCATCTGATCGCCGTAAAAGACGATTTTTTCATCTTCTCTTCTGATGAAAGCGTTATTACTTAGTTGAACGATCCGTTTTAGCGGTAGTAGGACGTTATAAGTCGGGCAGGCCCTTATCAAAAAGCTTTAAGGTAGGGCCTAACCCTAACCCAAAGCGCGATGCCTCCGGGACCCCCCCCCCCAAATTTCTAACACTGTTTTAGCCCTCTATTAATCAAAACCCAAATCATGACCCTCGAAAAAGACCTGAATGCACTTCGCCAAGAACTCTCTAAAATCGCAAACGCCGTGGCCACTCTTCAATCGCAGCCAAAAGCGGCGACGGGCAACCCGAGTCAAAACATCGAGGACGCCCAGTTCCGAAAGCTCCAGCAAGACACGATGAATAATCTCAAGCAAGACATTCAGACAATGACGCTCAAAATCGGCAACATCGAGCGGCAAAAAAGCGCCTGCCCCAAGATCCCGGAAGTTTCCTGTGTCTCTTCCACCACCTTCGTCTTCCTAACTCTCGTACAAATTTGCGTCATTGCCTTTTTGGTCCACTACAAGATGAGCCAAGAGGCACAGGCCAAGAAATTCTTTTAGACTTTTTTTTTAGGATTTTTAAGATTAATTTTCAAAGATTTAGACCGAATAATATCAATTTTCGAAATTTTCAAGATTCCGTTTTTCCTCCTTGATTTTTTTTTTGCGTTTTGAGATTATTTTTCCCATTATTTTCTTCAACCTATCTTTTCCTTATTTAAAGTCGTACTTCTCCATTTTTCACTCGCCCAATCAATTTAGTTTCATTTAGCAATCATTTAGTTGAATAAAAAATTTCGCCCCTATCTGCCCTAACGAACCAATGCTCGACTACTGTGATAAATCTTTCTGTTCATTCTCAACTTCTGCTCTACCAGCGTACTTGTGCAATATTTGTTCCAATTTCAGTCAGCTACTTTCTACAGTTCTGGTGTGTTTTACAGTTGCAAAACAATATTTAAAAAAAATAAACTAGCGGATAATGATTTTATCCGCAACTCAAATCAGAAAAAGTAAAGAAAGCGAACTTACTGTAGTTTGCTTTAAACGCTTTCATTATTGATGGCAGGCTAAACAAATGGAATTAATAATTCAGCAGGGGAGGATATCATAATTGACGGTACCCATTTCAGACTCAAAAAAAGAATCAACTCAACCTTTTTACTTTCAAGCCAAGCCTCGAGGATTCGTTTCTTTTGTCCTCTTTGCTTTTACTGAAGCGGAAGTACACTCAAATAGTCGATTGAAACAGAGTACAATACTCTTAAGAGTTTCCATTTTTCTTAAATTTGCCGCAAAAAATGTCCGAAAAAGAGAATAAATTTCAACTGGAAGTTAGCGAAAGTGGCGATGAAAAGAGCGAACTGCCAAAGTCCGTCGAGTATTTACAGTATATTTCTGTATTCATTCTTTTGGTTCTCGACGGACTCCTGATTGCTGTGATTTTGATTGTTGAACGGGTGAAATTAATTGATGAGTATTAGCGGGTAAATATTAAGAACTTCCCGTTCAACAGCGAGTTTAGTTTCCCGTCTGAATATTGTAGTTGAGGAGGGATTAAGTATTGATGCTTCTGCTGACTTGGAGTCCAGCGCGGATTCCGCCGCAGCAGAAAGTGGTTTCGCACACGCTGTCTTCATGTTTTATCCACAGAGAGAAATTACAGAAACGTGCTTTCAATATATACCCCACAATGCCATCATAACAAAGTTTTTTTAAAACAAAATAGGGAATCCCAAAGTTCATCCCCTTTTTCTGAAAAGTGATTTTTGGAAAGAGTAAACGTAATAAGCCTGAGGCTACAAAATCCGGGCGTAGAGAGGGGTCACCATTCGAGCCATCCAATATCTCTAGAATCTGGGCTACTGTTAAAGGGGGGGGGGGTCCGGGGGGCGAAGTCCCCTGGTTTAGGCCTTAGGTGGGGGTCGTAGCCCCCTGGGTTAGGGTTAAGCGCACCTCGAACTATGTAAATGCAAATGACGTTAAAATAAGGACCTCCCAGAGCTATTTGCCAATTAAAATGGTGACCCTGAAATCTTAAATTGAAAACACAAATCAAGTTGGTCAAGAAACGACTGCTCATGAAGCCATTCCAGAAATAGAAAAAACAGTTGGTAAGCAAGCAATCTTCATTTAATTAGTTTTTAATTTCTCTATTATGAAACGGATTTTAGTTATCATACTTCTTGTATGTGTGGCGCTTGTATTTTTTATTCTCCTCGAAGTGGCAATTTGGGGATGTCGCCGAAGAAGAGATGCGAAGGCTTTGACAAATTACGATGTAAGCAAGTAACTGTACAGAAAAATAAATCAAGAGAAAAAAATCCTGCAACCCTCTCATGAGTATCTTTAAGGTTATTTCTTGACTTTTAAATATCCCTCTACTCAGATCATAGCTTATTGAGATTTCATTTTCAAAAATATTTTTCACGAAGGCAACCAGTTTTTATTTGATAAAAACAAATAATATTAAAACAGCAACAAGAAAATTCAGACGCAATAATCTGCTCTTGTTTGTAACAAGGGAGGGCCGAGGCTTTCAAAATCATGCCCGCCAATCACAACTGAATCAATTAAATCGTCGTTCATCATTTTGATTCTCTCCACGGGAAAAAGACCTTCTGAGTTTCGTTCGTAACCAGAGACAATAAAGATGTAATCGCCGATTTTTAATGATGAACCAACGTTAATATACTAAAATTGACTGGTTTACTTTCATGTATCACAGGAATTAAAAAACCTCCTTCAGATATCCAATAAGTTCCCATACTTCATCATTCAAAATCCAGATATCTTTAATAAAATCTCTTTCAGCTTCATCGTATCCACCCGCCATGATCATAGCACCACTTTCCAAGCCAGTTAAAGTATGAGAATGATAAATTCTCAAAAAATTATAGTTGAACACAATCAAATCGGGTTACTTAGGATGATTGACCAAGCTAGTCCAGCCTTCAGGTGAGTATGTTTCAACTTTTTGCCATCCGTCAATCAAGTATCCCCCGACTGTTGTTGGCTTTCCTTTATAGTATCCAAGATTTCCAAATCTATGACGAAATTGTGAGGAATGCGTTTTCGTTATAGTAATTGTATCAAAAATCTCGCAATTTTTCGACGTGGTGGTGTCAAAGCCAGGGTTCTAAATCAGAGCGAAAAATCAGAAGTCGAGTCGAGTCGAGTCGTAACGCCATCTGAAAATTCACTAGTCGAGTCGAGTCGACTTAATCGACTTATTAATCGAAAAGTCGAAAAAACTTGAAAAATATAAAAATTTTGTCGAAAATTATAAATTTAATCGAAAGTCGAAAGCGAAATCGTTAAGTGATTCTTTTTGACATTTTTGACTAGATTTTCGACTTGTTCGAGTAGATTTTTTGACTTACTCTGCAATATTGTTCTCGACTTTTTCGACTAGTCGACAATCGCCTCCCTAGGGACATTTTTAGGAGTGGTCGCCTCTCGCCCAGATTGCCTCTTGTCAAAGTCGCCTCCTGCCCAGATCGCTTCTTGCCCAACTTAGGCGGGAAGAGATCTTTGGCGAGAGGCGATATTAGATTATATTCATTTTAAACTAAGAAGGAATTATTCAAGTTTGGCGAGAGGCCATCTTGGGAAGAAGGCTTGGAACACTCCAAAATCACTTCATTTAGAATTCCCTATCATTACTTACACCCGTTCAGCAAGAACCTATCGTCGTAAAGCCTGAGCCATACTTATTAAACTCATTTGAAAGAAATAATTCGCTAGATGAGCCGGTACAGTAAGGAAATTTCGGAACTTTTGACGCTTAAGGTAGCAGGGCAAGTGATACATGAAAATGATAATGGTGTAATGAATCATTACTAATGATCTACATGTGAAGCTAAGTTCCACAAAAAAGAGGATTTCATGTATCGCATCCCCTGCTACTTCAACAAAGTTAAAAACGCTCAGAGCCGTTTGAAAATTACCTGGGCGAACTTACTATTGCTCTAGCGCCTAGGGGTTACATCGTAGCCCCAGACATCTGTATACGGATCGGTGGAGAATCTCTAGCTCCATGCCTGTATCATCTTAGATTTTCAAGATCTCAGAAATTTCGGATTTATGGCGATTTTTCATTTTTAAAAGGGCAACGTGTCCCTTATTCTACCTATCACAGCACTGTATTTGACGCATTTGCCCCGGTAAATTTGTAACGTCTCTCAGTGTCCAAACTTTGGTAATTATGGAACGTCAGTAGCTCGCGATGATGTCATAAGTAAGACCTTTTCTCCACAGTTCCAGCTCACCCTATGAAATTTTTAACCCCTATACGCGAAGCCGCATAAAGAACCCCTTTACCCGAAGTGTACAATTTTTGTCGATTTGACCTTTCTCTTGAGGTAATCTTCTGAAATTCTCTGATTATACAAAATCGATCATTTTCTTTCGAACTGCACTTTTAGATTTTTATTAACTTTTGATAAACCTGATACTGATTAACCTCTCGCCCAGGTCGCATTTCGCCGAACTTGGGGGGGAGGCGATCTTGGACCTTAGTCGAAACTTGACTAGTGGATTAAGAACCCTGGTCAAAGCATATCAGCGCTTAAACAGAAAGTTAAAATATAATTTTTAGCACTTTTAAAATTGACACCTCGTTGTCCATCATCAATATTAATAGCAGAAAACCCAAAAGCAAAGTCGTTCGTAAGTCGAGCGGGCATTAAAGATAGGCTACAATTATCGAGTCTAGAGATCTTAAAGAATTTGTATTATATTTGACATTCTTTTTAATAAATCTCTAACCATGAAAGGTCGTTCTCCCCCAATAATATAGAATTGTCCTTGAATGAAAGCAGATTTCGCATTATCTGCATAACCATTTGAATACTCAGAATCGATAGGTGCACTTTTTTGCGAAAGTCCATCACCAGAAAAAATATATGATTCACTTAGTGTCATCGCGAAGACAAGAATATAAATATTTTCCTTATTGAAAATTATTTTACCGTACTATAAATATTTTACCGGATCATTAGGATCGCCACAAATTGGATGTGCGCAGCCGAGGCACCCATTTGGACAGTTCGTCCCGCATGGACAGGATGATGTACAATCTGTATTATTAAGCACGAAAATTTACTATCTATTATACCTTCAAAATTTCGCTCACAGGAAGTTTCGCAAAGAGCATTCTCGCAGTTTTCCCTGCATTTGAGAAATTCGATTCTACATAGACTGTAGCACTCATTGAAAAGATTTTCATCACTAGATTTAAAATTTCATTTTCTCATCGACGAATTATATAAGAAATCGGCAAAAATTCACTTACACGCAGGTTTCCGCCAGCGGCACTGAAAAATTGAAAACTGAAAAATCTCTTCTCTGATTGTTTATAATCTCATCTTCAGGATTTAAAGACTCTTTGTACCGTTCTTTGGAACCCTTGCGAATTCTTGCCCTCAAATCTGCAGAAAGGACCGCCTTATAAAAAAATATGAACCAAATCAAAAACATTTTTCGGCCAAAATGACTTAGATGCGAATATGGAGCTGACTTTAAAGCCATCAAGCTAGGACGAATGCAAGGTGAATAAATATTACGCGAATTTTGAAGAATTGAAACGCTTAATATTTGGTCAAAACATAAAAACTGTACAGAGAAATGATAAAATATTGGTAGTTCGGTGGTAAAAGTCTCCAATTTGATCATTCCTCCATAACACGGTCAAGATCCCAGTCACATTTCTGGAAGGTCTCTAGCAGAGCCTAAAAAATAGTGAAGGGAAGCTAAAATTGTTATTTATTACGGATAAATTGGCTTGTTGGAAGAAACTTGCCGGCTCATCTTCGAGGTCGAGGAATTGCCTGATTGCGTTTACTCTTTCCATATCTCCGTTTGTAGCTGCATTTATCATTTCTAGCAGATCATCTGGGAGGTCGACATTTTCCAGTTCTTCGACTTGCTTCAGCTCGTTTTTGATCAAGATCAACTTCGACTCATCCGTGCCTGCCTCTTGTAAAGTGTTTCGAAAAAGGATGACTTCGGTGACTTACTTTTCTTGATCGAAAGACCGATCTTTTCGGCTCCACTGGCTGCAGGGCTATTTCCATGTCCTCGTCGGAATCATTCGAGGATTTTTGAGATGCGGCTTTTTCCGATTCTCTTGATGGCGGATTGAATAAGGGACTAAAAGGAGAATAAGGATGAGTCTTTTCTTGTTCTGAGAACTACTGATTTCTTTCAAACCTGTTTGAAATTGGAGGTTTTGATTTGACTTCTTCTTGTTTTCGATTTTCCACTGGTCTGGTTTCAGATACCGTCGATGGCGGAAGAAAAGTAGGAAGGGAAATTGCCGGGGCTGGGGCTTGTTGAATCGTCATTCCTTGCTGAGATGTCCTTCGAAAGGCCTTTTTCTTCCGAACGACTAGTCGCAGCTTGAAAGTCAAGTGCAAAAGCTGATCATCAAAGAAACACCCGATCCAAAGCAAGAAATCGCTGACGTCGCCCAGCAAGTTCAACTTCACTTCAGTCTTGTCGTCCAAATAGAACACGTCAAAAACCCCGCCAAAAATGTCGATTCTGAATTTCGCCCGAATCGCTGATCGGAGGTTTTCTTTGAAAGCGTCGCTGCTCATCGCACAAAATTTGACAAATTCGGCTGTAGAGTCATCGTCATCGTCGAAATATTCAACGATGGCGAGAAATTGCACTTCTCGTAGTTGTAATTCTCTGTTCATCTTTCTTTCTTTACGATTCTGGGCGTTAAAAAATGGAAGTTATCGATTGTTTTCAATTTTATGTTTACGCTCTGGTTCACTCAAGTAGATCTATCGATTGGCTCAGCGAACGTATGAGGAAAAATAAATAAAATTGATACGTTTGGAGGCACTCCCTTTTCTACCGAAGTCAATATTTGAAAAGGACTATCATTTCCTATAACTTATAGGCTATAGGAAACCTGAAGGCGAATCAGTACTGGGGGTGCCTCACTAGCCGACGATGATTTCAAAAACTTTTGTGTGGCCGGAAATCGTAAAAACTGCAAGTGCAGTTTTCTTCAGCTCTTCGAGACGAGTTGAATGATGGGTCTAACTCTGGATAACTCTAAGGATTTACCGGTTTACCGGCTGGTTACGGGAAAATACGTTGTCACCCGCCGTTTTTGTTCTAGAACTGATAAACAGATGATCGACCCCGGAAATTGTTCCTTATAGTCAGTTCTACTCTAGGCTAAAAGATGAGAGTCGTATCATAACTCCGAAGAGAGTTATCACTAAAAACAGTAAATTTTGCATAAATTTCGTTGTCGCTGCACGTTCCTGATTTCTAGTCCCATTTCCGCCAGAAATAGTATTTTAGTAATAACTCTCTTCGGAGTTATGATACGACTCTCATCTTTTAGCCTAGAGTAGAACTGACTATAAGGAACAATTTCCGGGGTCGATCATCTGTTTATCAGTTCTAGAACAAAAACGGCGGGTGACAACGTATTTTCCCGTAACCAGCCGGTAAACCGGTAAATCCTTAGAGTTATCCAGAGTTAGACCCATCATTCAACTCGTCTCGAAGAGCTGAAGAAAACTGCACTTGCAGTTTTTTACGATTTCCGGCCCCACAAAAGTTTTTTGAAATCATCCGTGTGTAAAAATGACTGTTTTGGGCATAAAAGTCTCCGTATTTTTGACCACTAAAATACCAGGTCTTTGAAAAATCCAATCCGAATCGAACCAAAATTGTCAGCACAACCAAACAGGCAAATATTTGCAGGAAGCGCATGCAGCAGCAGAATCACTCGCTCTTTTCTAACACAGTAAAATCTGTCGTTAGAGAAACGGTTTATTCTTTTAGCAAAAAGAATTTTTGATCGGCAATAATGATTCAGAGTCTGCTACGGTTACAAACGTTTTAGATTATTTAGGTTATTAGATTTGATTTTGTAACTTTTTGAAAGAAAGACGGAAGATATGCGAACATCGACGTTGCTCGATTCGAAACGAATCAAGGAGTGACGGAAGCTTTGGACACGGCGACAGGAGAGACGGTGATCGTCAAGGCAATTCTGCTTCAAAATGCAAGCCATTGGAAAAGCACCCAGCAAGAGGCGGCTACTCTGCGAGAGCTTGGTGAGTTAATCATTTACCCTTGCACGAATAAGGTAAATAGAGGCGGGCCGCAGCCTCAGGCGGCCGTAACTTAGGGCTTGAAGAATTGGGCCTTTTACCCTAACCCTAACCCTAAACTTAGGGAATTTTGGGCAAGCACCAAGCTATTAAATCGTTTATCCAAAGTTCTGTCTAGCGAATTTCATTAAAAAAATTTTAGATCACGCGAATGTGGTCCGATTTATCGACTTTCTCGATCGGCAAACACCGGACTGGGCTGAATTCGGAGCGATGAGTTTCATCATCATGGAACACTGCGCTGGCGGAAGCCTGGTCGACTGGATCGAGAAGATGAAGGGAACCGGGCGAAGAACAACGATGGACGAGGCGAGAATCATTGGCGCTCAGATCATTTCCGGTCTGAGCTACTGCCACGGCAAGAACAAGGTCCATCTGGACCTCAAACCCGCCAATATATTCATTTTTGGCGATAACATAACCGTAAGCAAACAGCTCAGAAAGCATAAAATATACAAATGTTCAGGTGAAGATCGGAGACTTTGGAAGCGCCCTAACAGTGCGATCGATCCAACAAACTATGACAACTACGAGTGGGGAAGGTATCAAGTCCACGCCTCTTTACGCTGCTCCAGGTAAGCTACTTGAAACGACTAAATATAACATTTTTTAGAAATCAACAGCCCGGACGAAACTGCGAAGAAACATCCTACATTGGATGTTTGGGGCTTTGCTCTGATTATTCAGGTTCTCATTCAAAAGATTTATTATCAAATAACACACTATTTGAAGGAAATCATAACACTGGAACATCCATTCGCTCGAATTGAGGGCCATCCTGCTCTGTTTCTTGAAATTCGTAAGTTTTCAGGAAAATTAAATTTTGAACAGTAACATTTTAGTGACGAATATTCAAACTGGCAAAAGAACATCGCTCTTTGAAATGCTCGGCGAAACGGACGAAGTTGAAGAGTTCGAAACTCTCATCGAAAAATGCACGAGAGTTGATCGAACAAGACGGCCGAGAAACGCGATTGAGCTACGAAATGAAGCTATCTTCGTTGATTTCTTGCAGCGGATCGAAAATGGCGACCGAGCGAGCAGCATCGTTCCTCCTCCCTTTCCAAACGAAAATGACGAGGTTGAACGACTCAAGGGAGAGATTGTGCAAAAAGACAGGATGATTCAAGAATTGCGGAGCCGACTTGACACTTTCAACGAAATCATGGAATATCGACTCAGAGAACAAGCAAAGAAAAAGGATGAACAAATCGCGCTGCAAAATCGAGTTAGTTTTTTAGCTTTTTCAATCGACTCTTCATCAACATGCTAAATTTGATTTTATGAAACTTATTAAAATTTTTAAGAAAAACGAGCAACAGAACGAAGAAAACGGAAATTTAAAGCGAGAACTGGCGAAAATGAAGAAATTGAATTCGGAGCTTGAGCAGAATTTTGAATATTCTAGGAAAATCATCGACGACCTCAAAATGGTGAGAAAAAGATCAATTCCCTTTTTTATTAGAAATTTAGCGAAACGAAGCTGAAATGAAAAAACGAGAAAATGAAATGCAAAAAGCAAAACGGGAAATTGAACGGCTCCACTCGATTTTGAAAGAAGAAAAGGAAAGAAATCGACGGGAAAATGAAAATCAGAAAAAGGAAATTGAGAGATTTGGGCGAGGATTGAAAGAACAGCGAAGAAACTATCAGCCGATTGCTGAAAATGAAGAAAAAGGGTTGAACCAAAAATGGCGAACTGGAGAAACTGAGGGAGGAGTTGGGCGCGATTGGTGGAGCGGGCGAGTTCTTTGGGGATGATAAAATGATTTCTTGTGGTGGAGTTAGAGATGGAATGAAAAAGAAGAATTGCGAAACGTGCTGAAGCTGTTGGCTCTTCGAGAAAAAAGATAAATCTCAAGGAAAGAGAGTTTTTAATTTTTTAAAGCGAAAAAGAATTTCGAAAAACTCTCCGACAAGTTTGATTGGTGTGTTAATTGGGAGGTCGCCGAAGCAGGATGGCACTTGCAATTCAAAACTGCTGTTCAATGGAATGGAGGAGATGGTCGGTACTATCACTTATCAATCTGGAAAAAGGTAGAAAATTAAAATTTCAATTTTTAAAAATTTATTTCAGAAGGCGGCGGAAGATTCAAAGCTGTCGCGCAAGAAATTAGTTATGAGACCGGAGAAGAGCGGAATCGACAAGAAATTGAAAGCGCGGCGGATGGAGAGCGACAAACTATCAAATACAAAATGGAAAGGTAGTATGATCTCAAAATTCGGCCAAATGCCGAATTTTCATATACTCATATTTTGAATGAATAATTCGGCCACTCTGGCCGAATTTTTCGACCGAAATTGAAGGATTTTTTGGATGAAAAATTCGGCCCCCAAGAGTAAAGGCCGCGCCCCTATAAAGCCACTCGTTTATTAAGAGTCTCCATTTTATCAGTAAAAAGTATCCAATCTAATGGTTCCTAACCTCGGGGCTCCGCCCCTTCGGTCCTAAGATGCCGGGGTCTAGTCTAGGGTTAGTTAGGGTTACCGAAGGCCTTTCCCCCTCGAGTAATTTGTTCCGTCATTTTTGCAGGTGCCCCCTAACCCTAACCTTTATTTTAGCGAATACTACGATCTTAATTTTCTTATCAAAAAAAGTCCTGGGGAACTGCAACTAGCTCTTACCGCGCAGAGTCTGCGCCACAGACCAGTTGCTATTAGAAAGAGGTCGACCGGAATTCTTGTGGTAATGATAAGTCCGGTTATTGTCCTAAAAAATCAAATTATCAGAATTGATAACAAGCATTCATAGCGATTGCGAAAGCCCTCAAAAAAGAAAAATGACTGTCCACGGAGAATTTCACTGGCCGAATTTTTCACCAAAATACTTTGTAGAATCCGCCCAATAATTCGGTCAATTTGGCCGAATTTTTCATTCAGAATTATTGAAAATATTGACGAATAATTCGGCTATAGGTGGCCGAATTTTGAGATAATACTACGAAGGGAAACTGCTTTTCGTGGTGTAAGATTTAATGTTTATTTTCTGTAAATAAAATTAAACTGGTTCGACTCATAAACTTCTGATCGGTTGGTCTTTTATAACAAAAATTTCGTCAAAACTAAATACTAAATAAAAACTAAATTTCAGCAAAAAATAATACAAATCTCCTGTTTCTTATGAAAATAAATATTTTCCTCGTTCCTTTGTAAAAAATAGAAAATCGAGTCCAGCTGACTATTTCGATCTGTTATCATGTGACTTGCAAAGCCAGGGACAGTTGATAAAACTCGGTCGACAAAAAAGTCCTTTGCGAGTTTCATTCAAAAAATTTGTGAACAAGAGAAACATGGCTAGCAGGTTTGATTTTAAACTCTTGATCAAGAGTTTGAGCTTATTTTTCAAGGTATGCGTCTCGTTATTACTCGTCCTCGGAAGACGAAGAAGAAGAAGTAGAAGTGGCTCAGGTTGAGAATCCTTACAACAGGTAAATTTTCTTTCAGTGCTTCAATCAGATTTTGGATTTTAAATTTTCAGAGAGCCGGTAATGGAGCCTCCACGAATCATCAGAAAACAAGCCACTGAAGATCGCGATTCCAGCGACGAGGAAAAGGAGGAAGAAGAAGAGGAAGACGAAAATTCAACTGAGTCACGAGGTCGCCAAATCCAACAAGAGCAAGAGGAAAAAGCAGAGGAAGAGGAGGATGAGAGCGAGGAAGACATCGCTCTGGACGAACTTGATGTAAATCCAGAGCCGCCAAAAGGACTCAATATTCCAACAATGGGGCGAGGAATGAGCAGAAGCATGTCTTCTCAATCCAACGTCAAATCTCAAGCGGTAAGCTTCACCAGACCCAGCAGCGTTTTAACCTTTCTCTTTTAGGGAATGGACATCTCGGACATAACAAGAAAAAAGGCCGAAAAGGATCTTTGCGATTTACAGGAAATGATCAACCGGCATTTCGAGCAGCGAAAACAGGAAGAAATTGAACTCAACAACCTAAAGTAAGACATTTTTAAATTCATCAGATGAAAACGAATGTAGGGAGCGAATTGAGAAACGGAAAGAAATGCGGGCAAAACAGCTGATTGAGCGGCAAAAGAAAGAAAAAGAACGTCAGGAGCGAGAAAAGGTACAACTTTGAGGGGAAAATGCAGGTGAAAAAAAATTCTTTCAGAACGAAAAAGAAGCGCGAGAGCGAGCAATCAGGGAAAAACACGAAGCCGAAGAAGCTCGCAAAAAGGAGCTCATGGCGTCAATGGCCATGCTCAACACTCACATGGATCGCAGACGCCAGGGCAAAAGGTAAGAAATCTAAGAAATCAACGAAGAGAACACTCTTCTTCTCAGAACAACTGCGCGCGATGCCAAGCGAAAAGCTCTGGCTGAGCGTCGAAAGCCGCTGAACATTGATCATTTGAACAAGGAAAAACTGATGGAAAAGTGCAAAGAGATGTACAACTGGTAAGAAATACCTCTTTTAAACAGCGATGATCGCATTTAGGGTCCGCCAGCTGGAGGAAGACCGCTACGACCTGACCGTCAAGGCGGAAAACGACAAGTACACTCTGAACACCCTGCGACACCGAGTCAACGATTTGATGATCAGCTCTGGAAAAGCAAAACACAGAGTTGGAAAGATCAAGATTCGATAATCTTGAATCATGATCGAAATAATCAACAAAATAAACTGTTTGCAATTACTTTTTAAAACTTTCAATTTTTACTACAAAATAAATGAAAAAAAAAAGAGTTGAACAAAGATGGTTCATTTTACAGCGAAGCAGTTGGAGCAGCTGATGCATCGGCTATTCCTGAATATTTTCCTTAGTTTTAGCTAGGCAACTTTTGTAGAAAACCTGAGTCAGGATCTGAAAGATCGCCAAAATTTGAAAATAGATCAAAATGACATCGACGCGAAGCCGCTTTGCGGCTTCGTTTTAAAAAAAAGCCGCTTTGCGGCTTTTCATTCAAGATCTTTCAGACCCTGACTCAGGTTCTCGACACAGGTTTACGAGCCAAGGAGAAGAGATCAAATATTCCGAGAATTATAAAAATTCGTACCTGAATAATTCAAAGGCAAAATAGCCTGATCAATGGATTTGGGATTATTTTCATTTCCAGGCTCTGGAGAAGAATTATTTCCCTGAAGGGCTGAAGTCTGAGAAATCGCCGGAAACAGGTGCGCCTGAGAGTTGTAGAAGGAATTTTGAATGGCCGAGGATACGGAGGGGAGATTGAAGTAGCTGCGGTTGTGCATTATCGGATTGCCAAAGAGGCCTGTCTGAATCAATTACTGTCAAGCAATTGCAGAAATACTTGAAAGAAGTTACCGAAAGCAGCGGGAGGGCGAAGGATGAGCGGGATGACAGCCACGGGTCAAGGGAACCAATGCTTAATTATTCAATTAGCCGTGGAGTTGATCAGCTTTACTGATTTTTATATAAAAAATCTATCTAATTTTGGGGTAGAGAACCTGAGTCAGGGTCTGCAATCTCTATACGGATCCTGACTCAGGTTTTCTTCTTAGGTTGGCGAGCCCAGTATTCAAGTTCAAGCAAGAGCACTAATTTCTAGCCACTTTGTGGTTTTGCCCGCTTTTTTACTCAGCATCAATAATGCGCAAGACAATTTATTTGCTAAAAATTTTGAAAAACTTGCAATTACCTGGATTTGGCCGAGTCTGGCGAAGAAGCCACTTCAGACGGATTAGTCAAGTCAACTTTTTCTTGTCTGCGCCATTTTGCTCGACGATTTTGGAACCAAACCTAAGTCTGATTCAGCTCTTTTATTGCGTATTCGAGTTTACCTGCACTCGTACTTCCGGTAGACTAATTTTACTAGCGAGTTCTTCTCGAGCGTAGACATCTGGGTAATGAGACTTTTCAAAAGCTCGTTCAAGCTCGTGAAGTTGGAAAGTTGTGAAAGTTGTGCGATTTCGACGGTGCTTTTTCTTCGGCTCTTCGGCAAGAATAAGTTGCTCCTCAGCTAAAATTTTTGAACTAGCAAAAATATGATAGAAATGAACTTACTTTTGCTTGGCTTGAGAAGAATGCTAGAAATAGAATGAGTCTTTTCCGTCTCGTCAAGAATCTCCTGAGTTTTCTCTTGTTCTGGAATCGTCTGCTGAGCCTATTAAAAATTTTAACCTGTTATTTGTTTCCATCACTTACCATTGTCGCAAAAATATCGGCGTATTAAAATGATAATGTCGGAATAAAATCATCAATTCACGCCTTATAAAGGTGGGCGCTCACCCCTCGGGCGAGAACAGAACAGCGCCACCAGAGAGGGGACTCGGCGAATAACATTCCGATAAGCCGGGATTAACGAAAAACACTCTCACAAAGAAAATACAACTTATTATCAGCAATAGTGAAATTCGGATCTGAAGAGGCACTTAGTAAATGGGGGGGGTTAGGGTTAGGGTTAGAGCAGGATTAGATCTAGGGTTAGGGTTAGGGTTCCTCAAGGATGTCCCCTATATAAAGGATTTTCTATTCTTCCAGAGGGGACCCTTTTAACGGATCATTCAGCTCTAGGCTCTTTACTTAAAAATAGGTGATATCCTTTTTTTAATTTTATAGACATCAAATGAAGGGAGCTCTATTAAAATCGCTGGCATTGTGTCACGAGACAAGAATGTAGTAAGTCTTACATTGCAAGACAGCGGCTATTGTTGGTGCAAGTTAAAATCAATTGCTAAAGCGCGATATCCGAGATTATTGAATTCATTTTGTCTAATTCGCTGCTGCTCCGGGATAAGCGCTCAAATAAACTCAAAAATAAAATCATTTAATTTCTCAAATGACCTCAAACCCAAATCCGATTCATTTACCATCAATCCATTAGTATGAAATTAAACAATCTACATAGATGAAATAATAGAGGATCAGCCAAGGAATTACTATCCACAGAAGCAGTTTTCATTTATTCTTGCTTCTTCTGTATTTGACGAGTGGAAATATGGGTTAACCATTTTAACGGACGACTTTCTTAAGGATGGGGACACCTAAGAGGATTTTCCGGGGGGTACTGAATTGTGCCGCCCTGCGCCGCCCAGCGCCGCCTGGTCCGGAACCAATCGACCAAAGGCGGCGCAGGGCGGCACAATTCAGTACCCCCGGAAAAATCCTCTTTGATGTCCCCATCCTTAAGAAATTCGTCCGTTAAAATGGCTACCCTTATTAAAAAAACTTCCAAAAAGAGTGATTCGTGCTAATTGCATCAAACCTCGTGGATCAGCTTTAATCATTTAATTTAACCCCGAGTGACAGAAGATCCTCTTACTTCAAATTCAACCATTAGCAAATAATTCGATTCCCAGATTGAATTTATTAAACTCAACGGCTCGCCGAAAATGTGTCAGCGCGCGGTCAAAAGTCGAATTGTGGTAATTAAAAGCGCACTAATGCACGACAGTATTGATACTGTGCTTCGAAGAAAGAAGCGAAAGCATTTGGAGAGGAAAGCTTTGGTGCGTGGAGAATCTTGTGTAGACAACCTGAGACAGGCTATGAAGAGCTAAAATGAAAAGCCGTTTCTTGAAAACGAAGCCGCAAAGCCAATATTTTAAAATACATAAGAGTGACTGTGTTGCAAAGCCGCTTTGCGGCTTCCTTTTCAAAAAAAGCCGCTACGCGGCTTTTCATTTTAGATCTTCAAGGCCTGACTCAGGTTTTCTACACAGGTTGCCAAGCCCACTAGGAAAGACATTAGCAATCAAGACTTTTATACGAAGCCGAACCGTCAAATCTGAAGAAGCAAAACTTTATTCGATAAGTGCCAATAAAATATTGACAGTAAAACTCGCCGCTTCTTCTAAACACAACAATTGCTCATCAATTTGAAAAGTAATCGACAGCTTTATTGGACTTTATATAAATAATCTACTCCACTTTGGCAGATAATTTAATATGCATATACTTTGATTGCATCTCCGCCGCTCGTTATTGACAGTTTAGCCACTGCTTCAAAGTACGCTTTTTAGATTAACAAATAATTCGCAAAAAAATCAATCTCAAGATTCATCAAAAACTTGTTATGAGGGATCCTCATCATGGAGGACATCAAAAGGGCAAATCGTGGATATATTGCGAATCTGCTGAAAATGAAGGGGGTAGAATTAGCTTTTCCGATTTTTGACTGGCGCTAGAAACAAGAGAAAACTAAGTTTTGTTTTTGATAACGCAATTTTTTCGAAAAATAGAGTTAGAAATTTTCGGCAAATCACATGACTCGAGATATTCGAGGTCTAAAATTAGACAAAATCGGGATTTTCGATGAAATGGGTTGGTGTTTCACTTTGCTAGATCTAAGATAGATCTATCTATAGTCTATAGACTATAGACGAAGAAAAAATTTGAAAATCTATAGTTTGCTGGCTTTGAGCGCCGGTCTAGGTTTCTTTCGGAAAAACCTAGTTCTACCCCGTTAACCCGTTAACAGGCAGGTGGCTGTCTCACGGCCACGCAGCCATTTTAGAGCGATAAGATAGGAGAAACTCAAGTTTTTATCAAAAATTTTTGTATTTTTTAAAAATTCAATCGATTCTCTATCTGTTTGTGTGATTTTGAAAAAAATCGGCATGAAATTCAGGTCGGGAGAAGCGAAAGAAAAACTTCAGTGAACGAGAAAAAGGGAAAGAATAATACAAATCGCCCGCCTTTCCCTTCTTTCCCTTTTTCTCCAATCTCAGCGTCGAAAATTGACGTAACTTTGACCTCAATTTTCAACCCCTAAACGAATATTTCTCAGAAAACACCAAAAGGTGCGTGGACTTTAGACTGCCACGCGCCCGTTAACGCATAAGATCGGATGCCCAGTTAACGGGTTAATAATCCTGTTCGCCCTTTAGAAACAACAGAACTAAACTACCTTTAAGGGATCCCCCTGTTTTTTCAACTCTTTGATAAGGGTCTATGTTTGATATTTTTGGATACACGACGTTTAGCACAAAGCGACGTTTGGAACAAACGACGTTTGGAACAAAGCGACGTCTGGAACACTGTTCTAAACGTCGTTTTATTCCAGGCGTCGTTTTATTCTAAATGTCGCTTTTCAGTCTGAAACGCGTGGGCGCCCAGAACGAATTAGATTGAAATGAGAACAAGTTATTTGCCTGAGTTTTCCTCAAAATATTAATTTGATAAACAGTATAAATTCGATATAATATCAATAATGATTATCTTATGATATATTTTACCGAATAAATATATTATTTAACATATATGTATGTGATTTAAATATGTAACTTATTCAAAAACCCGAAAAAATCTGATAAGAATAACCTCAAATGAGTTTGAATGATATTAACATGACTCAGAAGAGTAAAAACCTCGTCGGTTTGTGTAAAACGTCGGTTTTCAAACTGATTCTAGTCCAAATCAAATTTTTGAGAGCGCCTACGCAATTCTTAGCGAAAAGCGACGTTTAGAATAAAACGACGCCTGGAATAAAACGACGTTCAGAATATTGTTCTAATCGTCGCTTTGTGCTAAACGTACTTGTTCCAAACGTCGGTTTGTGCTAAACGTCGTGTATCCGATATTTTTCGATTCCCCGTTTTCCGAGGATCAATTGATGTGTCACATGACCCCCTTACGAACATCCATCCCCGACATTTCGGCCTTCAAAAATTGCAAAAATGCATATAAATTGTACTTAGCGTGAAAATTGGATCGTTTTCGTTTTTATATCATCTAAATAAGCCATATAAGGGGTCTTTCGAAAGCTTAGAATCTGCCGATTAAGAATATAATAACCGCATTAGGAATTTTTGCCCATTTGCTGGCGCTAGAGAGCAATGAATGACCAAAAAACGCCAAAAATAGCTACAGATGGTTGTTCTTAAGAAATTTTTCTTAAGACTTGAACAAATGGGCTCTCTGTACTAGAGATTGAAGATAAGGCTCCATTCTACCTGAATCTTGTCTCAGATGGAGTCTATCTAAGCCCGAATTTGCTGAATTTCCATTCAAAAATGGCGTTTTTTTCGAATTTCTCGAACTTTAGCGCCTCCTAGAGGTAGGTTGTCCTTGAGCAAATTATTTCTCTGTACTAGAGAATAGATTGAACGTCCCGATTCGTAAAACCAAATCGGCTGAATTTCGAGTCAAAAATGGCCAAAACGGGGGGGATCCCTTAATAAAGATTTTATGATTAAGTCTTTATCCGAAATACAAAAAAACATGCCTAAACTCAATCATTTATCAACGATTTCATTCACAAAATCATCGTTTATATTACTGTAAATTCGATTGAAAGTAAATTTGGTAAAGCAAGAACAATTTAAAGTCAATGTTAATGATTCCGTTAGATTCTTTCTGTCTTTGAATACTTTTTAGGAAAAACAGAAACAAAAGAAATCGGGGAAAACCCTGAAGGCCAACTCCGAACAAACTGTCGTGAATCTGGATTGGCCGGACGCTTACCTCAAGAAAACAACAAGAACCTTAGAAATCAGACAAGAGATATTTTTCCGGCAATATGAGCAACTTCAACGGCCCTCTCCTTTTGACAACGCAATTCTCGTAAATAAAAGTTATTCATTGAATCCGTATTCAATTTTTTTTTTTAGCATGGAATTAGTCAATCGCCAAAACGCAGAGTGGCTCGACCATGCTCACAATAGAAACAACATCATTTCTGGGTTTGATTTTCTATTAATTTGAAATCTCTACTCTTTTTAGGACTCCTTCTCATAATGAAGTGGATACGGACGAAGATCCTCACGCTCAGACCTTCAATATACATGAAGGGAATAATGTCTCTCTGAGGCGGAATCTCGGCGAATAATCGGCAAAAAAAAAATCGTACTTTTCATTTTATCTATTTTCCCGTTAACGCTTGGCTAATTGTTTGAAGCGACTCAAATAAAACTGGCAAGTCGTAAAGTAAGATTCTAAATAAAAGCTTCAGCTTCTTATAATTTATCAATTTATTTCCTTGTTGTCATTTCTTCAAATTTACCTATCTTTTTGCCACAAAAAACTAAGAGAAATTAGATTGTTAAGAAATAAATCGTCCCTCTATCCCTCTTTTTTGATGCCTGTTAAAAAACCAAGCACAATGTTTTTAAACGAGCTTTATAAGTTTCAATTTGCCTTATCAAAATTTTAGCCTTACAAGGATGAAATGATTTTTGTTCTTGAATTTGATTTCCCTCTGTTATTTTCTTGCCATCATCTATCTATTACCCAACTGTACAATAAGTTATAGTCTTTTACCAATTTCAGAATACGCTGAAAGGAGATCGGAGTCGGAATCAGAATGATCAAAATTGAAAGTGGGATGTTTCGTAAACACCGATTGTATAGATATTGTTGTGATATCAAATGAATATATTCATTCCAATGGAACTGATCACGTGATCGTCAGGTCGCCGAGACTGTCCAAGCCCCACTTGATTCCCAAAATGGTCTGACCGTTACGTGAAAACCTTAACGGAACAGGGTATAATGTAAGACTCGAGCACAACTAGAATCTCAAGGGACAATTCATAATTTTAGATTTGAAGCTTGTTTAGGTGATCTGGGAGTCAATTACGTTTCGGCTAGTTCAAATGGTTTTTTGAGCAATTTATGATTAACTTCGTTTTTTTCCTTGATTTCACGGACAATAATAATTGATTTCGCGGCTATTTTTGCTCACAAATTCACTCAGATAAGATGAAATAAGCTACTTCTAGTGCTAAAAAGGCGGCAAAATATCTTTTAATCAATCTGGATTCGGAATTTCTTTTTTTCTCAATTATATATTCAAAATTAAGCATGTCAGTATTATGAGTTCTTTAGAGTTGAGAGAGAGCTCTCAATTTGAAACTTATAATTGAAGAATAACAAAAATAAACGCTTTGTTCCGCTTAGTTACCGTTATAGCGAAAACAATTCGCTCCCAAAATTACAAATTCCAATGTTCATTTAGCCACAAACAATAAGCAAGGGTAATTCATGATGGAAACCTTCGCGTTGCACTAACTTTGAGTTAACTAAAAATAAAACTATATAGGTGGCGCGTGGTGCTGGTGGTGGTGGTGCAGGTACCATAAAGTCGGGCGCTTCATTAGGTCAGTCGTTGAGAATACGAATTCTCTAAGAGATGAAGCTTTCGACGGCCTTTATTTCGGCCGCATTTGCAGATCCACAGTAAGTCAGAATTTGAAATAGAGTACTCTGATTTCGAATGAAATAGTAGAGAATGGTGAGCAAAAAAAAAAATGCTCGAAAAAATTAATAAACCCTAAATGAAACAAATTATGATTCACCGGAAGAACCGCTATTATTATTAAGGGGTTCTCTTTCATATAATCTTAATTTTGTCTTCTTTTTAAAAAAAGGCTCAATATTGATCGTTAAAAAATTATTGCAGTAATAGATAATCAAGGCCGTTATTTTCCGTTAATCGCTTATTTTCCCTTGATTAAGGACCCCCCCGTCAACAATTTTCCTCAAAAAATCGATAATTTCAAAAAAAGCCATATTTTGGCTTCTTAGTGTTCCTGCAAGTTCAATTTATCATAAAAACTTGTTCGGAGCACTTTTTGACCAAGAAAAATCTGAAATTTAAGCAAAATTGGGACTTTTTCATCATTTTTCGTCAAAAAGTCCGATTTTCAAACGCGATTTTGAGGGTGTTAAAGTCAAGATAGACCCCGAAAAAATGAAGCCTCAAAATCGTTTTTTGACCTGTAGAATCCATTTCTGGGGTCAAAATTTTGAAATTTCGAAAATCGATTTTTCGAAAAGTGTTGACGGGGGGGGTCCTTAACTAAAATCGTTTTTTTAATTTTGGACGGGTAATTTTTTGTAAAACTTCTGAAATTTTATCTACTAAAAAGTACGGAAGTTTTTAAAGGCGTGGCATGCAGACAGCAGCCACTTGATGCTAATCCTGTTATTCTAAAAAAGCTCCGCGGGCACACCGTCTAGCCACGAGCCGCATTTTTCCTGACAACGCGTCAATCCAGTGTTTTGCTCTCAAATAAACCCTTCTTTTGAATTTCGAAATAGCGATGTTATTTTTAAATCAGTTGAAACATTAAATTTAGATCCGCAGCAGAAAGACTTACCGAAGTCGGCTCCCGTGCAAACAATCTCCTTTCCCTCGTCGAGCAGAATGGCAGCCAAGGCCAATTCAACAAAGTCAAAAAATGGGTCAACCGATTCGCCAAAGGACTCGCCGATATCAACACTTCTGCATGCTCGCTTCCCGCCGAAGCCGCTGTTGACCGAGCAATGGGCGGGCTCTGCCAGGAAGTCGACAGTGTTGCAGCGATGATTAGAAGCTACGCGCGGGATTATGGCTGCACTGCGGGCTACCCAAATAAGCGCTTAATGCAGAAGCTAGGACCACAGACTCGAAAGCTTATGCGCGTGGCTGACCACGCTGGAAAGTGCAGCGGAATTAGAAAAAGGACCTTTCGCAGTACAAGAGCTACAGTAGCATCATCACATCGTTAGAAAATAACGCTCCCGGATCTTCTCAAATCATCGATTTGAACAGCAACGATTCAGGAAACAAATTAGAAGCGATCCAATTGAATGAAGGAAGCAATCCCACGGTAATGATCGTCTGCGGAATGCGCGCAAACGATTTCGAAAGCGCGAAAACTTGCGCGGACTTGGCCGAAAACAACAACTTCGCAGAGGATTTTCCTGGAATGAACTTCATCATAGCTCCAGTGGCAAATCCATCCGGCTACGACTACGCCCTGAATAATGACCGATACTGGACAAAAACGAGGGAAGCGAACTCAGTTTGTGTTGGTACCGATTTGACGCGAAATTTCGACGTCAACTTTGAAGTCAGCGACGATCCATGCTCAAACGAGTACTCTGGCGCTTCATCTCTTTCGACTTGGGAAGCTAGCGCACTAAACGACTTCATCTCTTCCCAAGAAAACCTCGAAGCCCTCCTTGTCGTTGAAACCAAAGCTGATGAATTCAACGTGGTGACTCCAACGAAACAAGACTCAAATGCCTTAAGAAAACTCCTCCCGCGTGTTTTCAAATCGAGCGAGCCGTTCAAGACAACTCGACCGCAAGAATCTCGAAGCGGCTTCTTAGAAGATTCCTTCGTCGGCCAAGTCGAACAAGTTGCTACTGTTCAACTTGAACATCGAGCTGATTCTAACTTGGAAAATTTGCAATCGCTTGTTGCAAGTTTCGCTGAGGATATCACAAAGAAGAACTCACACGCGCCTGCGTTTATTGACAGCATCATGTGGGCCGAAGACAACGTTTTTCTTACAACTTGATTGACATTGAAGAAGAAGAAGATGTGACAACTTACAACTACAACATGACTTCTCTGCGATGGAACGATGAATCCGTAAACGACAGGCCCATTTGGACCCACATCGTTCACCTGATCGTTCCGAAAGCCATCAGCAATCCCGACTCCTTCTTCCTTCAGTCTTCCAACTTCGGCAATTTCATCCAACCAGCCCGAAAACGCCGATCTCTCGAGGAAGAGTATGCAAAAGATCTTCCGCGAACAAAAACCTTCGCAATCAAAACTGGCGTCGTCTGCGGCCTGCTCAATCAAAATCCAAACTATCCAATTCGATTTACCGCCGATTCGCCAAGTGATCCATTCATCTACGGAGTTGAGGGACAGTACTTTGGCAAACACTCGGACGGAGTTCTAGCGCAGGCCTGGAAGAACTTCATCACTAGCGTGATGGGAGGAGCCCCAGACTTCAATCAACTCGGCCAACCAGTTATGGCAAAAGCGACTATTCGCGCGCTAGATTTGATGGCAGAAGAAACGTTCCAAAAACAGGAAATTATCCCTTCAAAGCTGGCTTGATCGGAGCTTCGAAACGTGGCTGGTCAAACTGGCTCGCCGCAGCGGCGGATTTCGAGCGAGTCAATTTCAACGCGCCGTTGATGTTCGATATGCTCAACTCGGACGAGTTTATGAAGATGTCGCAAAGAAACTTAGCTGGCTGGAGTTACACCTTCTTTGACTACTGGTACCATCAAGGTTTGTTTTTCTTTCTCAAATGCCTTGAATAAAATATGATTTAGTTCCTGCTTACTTTGGAACTCTTCCAATGCAACTGGCTATGTCCGTTTTCGACCCCCTGACGTACGCTTCCCGCTACGCCGATCAGCTCATCTACATCACTAACGCGGCTAACGACGAGTTCTTCCCCTTTGATGGTCCTCTCTCTTACTGGGACATGCTTCCCGGAAAGAAGCTTTTGCGAATTCTTCCCGATCAGGCGCATGGCGGCAGCTGGGGAGGTTGGGATCGGGACGAGTCCAGTGTTTCGGACAAAATCTCGAGAACGGCCGTTCAAGATGTGGGAGAGATGGAAGAGAATACTCAAGATCGCCTCTGGCAGTCAGTCACCGCGCTTTACAAGGCTTTCCTTTCTGCGCCCGAGACGATTCCCTCGATTACGACGTCTTTCAACGAGACTGTATCTTCCATGACGCTATCTGCGACATCATCATTGGCGCCAGAATCGACGAGATCATTCTCAAGAAAGTCAAAGAACGGAAAACGCGATTGGCGACAGATTTACTACGCCGGCGCATCTGTCTGTGGAGCTGAAGGAATTCCCGGAATTGTGCCGAATTTAAGACCAGATTTCGTAAGTTTATTTTTAATCGTAACTTCAAGTCTACTTACTTTCATCAGACTCCATTCAATCGGGTTGATTCAACGGCTGATGCGGAGCAGACTTTGAATTTGGAGTCGACGGAGGAAAATGTGTGGGACGGAGGCTTCATCGATTTCGTGTTCTCGCTAGATGGCGAAGAAGTAAGATTCAAAATTTGAATTTTCGATGATTTTACAATATTTTTAGTTCATCACTTCGAGTCTTCCTGGAGTAACTCCATCCGACAAATACCCGGGCGAGCCCTGCAGCGATCCACTCTCATGCCAAGGATGTCTTCTCTAACTGCTCTTCTATAATCTGTATAATCTTGTACTGTATTGAAAAATTTTTCTTCGGAATATTTTTTTCTGACAATAACTTTCTGATGACTTTGCATTCTGAACACCGAGACGGCAGAATCTGCCGGGCAGATAAGCCGAGATTTAATCTCAAACCAGAGTCAACTTTGAAAATTCATATATTCCCTTCGACATATGAAAAACGGTAATAAACATCCAAGACTCTTCATGATTTATAGAAGCAGGGCTTTTTTTGCTTGACAATTTGGCCACCTGCTTGAGTTCTGTTATTTAACTTCTCGATGTTTCCATTTATTTTAAATAAGCAAATAGAATAAACACGGACTGTTCTTTATTTGCAGTGAAATTTCACTGGAGAACTTTTCATTCAAAAATAGCGTTTCTGGCGGCAAATGCGATTGTGGAAGCTCTGCTCCCTGAAAATTTGATAGCATTCAAGAGAAATAAGTTTGCTTACTGTTTATTCTGGTGTAAGAGTGATTGAATACGCCTGAGGAAGAAGGAACCATTTTTCAGTATCCATGTTGAAATGTTCGTTCGTCAAAGCATTAAACTCGTTGTTTGGCCCGTAGTAAACATAATCTTTGAAGCAGTTGAAGCAATCTTCCATCATTTCGTAAGAAGCGTAGAACTTACGGGAAAGAGGAATTCTGATTTGAGAGCCAGAATGGTCGATTAAAGTGTTTTGGAGAATAAACTCGGAGTTTTCGACTCGGTCAAGAATCATTTGGTGGAAAATTATTTCTCTGGCGGGATTGAGGTAGGCGCCGGTGACGGTTAGGGGTCGGGAGAAGGCGAAGTTGTGATGGAGGAAGACTAGAATAATTAATTTAGTTAAATTCACGAAATATTTTCATAAATACCTTTTTCAAAATAAAAATCGCCTTCCACTCGTAAGCGTGAATGTGTGATAATATCCCATCCACTTGGATTCAAATAAGTTTTGAATTTCATTCTTCTGAGCAGCAATTCAATTTCGTTAGTTTGAAATTCTTGTTCTTCTTTTTTTGGGTTGAGATTGAAGCCAGCCAAACTTCGCGGATAAATTATCATTGTCAGTTGAGTGAAGATTGTTTCGAGAGTAAAATATTTTCTCATTTTACTATCTTTAACTTTCAAATCATTTTTGAGTGCCCATCTCAAAAGAACCGAAACTGAAATGGGAACACAAAGATCGCTTTCTTTTTGGTTTAAAACATTTTTCGTCAAATTTTTGAAGTCGAAATTGATCTGTTTTGTCAGCTTCTGTTTTAGATTTGCGATTGCCGAAGATTTCGTCAAATTTGGATCGTCCAGGCAAAAATTAGAGGACGCGTTTTTTAGAGAAATGATTTTTGACAAGTTTTCGATTTGTTGAGTTGAGGGAGTCTTTCTTGAAAGCCACTTGGCATTGCAGGCCTGGAGAATCATTATTCTTTCTAACGCGACAATGAAGACTTACCATAATTTCTTCATTGATTTTTTGTCTCTCGTCTTCTTCAATCGGTTTAAAAAGAAGACTCCAGGCAGTATTCCAGTCGCAAAGAATCAGAACGTGGAGTGGTGATCCATGTGCTCCTCCTACTCCACAAAGTTGGTCACTTCCCGAAAAAGCAGCTGATCCTGAATCTATGAAAATAAAATGCGAGCAAATAATAATCAAATAAGTTATTTGAAATAACTCCAACATAAAACCTACATAAATAATGATAATGTCTGTATCATGGATCTTTATTTTTGAAAACCAATCGGGATTGCGACTCAAAAAATTACAAAAATTGCGATGCGATTGCGATTTATAAAGTTTTGTTGAAAAATCTTTATTGAAAGGAATATGTTTTGAAGCCTAGCTTTCTGTTCAGCCTTTAAAACAGAAAAAAGCTCTGAGTCAAACTAAACTCAGGTCAGAATATCGTCGAAGCATTTGCACGAGACAAAAACTTGAAAACAAATCGCAATTTGTGAAATATTGACGAAAACTAAGCTGCGATTGCGATTCCATTATCTCGAGTTTTCTGGGAAACTTCGCACCGCAATCGCAAGATATTCGCTACTCGCGATTTTCAGGAAAAAATGGGTTAAACCAATTTGTGGAAGTGATTTTATGGGTCAGGGTTTTCATTTGCCGGAAGGCCGAATTCAGTAATTTTATTGGTTATCCAAAAATGAACTTCCATAAATTGGGATAGTCCAAAAAAATAGATCCCTGGTCTATATTTGCTCCCTTTCCTCGCGTAGCCCATTATTCGATAGCATTCCCTTTCAGACGTTTCCTTTATCGTCCCAAAATCAATCCATTTGCCTTCTCCATCCTTCAATAAAATATTCTCCGGCTTCTGATCCTGATGCCAAAGTCCAATGCTCCCCAAATATTTAAAGCCCTCTTTCACGCCGATCGCGATTTTCTTCCTCTCTTCCAAGCTCAAATCTTCATTTTTCAATCTGCTTCTCAAATCGCAGTCGCACTTTTCCATTATAGTAATCCATCCGAGGCAGTCCTCTCTTTTCTCGTCTTTGCCCGAGAAAATTTCGATATTACAGAGATTTTTGATCACGTTTCGATGAGAAGGGATAACTGGGGCGTAGTCTTTTTCTTTTTTGAGGTAAAGTACCAGGAGGCGAGGCAGAGTATTTCTCCCCGGCAGTTCTTCTTTCAGCCATTTCGTAGTCTTCAATTAAATTAAAAGATTATAAAAATTTAAAATTACCAGAAGAAAGATGAATGTAAAAAGCCAACTCCTCATTCTCCACAAAGAGCGCCGAGTCAAAAGTCTGAACCCTAACCGCAACTTCCAATTCAGCGATATTTTCTTCCAAAACAATCGCTTCTCCTCCAACTGATATTGTTTTTTGCTGCAGCAACTCATCGAGAATCCATTCTCCTTTTTCCTCTTTGAGTTCTGAACGGAAAATTTTTCTTCCTTCTAATTGAGGATTTTTGTCAATGATTGTTTTCTGGAATGAAGATATCTCCCATTCCTCTTGTTTTGTTCCATAATGTTCACTCAAAACTTTTCCTTTTCCATTTTCAAAAAATATTTCCTCCCATCCAGCAGACCTTTTAATTTGAAAGTCGTATCTCTCCACCGACAAAATCAATCTGTCCAAATCGTCTCTACTCGTCGTTCTCTTCAATTTCCTTATAAAAGCGCCTAACCATTTCTGAACAGCGTCTCTGGTCAATTCTTTTGGGTAAAATTCGCTCATTTTTCCTGAGATAATGAAGGATCCTTTGTTATAAGACAGTTGCACCCAAATATTATTAAAATAAAACACGATTCAATGAAATCCAGACTCTCGCTGCGAGAAAAAGTCACTTATTGGAATAGTTTCCATGGTCAATATCCGTTCTTTTTTGTTTAATTACAATACAAGAGCAGCTGAACAAGTAACTTGGACGCCCTCCACCACCATTCTTCTGGGGTCGGCAACTGGGCGTGTTGTCGAACAACTGGAGACTTGTTCTTGGCAAAATATCTGGAAAAAGGCGTCAACCGCTTGACAGTCTTGTCACGTGCTTTATTTCTTAACGCCGGAAAGCATAAAATTTTTCTAAGTTAAACGCAGATCGTACCTCGATTCCTCGATAAAAAGTAGCGCCAAAAGTGGGGGTTCATTTTTTTCTAGCGTTAAGTAAAAGTTGAGTTATGAGTAGGGGGTGCACAGTGGGATAATGTCAAAAAATTAACTATCTTTTTGATATTTTAAAGTCTTGAATGACTTTGTTATAACCTAACAATCATTTCTTTCAATTATCATCTTTTCATAAATGTCCATTTTTACCCTGAAAATCACGTGAAAAGGTTAAGAAAAGGGGTTTTTAGCAAATTACTCCCAAGATATTAAAGGTTATAAAAAATGAAAAGTGCATCTAAGAGAGTAAACAAAGAGCTTTAATTTGACCCCAAAATGGTATCCGGCACTTTCCGGCAAAAATTCTAGAGCCGATTCTTTGTCAAAAACCTTCACTTTTCGGCCAAGTCGGGTGTTCGAATCCCGACGATAACATTTTTTCAAACCGTTTTTCCCAATAAAATGATCAACACAGATCATGTGATCTAGGGTGAGTCATTTTTTTGTCCTCCGGAGGACTATTCAGGTAGAAGAGTGCTCCTGGAAGACAAAAATCCTTCCTTGATTTTTAATTTTTAGGGGCTTGACGGCCCTTCGGGCCGTTTCAGCCCCCTTCCTTGATTTTTAATTTTAAGGGGCTTGACGGCCCTTCGGGCCGTTTCAGCCCCCTTCCTTGATTTTTAATTTTAAGGGCTTGACGGCCCTTCGGGCCGTTTCAGCCCCCTTCCTTGATTTTTAATTTTAAGGGCTTGACGGCCCTTCGGGCCGTTTCAGCCCCCTTCCTTGATTTTTAATTTTAAGGGCTTGACGGCCCTTCGGGCCGTTTCAGCCCCCTTCCTTGATTTTTAATTTTAAGGGCTTGACGGCCCTTCGGGCCGTTTCAGCCCCCTTCCTTGATTTTTAATTTTAAGGGCTTGACGGCCCTTCGGGCCGTTTCAGCCCCCTTCCTTGATTTTTAATTTTAAGGGCTTGACGGCCCTTCGGGCCGTTTCAGCCCCCTTCCTTGATTTTTAATTTTAAGGGCTTGACGGCCCTTCGGGCCGTTTCAGCCCCCTTCCTTGATTTTTAATTTTAAGGGCTTGACGGCCCTTCGGGCCGTTTCAGCCCCCTTCCTTGATTTTCAATTTTAAGGGGCTTGACGGCCCTTCGGGCCGTTTCAGCCCCCTTCCTTGATTTTTAATTTTAAGGGCTTGACGGCCCTTCGGGCCGTTTCAGCCCCCTTCCTTGATTTTTAATTTTAAGGGGCTTGACGGCCCTTCGGGCCGTTTCAGCCCCCTTCCTTGATTTTTAATTTTAAGGGGCTTGACGGCCCTTCGGGCCGTTTCAGCCCCCTTCCTTGATTTTTAATTTTAAGGGCTTGACGGCCCTTCGGGCCGTTTCAGCCCCCTTCCTTGATTTTTAATTTTAAGGGCTTGACGGCCCTTCGGGCCGTTTCAGCCCCCTTCCTTGATTTTTAATTTTAAGGGGCTTGACGGCCCTTCGGGCCGTTTCAGCCCCCTTCCTTGATTTTTAATTTTAAGGGGCTTGACGGCCCTTCGGGCCGTTTCAGCCCCCTTCCTTGATTTTTAATTTTAAGGGGCTTGACGGCCCTTCGGGCCGTTTCAGCCCCCTTCCTTGATTTTTAATTTTAAGGGCTTGACGGCCCTTCGGGCCGTTTCAGCCCCCTTCCTTGATTTTTAATTTTAAGGGCTTGACGGCCCTTCGGGCCGTTTCAGCCCCTTCCTTGATTTTTAATTTTAAGGGCTTGACGGCCCTTCGGGCCGTTTCAGCCCCCTTCCTTGATTTTTAATTTTAAGGGGCTTGACGGCCCTTCGGGCCGTTTCAGCCCCCTTCCTTGATTTTTAATTTTAAGGGCTTGACGGCCCTTCGGGCCGTTTCAGCCCCCTTCCTTGATTTTTAATTTTAAGGGCTTGACGGCCCTTCGGGCCGTTTCAGCCCCCTTCCTTGATTTTTAATTTTAAGGGCTTGACGGCCCTTCGGGCCGTTTCAGCCCCCTTCCTTGATTTTTAATTTTAAGGGCTTGACGGCCCTTCGGGCCGTTTCAGCTCCCTTCCTTGATTTTTAATTTTAAGGGCTTGACGGCCCTTCGGGCCGTTTCAGCCCCCTTCCTTGATTTTTAATTTTAAGGGGCTTGACGGCCCTTCGGGCCGTTTCAGCCCCCTTCCTTGATTTTTAATTTTAAGGGGCTTGACAGAGGCCTGGGACTCTTAGTTGATCAATCTCAGTTATGTCCCCAACCCCACCCACACCCGTTTATATGAAAATTTAAGTAATTCTTGCTTTTTTCTTAATTATGGTTTTTATGAGACGTCGACAAATATCTTAAATAACGTGTTTCTCTTGAGTAAAAGCAGTTGTAAAAAAGTTTTGACAGTGAAATTAATGATTTTTTATTTTTTCCCTCAGATGGATGAGGATGGATCCGGATGGGGTTTTTATGACGAATAAAATGATCAGTGATCATCAGCGATCAATTTTATGCATAAAATCCCTAATCTAAATCGGTTTTGAGAAAAATCGTATTTTGACCTCAGGTGACCTCAGGTGACCTTCAATGACCCCAAGTCACATGTCAAAATGATCAGTGGATCATAGGCTTTCAATTGATGTATCATTCATCCCTATAAGAGGATGATAAAAAATCGATTTTCCCACTGTGCACCCCCTAGTTATGAGGCATTAATATATTTGTATGATTAATATTATATTAATATGATTAATTAATATTAATTAATTGGTCGCCCTGCGTTTCGGCGTTAAGGAGGTGTGGGGCGGTATTCGGGAAATTGCCCATTTTCAAACAGCTCTCAGGCTCAAATGGGTAAAAAATTTTTATAAACTCTTCTTCTACTTGTCGATTGGACTAGAGTTGAAAAATTTTTCAGAAAAATAATGAAAGGATTTTGGCCATGGAGCTTGATCCGATTTTGCAGCTCAGTTCACCTTGTTTGTGTTAACTTTGGCTCGATCCATCTCACACCGAGCCTTGCTCAGAGTTGGTGCTAGGAGCAGTCTCTGCGGGACTTCCCAGTGGGTAGCACATGTGACATGTCGGTCATCATTTGGGTCATTTTTAAACGCGACTTTTAACCTTAGCCGGCCAGGGTGCACGATCTCTGGAACAGGGGTGAAAAATAGGTCTCCCACCGAAGTGATTTTGAGTTTCGAAAAAGGAAGAAATTGTAGGGCTATTTATCGATAAAATACCCTTAGGTTAACTTTCGACTATCCTTGGTTTGGGGTAGGGTTCGGAAATAGGCTTGTTTTGAGAATTACTGCATGCACCATCTATGGTGCATTGCAACAATGGCGCCGACACCACTGATGGTGTTTTTCAGAACGAGGAAATGTTGACTGTCGTTGGCTTCCCACTCAACCCAGCCACCGTCGTTGTCTCTCTTAGAGACGGAGAGAGTAGAGAGATACTCGGACTTGATCGAGTTCCCTTCGAATAGGGACCGAACGCAAATCAGGGGTCAAAATTTAAAATCGCTTGTAATGAAAATTTACAAATTGTAAATTACTATTATTATTACTATTATAGTAAATCGACGACGGCGATCATTTTCTTTCATTACAGTCACCCCGAAAAATGTCCGGAAGACCGAGAAAATCACTGCTCTAACCCTAATTTTGCCATTTCGAACCTTCAAACCCGGAACCGGCTACGCGACATTCGACGCTTTCCAAGTCACCAACACTGACAAATCCGTCGAGTTCGAATTCAACATCGATTTTCCTGCTGAATTCGACCTGAACGCCACTGTTCCCGCTGTTTTCTCATCAACTCACGATTTTCTGGCGAAAACAACAACTGGCGGAAACGAAACATGCGAGGTGATCGAAGGAGAAGGATTCGATCTTCAGGAAATTTGGAACGGCAATTGCTCAGTCATTTGCACTCTACCATGCGAAGACGCTGGAGGACTTTTGTCTACTTCGCCAAAGTGTCATTCAAGAGAAACGACCGAATGCGGGCCTTATGGCTCATGCACTGAAGAAACTGGATGCGTTTGCGACTTGGAATCGATGCCTGAACCAGATCAAGTATTACTTGAAATCGTTTTTAGTAGATTAGTAAAAATTAGATAAACATCGACGACCATGTCCACCTATCTTGCAACTCAAGAGATGAAATGGTGGTAAAAGTCGACAAGTGTCTTATGCATCGATTGGGATTCAAACTAGAAGACTTGTCGATCAACGGCATCAATCCTACCGAGTACAGTATTTACAATTTTTACATGTAGTAAACGAGTTTAGCCCTCTCCAACCATCTGGACTCAACACTTGCGTCGGAAAGCTCGATTACGAGACTGAAACTGACTACAAGTTCGCTCTCTATGGCGACGAGGCTTGTCGAATGCAGAAAACTTCAAACGCAACACATGACGTTTATACTAATGCCATTTTCGGCAGCATGTTTCAGGGCGAAAACGGATCCATCCAAACGGTAGAAGTATATTCAGAGTTTTCGTGCACATTTGAAGGTAAGTCTTAAGGGACCCGGGCGAGTAACGCGAAGGCCAACTTTACGCGCTCGCCATTGATCTTTCAGAACAGCTTTTTGAAATTTCTTTTGCTAAACATATTTTCATTCACTCAGCTTTCATCTCCAACTTTCAGATTTTTATATCATACTTAATTCTTGAGCTAGAGTGAAAAAGAGAAGTTCAACTTCAAAGGGCATCAACTCCTGCAAACCTCTTTCTATTGACATGAAACCAGCACCATTGAAAAGCCCATTAAATTCTGAACAGATCATACTTAATGCGCTAAGCTGAAACTGCAGTAATGAGCGATTAAGGCCAGATAAACAAGAAAACTTAGTGCGCGCGCAGCGGGAATCATGTCCCGGGAGCCCAAAATAGCCCGATCGGAGTGTCCTGCCTTGCTGCGAGCGCTCAGTCCGTTCGTTTATCAGCGCGTTCAGGGCAATTAGTAGAGTTCCAGCTTAGCGCATTAAGTATGATCTGTTCAGAATTTAATGGGCTTTTTAATGGTGCTGGTTTTATGTCAATAGAATGAGGTTAGCAGGAGTTGATGCCCTTTGAAGTTGAACTTCTCTTTTCACTCTAGCTCAAGAATTAAGTATGATATAAAAATCTGAAAGTTGGAGATGAAAGCTGAGTGAATGCAGATATGTTAAGCAAAAACAAATTTCAAAAAGCTTTTCTGAAAGATCAATGGCGAGCGCGTGAAGTTGGCCTTCGCGTTACTCGCCCGGGTCCCTTAAGCTGGTGATTTTGGGAGAAATTTGGAGATAAGAGAATGGCGTGTCTTTTAACATTTTTTGGGAGACGCCAATGATTCATTGGCAATGAATTAAAGAGACGCCACTCTCCTTTCTCCGATAACAGGTGGAGCAAATAATTTGTTTTCGTATATGATAAACTGTGCGAAAACATTATGTCATATACTTCTCAATGATAATATATACGACATATGAAGAATGGTAAGAAAGATCGAAGATTCCTTATGGCAATTAATTTATAGAAGCAGGGCTTCTACTGCTTGACAATTTCGCCACCTGCTTGAGCTCTTCAGTTTTACTTCTCTATGATTCCATTTATTATTTAATATGCATATAAACTAAACTTGGACTGTTTTCTATTTGCAGTGAAATTTCACGAGAGAACTCTTTATAAAAAAGCGATTCTGGCGGCAAAAGCGATGATGGAAGCTCTACCCCTGAAAATTTGATAGTATCCAAGTGATATTTGTTGTGTGATAAATGCTTACTGTTTATTTAGGTGTAAGAGTAATTGAATACGCTTGAGGGAGGAGAAACCATTTTTCAGTTTCCATGTTGAAATGTTCGTTCGTCAAAGCAGAAAACTCGTTGTTTGGCCCGTAGTAAACATAATCGTTGTAGCAATTGAAGCAATCTTCCATCATTTCGTAAAAAGCGTAGAATTCGCGAGAAAGAGGAATTCTGATTTGGGAGCCGTAATGGGCGATTAAAGTGTTTTGGAGAATGAATTCGGAGTTTTCGATTCGGTCAAGAACCATTTGGTGGAAAACTATTGAGCCGTCGGGATTCAGGTAGGCGCCCGTGACTGTTAAGGGGCGGGTGAAGGCGAAGTTGTGGTGGAGGAAGACTTGAATAATTATTTTAGTTAAATTCAAGAAATAATTTCATCAAAACCTTTTTCAAAATTAAAATCGCCTTTTACTCGAAAATAATCTTTTATGATAATTTACCACCCGCTTGGTTTCAAATAAGTTCCGAACTTCATTCTTCTTAGAAGTATTTCAATTTCGTTTGTTTGAAATTCTTGTTCTCCATTTTTGGGGTTGAGATTTAACCCTGCCAAACTCCGCGGATAAATAACCATTGTCATATTTGTGAAGATGTTTTCGAGAGTTAAATATGCATTCATTTTCCAATCATCAACTTTCAAATCATTTTGGAGTGCCCATCTCAAAAGAACGGAAACTGAAATGGGGACACAAAGATCGCTTTCTTTTGGTTTAAAACTCTCTTCGTCAAATTTTCGAAGTCGAAATTCATCTGTCTCGTCAGTTTTTGCTTGAGATTGGCCATCGCGGAAGACTTTGTTAAATTTGGATCGTCAAGACAAAAATCAGAAGACGCATTTTTAGAGAAATTATTTTTGACAAGTTCTCGATTTCTTCGGTTGAGGGAGTTTTGATTGATCCGAATTTGCCTTTATATAAGAGCCTCTCAGCATTGCAGGCCTTATGAGTGTTATCTTTAAAAGCAATAAATTTTGAAGACTCGCCTTCAATTCTTCTTTGATCTTTTCTCGTTCGTCTTCTTCAATTGGTTTATAAAGAAGACTCCACGCTGTTTTCCAATCGCAAAGAATCAGAATGTGAAGTGATGATGCATCTCCTCCTCCTTCTCCAAAAAGTTGAAAACTGTCCGAAAAAGCAGCAGATCCAGCATCTTCGAAAAAACATTTTCGAAGACATAGACTTTAAAACTTACATAAATGTTTATTAAATCTATATTTGCTCCCTCTTCTCACGTAGCCCATCTTTCGATAGCTCTTCCTTCCAGTTCTTTCTTCAATTGTTCCAAAATCGATCCATTTGCATTCTTCATTTTTCAATAAAATATTTTCCGGCTTCTGATCATGATGTAAAATTCCAATGCTCTTCAAATACTCTTCTCCCTTCTCCACTCCAATCGCAATTTTCTTCCTCTCTTCCAAGCTCAAATCTTCCTTCTTCAATCCGCTCCTCAAATCGCCGTCGCACTTCTCCATAATCGTAATCCACCCAAGGCAGTCTTGTCTTTTCTCGTCTTTGCTCAAGAAAATTTCGATGTTGCAGAAATTCTTGATCACTAGGTAAACTTGATGAAAAATGAGCTCTTTTTGAGCTTTCAATATAGAGAGTTTAATACATTTTTAGAATCCCCAGAAGCTGGGGATCATTTTGACTATTGATACTTGGGGGTTTGGTTCATGCCCTGAGGCGTTTTAGGTCTTCCAAAGTCCAAAAAATCGGGCAATCTCGGTGAAATGGCCATAACTTTTGTTCTCCCCACTTTCTGATGATGCTAAGCATCTCAACTTGTAGCTGGGGTTCTGACGGTTCAGAATCTATGTAGAAAACTACCGGACACCCCCATTCTAGGGCCCCTAGAACCTCTAGAAGTTAGGGAAGTCCACCGAAAATCGGTACTTTTTACTAAAATATGGTAAAACAGATATATTTCTGTACAAAAACGATCTAGGAATAATAAAATCGTTTTTGTGACCTCAAAAATATATTTGGGGTCATTATAGAGTACTTCGGGTGAGTTTTTATGAAATTTTTTTTCTTGCACATAATTTGATTTGAAGTGACTTTCGATGCCTTGCAACTGTATTTTGGACATCAGAGAGCCGATTTTATCGAGTTCTGATCGATTTCGGACAAAAATTTACACCTTTTACAACATTTCAGTTGAAAAGTACCGATTTTCGGTGGACTTCCCTAACTTCTAGAGGTTCTAGGGGCCCTAGAATGGGGGTGTCCGGTAGTTTTCTACATAGATTCTGAACCGTCAGAACCCCAGCTACAAGTTGAGATGCTTAGCATCATCAGAAAGTGGGGAGAACAAAAGTTATGGCCATTTCACCGAGATTGCCCGATTTTTGGACTTTGGAAGACCTAAAACGCCTCAGGGCATGAACCAAACCCCAAGTATCAATAGTCAAAATGATCCCAAGCTTCTGGGGATTCTAAAAATGTATTAAACTCTCTATATTGAAAGCTCAAAAAAGAGCTCATTTTTCATCAAGTTTACCTATTGATCACGTTTGGATGAACAGGGAGTACTGGAGCGTCGTCTTTTTCGTCTTTTTCGGCGATTTCGTAATCTAGATTGATAAATTGAAAAATTTTATAAAAAAGTAACCTTTCGAGAGATTAATCTCAAACGTCAACTCCTCATCAACGTCTGTAAAAAGCGCTGAATCAAAAGCCTGAACCCGAACCGCTACTTTCAGTTCTCCAAACATTTCTTTCAAAGCAATCGCTTCTCCTCCGGCTGAAATTATTTTTTGTTGAAGAAACTCATTTAGAATCCATTCTCCAGGTTCTTCTTTGAGTTCCGAGCGTTGAATTTGTCTTCCTTCTAATTGAGGATTTCTGTCGAGGATCATTTGATAAGTTTCGAAAAATGTTTTCAGGCTAAAAATCACTTTTTAACTGTTAGTGCCATCTTCATCGCCGTCTCAAACCGAGTCGAACGGTATATGTATGGCTTTTTGAGACCCCTGCATTCCTCACGTCCTAGCGGTCATTTTGACATACCATATGCCATGGTACCATTTCTGTATCAAAAACGGCAGTGGAATACTAGAATTTCGTAAATTTGACCGGAAGTACCCGAAACTCTAGAATTTTCAAGCCATACATATACCGTTCGACTCGGTTTGAGACGGCGGTGAAGATGGCACTAACAGTTAAAAAGTGATTTTTGGCCTGAAAAATTTTTCGAAAATCATCATTTTTTGAAATGAAGTTATTTTCCATTCTTCATTCGCAAATCCTGTCATAATTTTTCCTTTTCCATTTTCAAAAATAACCTCCTCCCATTTAGCACACCAATCATCTTCAAACTCGTATCTCTCCACCGACAAAATCAGTCTATCCAAATCACCTCTGCTCGTCGTTCTTTTCAATTTCTTCTTAAAATCTTTCAGCCATTTCTCAACGGCATCTCTCGTCAATCCTCGCGGGTGAAAACCGCTCATTCTTTCTTTTTAGAAAAAAAGCACGTTTGTTTTTCGAATATTGCGGCAAAATTAAATTTTGTGCAAAATAAAAGCAAGATTCCCGCTGCTAAAGAGAAGGTCAAATATTGAAATAGGCTTGAATGTCAATTCAGTAACGCCAGAAAGACAATCTAATCGTCCAAACCGACGACATGGCCAAGATGCTCGACATCGCGAACAAAAATTTCTCGCAGGGGTTCCTCAAAGGTAGCTAGCCCCGTTAGGGAAAACTGGAAGAACAACCCCCTAGTAGGGGGTTGTAGGGGTTCTTTCAAAATGACGGTTTTTAAGTGATTTCAATAGGTTTTCACTATTAAAATTTGAATAAGGAGGAACTTACTTCAGAAGTGAAAGTCACTTGAAGTGAAGTCACTTTTTTCATGAAGTGTTATTTTTCACTTCACTTCACTTCACTTCAAAATTTTGATATTGAAAAATAACTTCACTTCAACTTCGAATGAAGTTATATTTTTAACTTCACTTCACTTCACTTCATTTTTCTCAAAAATAAAATCACTTCACTTCACTTCAATATGGCAATGAAGTTATTTTTCAAAGTAACTTCACTTCAAAGTTAAAGTGAAGTGATTCGGAACTCTGCCCCCTACTACCAAAACTCTCTCACAACAAAACCGATGATCTAAGCTAACTGAGCCTGCAAGTAAAAGAAAAACACACGAAATTTGAAATAAGAAATTGATTTTATTCAGGTAAAAGAAGAAAACCGACCAGTAAGGCAAAGAGCACATTGATTCAGAATATGCTATTCCGATCGCTATTGTTACCTTCTTTCGGGTAACTTTCTTCTTCTTGTTCTTGAAGAAATCTAAAAATAATTAAAAATCAGAAAAAACCGTTAAAATTACCTAAATTAGCTGCTTTCCGGACTGTAAAAATCCGAAGACTGAAGAAACCATCAGTTTTGCCCAAACAACAAGCCACGTTCTAGAGACAAATTTCCAACATTCTCAAAATTTGACCTTCTAATTCAGACGATGAATGTCAAGCAGGCCCGGACGGGCGGGAAAAGCGCAAATTACTGCTAAACAACTTGCGATTTTATAAGAATTGTAATACATGTATTTGAAATCAGAAATCAAGCAAGAAATTGGGCGAGGTTCTCTGTAAATTCTTCGTCGGTAAATCTGAGATGATCTCCAGCGAAGGTGAAAAAGTGCAACTTTCCGGCAGTATCGAGCGTTTTTAAACCAATTCGGTCTTCTGTGTAAAGTTCTGTCTGATCATAAGGGAGTATTTCTGCATCTTGGCCGGGCGAATAGTAGCCAAAATGGGAGGATTCTTTTGGGACGACCATTGAGTCCTGGAAAAGAATAATCGTTGTTGATTTCAGTTTGTTTTTTTATTTTAAATATACGGTATATAATATACCGTATATTATATACCTTTTCGAATTTGACGAGCACCAAGTTTTCGAGCTTCAGCAAGTTGTCCTTTTACTCGGCTCGGCAACCTGTGTATTTAACCTGAGTCAGGGTCTGAAAAATCTTCGCGCGGTTTTCAGACCCTGAGTCAGGTTTTCTACACAGATTGCCGAGCCCTGTCCTTGTAAGTCTGGTTGAATTCGTGTTCGTTGTTGACGACTCCGATGAACTGAGAATATTCCTTGTAAGTTTCTTCTTGCAGCGGGTCGTGCCAGTACTGAGCTTGAACCAGTCTGCTTTGAATGAAAGAAGTGTAGGCGCCCCAGTTGAGCATTTTTCGGACGTACTCGCAAATTGAACTTCCATCGGGGCACTTTGGAAAGCCAAAGATTCCTTGCTGCTGGCCACTGAAATTTTTGATAGAAAACTCTTTAGAAAGATTACTGACCCGATCGAGATGAGATTCTTCATCGGTGGAGAAGGACAGGTTTGGGCCAAAGCTCTTAGAAACTGTCCTCCTTGACTGAATCCTACAGCGTGGTAGCCATTTTGAAGAGCTAGAAATAAAAATATGTTTTTCGGACATCAACTGACATTAAAGACATCTTATGACATTTCCCAAGAAAAAAAGCGCACGGAAACTTCAGTAGATTTAATAGACATCTAAGAATCTAAATGTTTACAAAAAAATGTCGAAATGTTCCCAAATGTCTCTAAATGTCAGAAATGTCAACAGACATTTTTAGATGACTCTGAATTTCACTACTTAGATTTCTATTCACAATAGACATCTGCAGAAATTAAATCTGAGTAGTGACATTCAGAGACATCTAAGAATATCTGTTGACATTTCAGACATTTAGAGATATTTGTGAACATTTTGATTTCTGCATGTTTTCTAACCTGGATCAGCTTGAATCTGCTGACATGCCAAATCGAGCTGTTGAAAAACTGGCATCAAAAATCCATTGCTAGTGTCGGAACCTTCAGAGTCGCCAATCATCAGAGATTTGACATATTCGACTGTCGGAATTTTCTTCTGGATCATTTTTGAAACTGCGCCCATTGAAAAACTGTGACAGCAATTGTCCCCTAAAAAGAGTTTTTGAAAAGGAAAAATGTAACAAAAATAGTACCCATTCCGTGCCAGAGGACGACAGGAGTGCCAAGTACTGTCAGAATTAAATTTGACAATAATTTCATTCTAAAAAAAGAGAAGAAAATAGACTCTATTTTTAACCATTAAAAAGGCTAGATTTATCTAAGAGCCAATCAGAAATCAAAAAGCCGCCCCCGACAGTTTTCTCGAAAACTTATTTTAAAAAACCGTAATTCTTCGTAAAATTGTAAAAAATTGTTCGCGATGAGTCATCGATCTTTCTTTTGTTGATTTTTCATTCGTGCTCTTCGCGACTCACTGATTTTCAACTGAAGATTTCGTAAAGAAATATTTTTGGCAAAAAAGCTAAAAAATCGAAGAAAACTCGAGGCGAGGGAAAAGGGAAAGCGTGGGCGCGCGAGTCTCCATTTTTTCGACGCGAGAAGAAAGAACGAAAAACTCGAGGTTTTTTCCCACGGCTTCGAAAAATTAGAGATTTTGAAAGAACGAAAATTGAAGAATGAAAAAGAAGAGAGAAGAAACTATATTTTGAGGTAGCGTAATTTTTAGTACATTTTAAATTCATAACCGAAATTATTGCTAACAATTTTAAATTATTAAGAACAGAAATATTATGACACATTCCCCAAAAATCTTTGAATTGAAATATAAAAACAAGATTGTCGATTTAATCTTGAAAGTGGTCCCAAGATTGTCGATTGCCCGTTTTAAATTTTACGCTTACTCTTCTGATTAGCTTGATATCGGCTAATGACTTGGGCTAGGGTCTATCACCTGTGTAGAAAACCTGAGTCAGGGTATGAAAAATCTTTAACGAAGCCCCCTCAATTTTAAAGATTTTTCATACCCTGACTCAGGTTTTCTACCCAGGTGATAGACCCTAGCCCAAGTCATTAGCCGATATCAAGCTAGTCAGAAGAGTAAGCGTAAAATTCAAAAGCGGGCAATCGATAATCTTGGGCCCTATTTCAAAATTTTATCCACAATCTTGACAAAATTTCTACACAGTTTGTCGAGCCCAGGACCCCGATTTTTGTGGAGGTACGCTCGATAAATTTGTAAATTCCTGGACCAAGAATCCTGAAAGAAAATCCGCGGTTTACTTTTTATCCTCTTTGACATTTGATTCAACAATAGATGAATTACCGTAAGAATTTTTGGCCGAAAAATTTTTTGAGATAAGAACATATTCTGAAAGCCCAAGTCAAAATTAGTCGATTCCCAAATTTCTAGGCTCAATGACGTCATTATGACGTCATTTATGATTAAAATTGTCCGAAAAGGCTCCAAATTCATGAAACTTTGGAACGCTTTTTGAGGCGGTTTTTTCTGGAAATAGATTTTTCTATTGATGGCATGTTGTTCGCCATCAAAAACTACGTAGGGACCCGAGGTTTATTTTCGAACCGACCGGTTTCAAAATTGAACCGGTCGGTAATGGTTGATATTCAATGGTTTGATCCCGGGTCCCTACGTAGTTTTTATGGAAAATCCGAATCCGTCGAGAGAAATATGATTAAAAACATTTTCGGCTCGAAAAAGCGTTCCAAAGACAAAATTTTCAAATCACCCCGATGACGTCATAATGACGTCATCTGACCCTAGAATTTGGTGATTCTGGAGAACTTTTACGGGCTTTCAGACTATACCAATATCTCAAAAAATTTTTTGCCCGAAAAATTCTTATGGTAATTCATCAATATTTCCTTTCTTTCCCGATTTCAATTGATAGCTGAAAATGTCGATTGTCTTTTGTCTCTTCTGATTCTTCTTTCTTCTGACATCAGAAGAGACAACTTTAACGAGCATCAATTTCGATCTCCGACTGAGTCACTTCTCGTTTCAAGTAAAAATGAATTATTCAAAAATCAATTAAAAATCAAAAGAGAATATGCAAAAGTAAAAATTAATTATATTAATTGATGGATGAAAAATGAGACTTCTTGGATGCGGAAATTCAGAGGTTCGAGAGAGAACTGAAAATCGCTCGAAGAAAATATTCGATCAAAAATTTTAACAGGCAACCTGTGTAGAAAACCTGAGTCAGAGTCTGAAACATGATTTATCAAAAGCCGCTATGCGGCTTTTAATTGAAGATCTTTCAGACCCTGACTCAGGGTCCCTGAGAGCAGTTTTCCTGTTAGAATGGGGAACCTTATTTTTCCTAAATTTCAACTACGATTTCAGGATATGAAAGGAGATTTGCTGGCAATTCCGCCAGATCCGGAGGACTCGCCAAATTTCCGAAATGCTTTTTGGGGCGCCGATCATAAAGGATTCGAGGTCCTCTACGCCTCCCTCAAATCGTAAGTGATTTTCATCTTTGACGATTTTACGATTTCAATAATTCTAGCGCTCCAGCTGCGACGAAAGAAATTGCCGAGTTCATCCGAGAAGTCGCCTCGCAGCACGATCAAATGGCGAAGAATTTAGCTAGACTTGGGAAACAGGAAAAAACAAATGCCCAGCATATCCTCTTGTCGCCTATTTGGAAAATATTGAAGGTCAGGCTCTTTAAAAATGCTTCTTAGTCTTTTATTAGTTTTATTAAAAGGAATGCGAGTAAATGTTACTCAATGTGGATTGATATCAAAATATTTTTCATAATATCTCGTGAATTACGGAATGTTTATACTTCTAGATAATTTCTAGATGTCTTTTAATGTACCTTGATACGACTAGATGCCTTTAGATGTTTCTAGATATTTCTAGATGTCTCTTGATGTCCCTAGAAGACTCTACGTTTCCCTAGATGTCGCTAGATGTCCCGAGATGTCCCTAGATGTCCCTAGATGCCCCTTGATGTCCCTAGATGCCGTTAGATGTCTCTAGATGTCTCTGGATGTCTGTAGATAATTCTAGATGTCTCTAGATAACTCTAGTTGTCTCTAGAGTAGGCACTTATCATTGACAATTTTCTCCAATGCCTAAAAATCTCACTCCTTATCCACATTTCCCATCAACATTTAATTCTTGCTTTTAGACGACGATGGAAAACTCAGGAGCAGCTCATCTCGAACTCGCTCAGCGTCTCTTCGAAATTTCGCGCGACATCCGGAAATACTCGGAAGAAGACTGTCGCGAGCGCTACAAAAGTCACAAAAAGCAACTGCTGGCGACTGGCCAAGCGACGACGAAAATGCAACACGCAACAACTCATTTGACGAAGAGCAAAGAATCGAGGACGAGGATCGAGTCGTCCAGCGCGTCGGGGTCGAAACATGAAAAACAGCTGCGGCGATCTGCGGACGACATGAAGAAACATGTCGAAATGTACAATCAGGCGCTGGAAACATTCGAGCCAGCAATGATTGCTTCCTGCGAAGTGCTCGAAAAGCTCGAAACCGAGCATCTCGAACGACTAAGCGGCTACATGACAAAGCTGCACAAGGGCTACGCCAGCTGCATCGCCATCTCTCAAATCAACAACGCCGCTTTTCAAGAAACGCTGGAAAACAACGCCAAGCCAGAATACATTCTTCAGCAATTCGCGAAGCGGCGCGGAACTGGAATGGAACGGCCGAAAAGAGAAAGCTTCGATTCAGGAGAAGCAGGGGCGGGAAATGTATCCATATCGCCGGAAAAGCAACGACCGGAAGACTCGAATTCTTTCAATAGATCGGTTTCTTCGGCGAATTCTACCTCTTCAGGAAAAAGTCGAAAATAAATGTTGATTCTTGATTTTGAGCTGGGAGTCATGTGCAGAAAACCTAAGTCAGGGTTTGAAAGAACACTGACTCAGAGTTATGCACAAATTCTATAAATTCTGATTTCTGAAACACATTTTCTAAAATTAGTTAGAACAGAGCTCTCGCACCTGTGTTTCTAGCGCTTTAGTTCAATCTTTACAAGATTCTAGTCAAAGTACTAGAATCTCAGGTGCAAGCATTTGTAACAAACAGATCAACTAAAGCGCTTCTAGGCGGCTGTTTCTAAGTTTGAAATTGCTACATTTTGAGAGCGATAAACAAATGCTCAAGTACCGCGATTTCGACTTTCTGCAAAGAACCAGTGCAGCGTCAGGAGTCCCTCAATGTAAAGCCCATAATGCCCAATTTCCTGCGACCTTCGACGGCGAATAAATCCGACTCTGGCAGCCAAGTCATAAAGTCCACCGAAAACGAAAGGTAACGCGCAATCTCTAGATCTCGCCGGCAGTTTTCATTTTTAGCGATTCCGATGGCGACGATTCTGAAAAGAGTCCAGAGAAAAAACCTGTCAAGAAAATGAGCAGCAGTAAAATCCCGCCAAAGCCAAAAAGGGTTGAAAGTAAATCTTCTGCAGAAGTGGATGAAGAAGGTTTTACGATACGAAAGCCAGAGGTTTCGGATAGGAGCAGGAAATCGTCGACTTCTAGTGACAGTTCTGGCTGGGACTTTGAAGAAGATGGAAAACTTGATACGTATAAGATCAAGGTACGCGCAAATGTGATTAGATGTCTTCTCGTGATGTCAAAGGGCATCTACTTTCAATGATTGAGACTGTCGGACACTGAAGACATCAACATACATATCTACCTCGTTTTTAGGTTCAAATCAAAAGCCTCGAAGAGATAAAAAAAGAAAAGGCAAACAAAGAAAGCACCCAATCCGTTGTCAAACTAGATGCTCCTTTGATGGCCGCTCCAGTCCGAAAAGCTCCAAGACCCGGTCGCAGTCCTAGAAACGTTCCTCCAGCTTCAACAAGTCCTCTTACCATACCTCCTTTATTGCCAAAAGTATGACCACCTTTCCCTTCTTATCTTCATTCTGGATCATTCAGGTTCCTGAAAAACCAATCCCGCCGCTTTCGCCAGCCAAGGAAGAAAAATCGGACGAGACTTTGCACTTGCACGAAAAATGCGCTAGCATTTTGCTGAATGAGTCGAATCCGGAAAAGACGCGCGAGTCGCCAAAGCCGAAATCGCCCCTCTTGAATCAACCGGCGCTGCGGGCGCGTCCGTTGACACCGGTCAAGACTGGCGGATCCTTATCGAATGAGAATATTACTTGGACACAGCCTCAAGGGATGCCTTACGATGCTCCTATCGCGTCGATCGAAAGCTTGAGCCCAGTCAGTAAGTATAAGATAAGATAGATTTGAGAACTCTCAAATTTCCTGACTTCAGGAAATCGCTCTAGATATCTCTGAATATCTAGTGTACTCTGGATGTCGTTTGATATCCCTAGAAGTCTTCGAAAAACCGAAAATGTCCACTTATTTCTTTTAGTGACCCCCACATCGCCAGTCAACGCCAACGGAGAAATCTCCATCCGAACAGCAATTACCGAAACAGTCAATGCCAAATTTCTCGCTGTCGGCGACAAAAATACCCAAGTCCTGAGCAACGCCGATTTATACCTCGGTAAATCCCTTTTCTCATCTCCTTTTTGACCTCCTCTTTTAAGACTTCCCAGCAAGCGCGTTGAAGAACTTGAATAAGTCGGCTAATTTTGACTTGAAATTGGAAGGCGAAGTAGCGCAGGTGAAAGTGAACCCTGCTTTCGGCCGCGGCGAAGGAAACACCATCAGCTTGGATTACGATTGCTTGATGAGTTTCCTGGAGAAGATGGCGCGGGACAGGCCAAGTCAGAGCCATCACATGATGAAGGTGGCCACGTACAGGGTCAAATGGTAAGATGCCAACTCTTCCCTGTATTTAGTGAGTCAAGTTTTTTCCTGAACAAGGAATGACGATAAGCACGACATACAGTGCAGCTTATCTCGTGCCTTTGACACATTCGCCAAGGCTTTTAAAATGGCTTTGATGACCGCGATAAATACGCAGAGTCGTCACTTCTACGACAGAATAATATCACTTCTTATGTAGCACTACCGCGAACTTGCCACTCCTGCTCGCCAGTTACTGGAAAAAAGAACAAGACGATTTCAAAGTCAAAGTAGTTGCCAAACCAACGACGAATATTGGTCAAGTGAAACTCCTGCTCAAGGTGAATATCTTTAAGATTTCTGCCTGTAATCTAACTGTAAATCAAGAGCTCGACGTTTGACGAGTGCGAAAGTGAAACAAATCATCAGGTGGAAAATGGCTTCTCAACCTTTCTGCTGCAGAATTTGGAGAGCGGCGTCGAACAAAGTTTCACTGCGTATTTGTCCAAATGCCCGTGAGTCAATTCAACTTTCTTTCAAACAGTAACTGTAAATGAATCTTAGAAATCCGACTGCATTTGCCGCCCAGTTCTCCACCAACGCTCTAAGTTTATCCTCCGTCTCTGCTCCTGATCACTCAACTCTAAAGGAACGGCTTATTTTTTCACTGATGTTGGTTATCTAGAGACAATTTATCATACTTCCTGATGTCTCTAGATGTCTCTAGACGTCCCTTAATGTCTTCATGTTTCTCTAGATAATTCGAGACAGCTCTAGAGATCTCAAGATTGTTCTTGACGTCTCTAGATGCCTCTAGATGTATCTTAATGTGTCCAAATGTCCCTAAATGTCTCCAAATGTCCCTTAATGCCCCTAAATGCTCTTAGATAGCCTAAAACATCGTCAAGCTAGCAAATAAAAAGCCTGTAAAAGATCAAGGACGCAAGAAGGAGGGTAAAAATCGGATTCTACATCTCCGAACCAATTCTCTAGAATTGCACAATATCAACGCTCAAGCCTCACTTCAAACTCAAAAACGAAAAACGAAGAACCATAACAACGCACTCAAGCTTCAGTCTAACACACCCATTACGACCCACTCGACCGTAATTAAAAGATTTCTTTTCTATTTAGCACGCCATGGATATGTCCATACCAGCATTTTTGATAACTGATGATTCATGTATTTATTAATTATTTTACGCGAAAATCAACTTGTACTACTACCCAATCAACCTTTCTTCAAGAACAGTCGAACTTCGCGATAAAACAAGTTATATTGGATGAAAAAAAGAGCGAGGCGGTCGGCGATAAATGACCGCGATTGCGCCGATGCCCTTAAAAGCTCATCTACTTCGTTTTTTATCAATTTTTCGCCATAACATAATACAGAGAAAATGTCTTCCATCGTTACATAACACTTCTTTAAAAAATTCAAAAGTTTCGAGATAAATAAAAAATCGCGGTTTTCAGATAAAAAATGATTATTCAACTCCTTTACTTTATTGTAAACTACCTCCTTTACTGAACTGGGGCGACCCTTCAAAAGTTCAAATTTCACAACGAAACGCTTTCCTTTGTATTTCAACTGGCCTCTACCATTATTTCATAATCACGTGATCGTTCAAAAACACATTTAACCCTTCTATTAACCACGTGCTTATTATTCATATTTATGCAGAATTATTTATTCTCAATGTGCAAAGCAACGAATTAACCCCTCCCTGTGCAATTTAATTTTAAATGGCTTCGTAATGATATTAAATATTTAATTCGAAGCTTGAAACCTTTTAAAATTATTTTAGAATGGGAGGAGGTTACGGTGGGCGACCAAACAAGTCGCTTTTTGTTAGGAATATTGCTGATGATATTGATAGAGGTAAAAATATGTTCAACTTTGTAAGGTGTATCTGGATGTCTCAGGATTTTACTAATGTTCTAGATATTCCTAGATGTCTTTTAATGTCTCAAGATGTCTGCTTATGTCTCTAGATGTGTTAAAATATCCCCCTAAATGTCTTGAAATGTGCCAAGATGTCTAAAGATATTTTCAAATGCTCGCAGATGTCTTCAAATGTTTCCATAGTTCCTTAAATATGTCTAGATTTCAAAAGATATCCCTAGATGTCTTGAGATAAACCTGAATTTCATTTCATTTCTTAATTTTAGAGGAGCTGGAACGAGAATTCTCCCGCTACGGGTCTATCAGGGACGTCTACGTTCCACTCGACTACTACAGCAAGCGACCCCGCGGCTTCGCATACATACAGTAAGTCAAAAAAAATCATACTTGCACTGTACCAATTAAGTAATGCTCGAGATAGTCTCATAAATTATGAGTCATAATCAAATGCATGTTCATCACTTCTTGTTTATTTACATGCATAATCAAATGATTTGGTCGTAATGTTCTAACACTAGTCGTTGATTGACATTTTACTGGCACTTGTAATTAGCCTTGTAATTGCCCATTTCAAACATCGTTAAAACGAGCATATTTCCAGAAAAGCCAAGTTCAAGAATAAAGAATCGCCAGCTTTAAAAAGAAAGTAACAACAAAAAAGTGCAGTGGGAAAGAGAATGAGAGTGAAACTTCTTCTGACGAATTACGAGAAAATGTGATATTATTAAAGATTCTGCGACAAGCTCGATGCCAAAGATGCGTTGGAGGGGATGGACGGGCGCAAAGTCTGTGGAAGATATATCGACGTTCAGTATGCCAAGGGCGATAGAAAATGTAAGTTCTCTCTGTCTCCGCAGTGGCTAAAACCATCTCTCTTTTCTAGCGCCTGGAACGATGAGATCTGAAGAGCGAGGACACTCAGGAAGCTACCATCGACGCCGGAGCAGATCCCGAAGCCGCTCTCGACGAGATCGTCGACGAAGAAGTCGATCAGACAGTCGTCGACGAAGACGTACTCGATCACGCTCTCGATCGTCCCGGCGACGACGATCACGATCATACAGACGAGAGCGATCGTCAGATACGAGACGAAGACAAACTCGATCCCGATCTCGATCGATTTCGCGAGGAGAATCACGACGAAGATCACGCTCGACATCGCGAAATCGCGAAAAGTCGGAAAAAGAAGCCTGTCGCGATCGAAATCAGAAGGTATCTCATCACAAAAATATACCTCCTATGCTTAAATGATCTTCAGAACGTCCAAAGGAAACAAAATCAGCGCGGAGCAGATCCAAGTCGCGTTCCAAGTCCAAATCTCCCGAAACCACTGTTGACAAAAGCCGCTCCGCTTCAAGAGAACGATCAAAAAGCGCCGAAAAAATCGTCCGAGAAAAAGCCAGAGACTCTTCTACCTCCCGATCTCGGTACTAAGCCCCAGTTTCACTCTTTTTTTAATAATTTATATTTTTCAGAAGTCGATCTGGCTCGCGCTAGAATAAAAACACAGCTTTTATTTTGAAAACTGCCATTTATCAACCAAAGAAAAAGGCGACCATTTATCTTCTGTTCCGCCTTTTTCCTGTTAGGATTTTTATTTTCTCCAGCGTGTTCCTGAAAAAAATCACCTTCTGAACTTCACAGATACAAATAAAAAAAATGTTCACTGAAAAAATAAAAAAAAAATCCAGAAATAAATTCTCTAAAAAGTGTGAAAAGTCGATCGAAATCGTGAATCGTAAGAAGATGATCGGAGATGTAGATTTTGGCGATGATTTATTCGAAGAAGAGGAAATTCTGAGCGATCGACCTGGCGAATTTTGCCGCAAAAGCTGCGTCAAATGCCTTCGGCCGACATCTGTCTGTCTCTGTGCGCATATTGCCTCGCCAAAGATCAACACGAAAGCGCGAGTTGTCGTTATTCAGAAAGGGTTGCCGATTTTGTATGAAGTTTTTTGAACTTTTCTTTTCGGGTTTCTTTTTTGATGAAAAGAAGCAGGATTTTCTCTCCTTTATCCTTTCTAGGGCGGAGCCCTACATACACAGTTTTCAATTTGCTTGTCGCTAAAAAACAGGAGGTATTCAATGTGGAGCTTCATCTATTCCTGCTAAGTTCTGTTTTTGGCATATTTTTTTTATTGTGGACCTGCAAGGTCTATTTATTTCCATAAGTAAAAATTGACGATGATAAATGATGTATTTGTATCATCACAGATGGTCATTAGTTGAGTTACAGTCATATTCAAGGAAAAACACTTGTTATTCATGGAAACGTCGAAATAAAAACACATATGACATGTTTTATTTCTTTATTCTCGCACGAACTCAATCTACTTCTGAAAAATGTGAATTATCTTTTGTTTATGTCTAATCAGAAGGCTGCGATCTGGCACCTCAAAATTACAATAAGCTACCTTCTGATTGGAAATAAACAAAGGATTAGTCACAATTTTCAGAAAGCGATCTTGGTCGCGCTAGAATCAAAGCATATTATACTGCGATACTCATTTCTAAATGACATCTTTGTCCGCCTACGTATTTTATTTACGGCATGTATGATATATACCGTAAATACGTAGGCGGACAAAGTAGTCATTTACAAATGAGGTATATTATATACGATATATACCGTATATATAATATACCGTATATAAAATATAAAATTTGCGTAAACACCTAGTCAGTAAGCAAGCATGTTTGATTGGTTATTTAATTGCTTATATTATTAAGTGTATATATATTTTATCGCTTTCGATATTATCTTATTAATTATTCTGGTTCCTCATCTCTCATCAAGTCATTGTCAACAAGGCCATTGCCAAAGTACTTACAGAAAATAAATCAGGCCCTCGTTACTTGCCACGCTCTAGTGGTTCAGATTTTACATTCGATCAGCGAGAAAACAAGCACTCAGCCCTGAAAGAGCACCCGAACGAGATAAAACGACCATTGAGGACGATGCCCTTGCTCGAAGCAGCGCTCCACGATTGGAATCGGATTCTGAATTTTTAATCAGCAAAAATTTTAACTAGCCACTTCTCTCTGCATTTGGTCCTCTATCTGCTGGATAGATAAGCCCTTCTTATTTATACCGTGGGCGAGAGATTTCACGACGGAGGGCGAAATAGATTGGGGCATTTGCGCGTGTTTTTCTCGTCCCAATCTTTTTGCTCTTTTTGGCGCGCATCTTGCGCCACGTGGGAGTGGGTCCTCCGCGAAGAACAACAACAACCCCCCGTCTAGAAACATTTTTCACAATTCACCTTTCTCAATAATTGACCAAAGAAACTTCTTCCTCCTTCAATTCTTATAACTTTGACTTTCATTTAGTAATAATGAATAAACTTAATAATAATTATTTGTAAATAATAATAAAAGAAATCTTTAAATTGAAAAAATATATTCAAAACCATAACATAATTGAAAACTTTGTCAATTTGAATTTTAAAAACGATGGGTGTGGGCGGGGTTGAGGACTGAGATTGATCACCTCGGAGTTCCCAGCCATTGTCAAGCCCCTTAATTTAAATTTGCCAGAGACGGGGCTGAGACGGCCCGAAGGGCCGTCAAGCCCTAATTTAAATTTGCCAGAGACGGGGCTGAGACGGCCCGAAGGGCCGTCAAGCCCTTAATTTAAATTTGCCAGAGACGGGGCTGAGACGGCCCGAAGGGCCGTCAAGCCCCTTAATTTAAATTTGCCAGAGACGGGGCTGAGACGGCCCGAAGGGCCGTCAAGCCCCTTAATTTAAATTTGCCAGAGACGGTCTGAGACGGCCCGAAGGGCCGTCAAGCCCCTTAATTTAAATTTGCCAGAGACGGGGCTGAGACGGCCCGAAGGGCCGTCAAGCCCCTAATTTAAATTTGCCAGAGACGGGGCTGAGACGGCCCGAAGGGCCGTCAAGCCCTTAATTTAAATTTGCCAGAGACGGGGCTGAGACGGCCCGAAGGGCCGTCAAGCCCCTTAATTTAAATTTGCCAGAGACGGGGCTGAGACGGCCCGAAGGGCCGTCAAGCCCCTTAATTTAAATTTGCCAGAGACGGGGCTGAGACGGCCCGACAAGCCCCTTAAATTTAAAAATCATGGAAGGTGGCTGAATCTTAAGGGTCTTCCAGGAAGGCCGGTCTTCCACCAGAAAAAGTCCTCCAGGGGTCATCCAAGAGTCACATGATCAAGATTTTTAAATTATTATCTATTTATAAGTAAAAATCTAATTCATCTTATAGAGTCTAGGTTAGACCTATCTTCCATCAATTGGGTCTTCCACCAGATAAAAGTCCTCCATCAGGCATGGGAAAATACTTGAATGTGCGCGAAATATTCAAACTCCCGGCCCGGGCCTTCTGACTCCGTCGTGATATCTCTCGCCCACGGTAGCCCTATCTTATTTATAGTCAAAGTTCAGGGAGCTATGCAACCTGTGTGCAAAACCTGACTTAGGGCTCTGAAGGAGCTTTAATGAAAAGCCGCGCTTCAGAACCCTTTGTCAGGTTTTCTGCGCAGGTCGCCAAGTCTAGTCCGGAAGAAGTTGAAAATACGCAAAAATATGGTCTTTTGAATCCAAAAAGCCATGTTATTCGTTGCCGCCGGGTTTATAATCTTGACCGTCCCGATCTCAAGGAATTATTTAAAGGTAAGACATGAGACTTTCAGAAATCTGCAAAAACAAGAAAAAAGGGATGAAATAATATTTGTACCACAAGCAAACTTATCAAGCACTCTCCCTCACTCATGGTCAAGTAGTTTTTACATGTCGGTTAGGCCTTGGTTTTGAAAGATAAACGAACAGAAAGAAGATATACAGTAGTTATCCGTTATTTGGCAGTATTTTTCAATTTTCGTCAGCTCTAACTAATCCATTTGAACCTAAGCCTGCCAAGGGAGGGTCACCTTTTTGCTCGCCATGGTTTTTCTGAACCGAAATTTTTCATTTTCAAATCTTGAATTGAAAAAAAAACCGTTTCTATTTTTTAGAAAATTGTCATCTTTCGACTTTCGATTTTTAATCCTTGGATGCGAACAATTAATCCCTGCACCGGAATTCTGTTATCAACATTTTTAATTAAGATAAGCAGCCGTTTCTTCTATTCCCTTCGGAGGATGCCATTTCTTGTGAAAATTTACCGGACAATGCAGCGCTTATCGCAATCGACGGCACATGGAGACAAGCGAGGTAAACAAGCTTTGTTTTGATTTCTAAACCGGTCGGTGTGACCGGCGATGGATTAAAACAAGATATATACAAGAATAACTTGGCCAACTTTACCAACGCTAACAGTACAGTAACAGCATTTGCTCTGTTCTTTTTTTTTGGGGTGCTTTCATCCAATCGGAGGCCGCTTCGCAGTTTTTCATTCAAGATTTCTTAGACCCTGACTCAGGTTCTCTATACAGGTTCCTGAGTCAAGCCCTCAAGAAGGGGCTAGTTAAGACCACCCTCTATTTTAGTACCCTGTTCAAATGATAGGGCTATTGATGATCGATCGCCAATCGCCTAATAAATCGGAAGATTTGACATTTGAACTCTGACAATTAAAATTCAGGAACATGCTCTTCACATCGACTGGTTTGTCCGATCTGCCAAAGTGCCGGATCGACCTTTCAAAGAAGCAATTCAAAAACCAATACATCATCCGCACCCAGCCCGAGGAAGGCTTCGTCTCTACGCTGGAAGCAATCGCCGCCGCCCTCGCCGAATCAGAGGAAAAACTTGTTCAAAATAATAGTCTTATCGCTAACTTGAGCATTCCAAGATAAAACTTACGGGCACTTAGTCAAAAACCCAGCGTTGATATTTCGCCCTTGAATCGGAAAAAAGTCAGCTGCGGCCAGTTTTTATCACGTTTTGATTATGTTGAAAGGATGCTTCTTTGATTGTTAAACGCTAGATTTTCTTCTGAAAGTAGGGGACCATGATTTTATGGTCAGGTGAGATATAAATAAGGTTGTCACTAGGGAAGGAAGGACGTGGGCTCGGCAACCTGTGGAAAAAACCTGATCAGGGTTCTTCTTTCGACCCCTGACTCAGGTTTTTTCCACAGGTGGCCAAGCCCAGGTCTTGCCTTCCCAATAGCGACAACCTCATTTTATTTGAAAGAGCGCTACTCTTCCGACCATAAAATTATGTACCCCTACTTTCAAAAGAAAATCTAGCGTTTAACAATCGAAGAAATATCCTTTCAACAGAATCAAACGTGATAAAAATGGCAGGTCCTTACTTCACTTATTCCCTAGCTCAGGGGAAAACTTTCTAAGCCCCCAAAATTCCAATGGTCTTTTATTTAAAATCGATAATTATTTTATATTTCGAAATAATTATTCAATTCTACGGTCTGCTAGTAGTTCCCCTGTAACAATTATTTTCGAGAAAAACCGAAAGAATTTGAGTGATCTTGTCTCAGAATTCGAAAATTCTTAAAAACATTGACCATGTTTCTAATTGACAAAAGCCATTTTTTCAATTTACCGTAGCCCGTCGTGTTCAACATAGTTTATGAATGTAACATAAAAAATTCGATCAAGTGAAAAAAATTCTTACGAATGAATAAGTAATAAAATAGTGTAATCCATCATTATACGATACGCTCACAGGTAAGAAGAACTTTTGGGAACCAACTCGAAACAGAATTCGTTGCTAGATTCGAGCCCCCAAACAGCTTGTCCAACAAAACAAGTTGTTCGACAAACAGATTAAATGTTAAAAAACAAGAGAATAAACAACAAACAACAAGAAGAAACTTGAATGTTATCGCGCCTAGGTTGAACTGATTAAACCTGCGTAAAAAATCTGTGTCAGGGTCTGGAGCGGCTTCAAATGCTTAAAAATTAATGATTTGTCAGACCCTGACTAAGGTTTTCTACAGTCTGCGGAGCGCAGGGTAAATCGTACTATTTATGGAATAACATAGTGAAAGATAAATTAAGGAAGTTGAAAAATGCAGAATAATTATATCTTGATAAAAATGACATCATTATTTTACTGTCTAAAATTATTGATGATTATATTAACCTGCTTGCGCAGGGGAAGATGAGAAACTGTATGAACCTTTCAACTTTAAATTGGCCCTAAAAATTAATTTTATTATTCAAAAATTTAATGTATTATTAAAAATTAAAAGAAGAATAAAATTAATTTTAAGGCCAATAATAAGGTAAAGCTTCATGCAAGGTCAACATTTTTCCTTACGCAAGCGGGTTAATATAACCATTAATATTTTTAGGCAATAAAATTATGATGTCATTTTTATCAAGATTAATTATTCAGCATTTTTCAACTTCCTTAGTTTATCTTTCAGGATGTTATTTGCATAAATAGTTCAATCCTTATCCCTTTTGATCCGCTTGGGCACATGGCGATTTAGATATATTTATATTTCATTTTATTTTTGAAATTGTGAGTAAGGTTGTTGCTAGCGCCGCTGCGTGCGCTGTGCGCGATTCAATTAGAACACGGCGCACAACAGCACCACTCGAAGCAAGAACTCCTGGCGAAAGGAATTTGGACCGGTGACAGACCAAAGAAAAACAGAAACAAGCTTAACCGAGAGAGACTCTTAATCGAGAGATATCACCAAAGATCGAAGCTAGAAGAGAAGGAAGAAGAGAAAAGGAGAGGGTTCAGAAAAAAGGTCGAGTTTTAGAAATTTCAATTTTAATATAATTTTTTATTTTTCTAGCTTTATTCGAAAGGGACATTTCTTATTTGTTATTTTTTTGGTTTATAAAAGCCCGGAAAAGATGACGTAAGCTGATGAATCAAGTCAAATTGCTTTATAAATTTTTATAATTTATAAATTAAGAAATAATTTTTCTTTATTTGAAATTAAAGCTAAGATATTTTTATTTATTTTGTTGCAAAAAATGATTTTTATGATAAATTTTGATTTATTTTGAATATTTTTTGAATTATAGATCGATTTTTCTTTTTAATTGCTTTTTTAATTAGAATAAAATATATTTTCGCGCATAAATCTACGCTGGTTAGCTCCGCGACTTTTTAAATTTTTGTTGGAGTTCCTACTTACGCTAGCACCCTCAAAAAATACTTCAGGGAATTTTTACTGTACTCTCTGAAAGAATGTCTCCCAGTCAACTACTGGACCGGTCTGTAGCTACTAGCTATTACAGGTCAAAATAAATGCCCACCCATCAATTTCTTAAAACCACAAAAAGGCATGTTTTTACAAAAATAATACCGATTTTTTTTGTGGCCGATTAGTAACTTTATGTCGGTTTTTTTAATTTAGTTTCTCAAAAATACAGCTTCAAAATTCGCTCAAAGTTAAAATATAGCTTTTATTTTTTTATAAACAATCGAAAATTGCAGTGAAGTTTTTTTTGAAATCAGCTTCCTAAAAAAATTCTTTCATAACGGGCCGATGTTTTATTAAAAATAAACTTTTGTGGAAAGGCGCCAAACCTCACGAGTGTCAACTTACAAACTTTTCTTTATACAAAACAGACTAAGAGCTCGAAAGAGGGATTATAAATTATAATAACTAAAGTTTCTCGCCCTTTGATCCTTGAGTTACAAAATGAAGATAGAAAAAAACCGATTATAAAGTTAAAAATTATAAGAAAATTCTAGCATAAAATTATTTCTCAGACCCTGACTCAGGTTTTCTGCACAGGTTGATCAGCCAGATTTAGCCTCTTCATAACAGAAATTCCCAAAATTGACACGTGTCGATGGGTGTTAAAATGGCAGACAACGGAAAATGAGTCTTTTTTATATGTCAGTCTATCCCTCTGCCATTCAAAAAAACTCCTTTGCTTCATGAATTCTCAACATTGCGCGAACCAAGCGCTCGCAAAAGAAAGATAAGGAAACAAGGCCGTTTTAGGGAAGCCAAAGAACTTGTATTTTTTGAGAACTTGACATTTTTGAGAGAATTGATTGGTACAAGGTTTTTAAAAGTTTAATGCAAAAGGCGAATTGCTAATTGAGTAAACAAGGACTCGGTCAATAGTATTGACCCAGTTTTTTAATAAATATTAACTTAATTTTTGCTTTTTTATTTTTTAACATAGGATTCTGAACCCGAAGAAAAGAGAGTAAAAGTGGTCAAAAAGTGACTGTGGAAATCGTGATCAATTTCTGCTTTTGTTTTCGGATAAAACAGAAAATAGGAAAAGGAAGACCGAAACTGATAAACGCTTTTTTAGACTTGATAATTATTGAAATTGGGTTCGTTTGCTAACGCAGCGAATGGTTAAAGCATCTTATACAGGTATGATTTTGTTAGATTTCGATTTTTTTTCGACCAATCAGCGATCGAAAACCCGCCTACGCAAATTTCTTCCTCTCTTATTGGCTAAAATTTGACGAAGTTTCCGTCTTCTCGTTCGTTCATTGGCTCGTAGACAAAATAGATGCGTTTGACTGGCTGAAAATATTCTTGGTAATAATCGATCATTTTAAGTCGGATGAAATGAGCTAAAATCGGCGATGACAAAATGTTCCGTCCACCTTCTTCTAGCAGCTTCAGTTTCTAGTCAGACAACCACAACGACTGAAGCCCCGTTTCCGAATGATAGCCCCCCGCTCGTTTACTGCCCATGCTAGTAAGTATCGAAAAATCCAATTCGGCTTGAACGTATAATAAATAATAAGCGTACACTCAAATTTAGGGCTGATCCTAAGAGGCCTGAACAGAAGTTCGAATAAATAATAAATTTGAGAACGAGCATGTTCCTCCTTTTTTCCCACGGGCGGCTTGGCCCGAGGCGAGAGAGCGCGTTCCTATCGTTTCACCAATTCTGACAGGTGTCGATTCAAGCGCACTTGATATCGAGCACCCGCGAATTTAAGTGTTTCCAGCCCATTTACGCGTAAATTTTAATCGCCCATTACCAAATCGAAAATCAGTTCAAATAACCGTCCGCTCTCATTATTTTTCTGAATTATTTAGAAGCTTCAATTTCTTATCTCAAAAGAAATTCAATAAAAATTTCAGCCACACGGAAACTTGCACCGGCAGAAATGGCGACATCGTCCCCTGCGACGATTCGGGCAAGGATGCCATGTCAAAGTGCACCGACGAAAGAAGCATTATCAGTATGGGACATGATTTCGTAGAAAAAGACGGCTCCATCGTTGAAGGTCTTACTGCTCTGGACTTGGTTAATGGTCGTCACTGTCAAGTTACAGTCGGCTACTTGACTTACTGGGAGGGGCACCAAATACAGGCTCGGGTGGGCAAAAACTGGGAATGCTGCCGTTCTAGTTACTGAATCTAGGTTCAGTATCCCCTGTCGAAAACCTGATTCAGGGACCCCTGAAAGATTTATCATGGAAATTTGAGATCTGTTCCCACCCTAAATTAAGCCAGGACAAGGCAATGAAGGAAATGGCCGGACAAAGGATTCATGGAGAAGTCGCTTTTCAAAGTACATTTTACCGAGTTTGGAATTCGAAAGCCACGGATCTTGGAGCTCAGATCGCTGCGAAAACAACGCGGAATTAACTGCAATTCCGAAAAATATAACAGACACGCTCTTCCCTCCCAAAAGGGAGTACAACTCCGACCCCAAGTACAACAGGCCGAGGAATTACAAGTACTGCTTGCCGACTGAGATTCAGTACAATAAAATGAAGCAAGAGGTTGGAAATGTCACGGATCCAATCATTCCTCAGTGGTACCTGGATATCTTCAACGTTTCTACGGGACGGTTACAGATTTAGGCGAAATTGGAGTTGCCTTTAAAAATTTCAAATTCCAAAGTTAAAAATTCTGCCTTTACAAGAGATTAAGTCTGTTAACCTCGCCAAAAGTCGCCTGAATTTCAGAAAATTTTCGACGATCAAATCAACCGCGAAATAGCAAGCCGCAAATACCCTTTCTACAAGCGGCGAAACTTCTGGATCATCACGGGTTGTCTTGGCTTGTTCTTTTGTAAGTAAATTTCGTAGCTAAGCTTTTTGGGGAGAGGAAGCATAATGTTCTAAAAACGAGCTAATGTGGTTAACCTTCGTGGGTGGAGCCGCGCAAAAAGGTGTAATTTTCATATTTTGTAAAGAACCTCACATCAAAATAATAAGCTCGTCGAAGAATTCGAATATTCTAGTTCGAGAATTCTGAACAGTAATTAATCTGGTCATTGAAGAATAAGCTGAATAGAAATTTTTATTGAACTCGACCTTTCAAGCTTTGTCTGACCCTGAGGTAGTAGGGGGTTATCATTCGCGCTGCTCCTAACCCTAAACCTAACCCAGGGGCCTACGCCCCTCCGGGACCCCCCACCTAAGGACTAAGCCTTTGTAGTTTTTCAGCTGGTTTTTATCTGAATTATATTTAATCATCCGCACTTGTTACTTCTCTTATCTTCTCGATAAAGCTAAAATTCTTTCCGGGTAGAAGTGAAGTTCAAGTGAGTATCAAGATCAAGATAATCGCATAATTCCTCTAATGCTTGTTGTCTCAACCAGAGTTGGTAAAAAAGTATACTTCCCCTCGCCCTTCAAAAATCTGCAGGGCGCCCTTCATTCTTGAAGGGCGGTGAAGTGTACTTCACGCGCCCTTCAAAGCCCTGAAGTATACTTCAGCTATCGGTTCATCTGCCACAATTAGCGTGATTTAAATCATGGGGCCTGAGAGCCAATAAGCGCAAAATTTGAAAAAATTCTGGCGGATGGATTCTGATGGCCGACAGAATCAAGTTGAAGTAGAGTGAAGGGCGGAAGGGCGGTTGAAGTAGAGGGAAGGGCGGAAGTACACTTCACGCCCTTCAACGCCCTGCAACGCCCTGAAGTATACTTCATGAAGTATACTTCATTCTGAAGGGCGAGTGAAGTATACTTTTTTACCAACTCTGGTCTCAACGGTAAAAGTCCTTGGCCGTCGAGGGTTTACCCACTACACCGTCCGGAACTAATATTCTAATTTCTACTAGAAACTTATGACATGAAAGTTTGACAATTGATGAAATATCAAAATGAAATATGTGGCTTTGAAATATGTGGCTTATAAAAGAAGGTAGGCTTTGCTAGAGTTTGATAAAGATTATTTATGGTACTCTTTTCGAAGCCGCACTGCGGCTTCTTTATTCAAAAAGCCGCTCTGCAGCTCTCAACTCAAGGATAACTCAAGTTTTATGCACAGGTTACTGAGTTCAGCGGAGAAAATGAAACGTCATTTTATTCGATTTCAAATAGCAAGATTATAATAAGGCACCACTTGTTAGATCTAGCATGTTATCGAAGAGCAAGTGCTCAAAAACAAGTCAATTATCCTTATCAAAGGATCTCCTTTTGTGCTTATGACAAAATGATAAACTCTTCGAGAACTTCAGATAATTTTTGGACTTAGCTGGGAAGAGCCACCTCAAGATTTTAATTATATTTATGAATATTCATCCCAAGAGTTGAACAATCTCCAGCTGAGGAGCTTATGGCCCCGTGTTTTGCGCGTAGATAAGTTGCATTCTATTGCAAAATTATTGCGCTGACAATATGTTGTTTTCATGGCTTAAAATATATTCTGTATTTTTAAGTTTCCAACTTCTTTTGTCCCCCTTTTTCAACATCGATTTTCATTTTTAAAAACTTGTCTTAGTAATCTGAACTGCGGCGAAACAAGGTTATTAGTAGTACCTTATAATATTAATAATATTATATTATCGAACACTTATTTCATATGTAGTAGGCCCTTGTTTAATCTTTTAAGACTTTGTGTTGGGATAAAAAATAGAACGCATGTTCAAACCGAAGAATAAAATTAATGTATTAATCCATCCTTCTTCTGTTTTTCTCTTTGCTCTTTCCAGCATAACATGACCAGCAGTTATTTAAAATGCGGTCTGCTGAGAACATTCTTCTTCTTTTCCCCAAGTTCACCCTGAAGTTCTGTATAACTACAGCCGGCAACTTTTGCAGAAAACCTGAGTCAGGATCTGAAAGAGCCGCGGCTTTTCATTTAATTTCTTTCGGGCCTGACTCAGGTTTTCTGCACAAGTTGCCGGCTGTAGTTATACAGAAGTTCAGCGTGAACTTGGGGAAGTTTTTCATAGATTGCTGAACACAGTCCTAGGCGCAGCAAGCTGAATGAAAAACCTGAGTCAGGGTTTCGGAAGGGAATTGGTAGGTTCTGACTCAGGTTTTTTACTCAGGTTGCCGAGCCCAGGCCCAGTCTGTACAACTACGCTTCTAGTTTGGAAGGAAGACCCATTTCTGGGCAAGGTAGCCTGAGGTGAAATCTGACTCAGGGTTCTCAAAAAAAGTTTTAATAAAAAAATCCTTTTTTAACCATTCCCTTCAGTAACGATTCACCTGATCATCAAGCAGATCCGCAAGATCGTCGCCTTCGTGCGCACCGATTTAATCATGAACATCGAGCAGCCTGAATTGGTGGAGTACTCGACCCGACCGGAGAACATCTTGGGCGAGGGAGGATGCGGTCGCGTCTATGCCGGCCGCTTCCGAGGAAATAATGTGGCAATTAAAGTCATAGGAATGGGTCGAAAAACGATGTAACCTTAAAAATTGAGAAATATATAGAGAAGATGAAGTCTTGGGGATAATCTTTTAAGAAGCAGACTTTGAAATCGAATACGAAAGCAACTTTCAGACTTGAAAGCGGGACTAGTCCTAGAAAAGAACATAAAGATCAGATTTCAGAAAGCTCAAAAAAACTTTACTTAGATAAAAACTTATTAATTTTATTCCGAGAGAATTATTCTTTTGAATTATATTAATAATTTTTGATCCAAAGTTGAAGATATTTACAGTGACTCGCGAAAAGCTGAGCGCTTGAAGATGGAATGTCTCATTCTTCATACTCTCAAGTAAGTTACATTTTGAATGAGGAAGCACACTTTGTTCGAGTTTCGCTTGATTAAATCAAGTTGATTCAGGAAAAAGCATTCCTCAAAACATCCTTTACAAAACTTGATCTTTGCCGGTCGTTAGGTTTAATGTGCTTGTTTTTAAAACAAGCTCGTGTTTTTCAAGTTCCATGTAAAAGTTCTCTTTACCAAAGTTTATTTTTTCATTTCCGGTCAGAATTGGCTTTGTAAGTTCTTTTTCTCTACTAAAATGGATAATTTCAGTCAGCACAGAAACGAGTTTATTTTGCAAATCTACTCTCCGAACGTAGAAGTCGTGGCGACGGCGGATAGACTCGAAGAGATTGTACTCACAAAGTACGGCTGGGATAATAACAAGCGAAATCTTGACGATTTGCTGATGGAAGTTCGGAACAGGTCGATGTTGAAGCCGGACGACCCGGCGTATTGGAACGAAGAGCAAGTCATCCAAATCGTCTGGCACGTAGGCACGGTTCCTTATTCAAAAGAATTTTTATTAATAAAATTTTATTGATAAAAATTCTCGAATTTTCGCTTCAAGATTTTCTGGGAGAAGGCATGCATCGACAAAATGCAACAATTTTAAGCAAAATTTTGGACAAATCTGATGTCAACAGTCGGCCAAAGGCCAATCAAATTTCTGAGAGAAATTGTCGTTAAATTTGATTGGGCTTTTGGTCGAATGCTCACATCTGATTGGTCCAAAATTTTGCTCAAAATTGTCGCATTTTTTTCGATTTCGAGCCAGCGACGGATTTTCTTTGTGTTTTTTGATAAAAATGAAAATCTCTTTTTGGAATCAAAAAACAGTTAGCTCACTTATTCAAGGACTTCGCCAAATTCACTTCCCGCCAAAGTGGCCCACCGATGCCCCTGAATTTATAAAATATGTCGAGTGTGTTGTCCACAGAGACATAAAAATAAAAATATCGGCGTCCGTAAAACACCAGATGGAACTGTAAGTAAAAATATGACGTAAATTGGCTCTTTTCTGTTTCGTTATTTTGTTCCCTTTTTCGTTTTCGTTATTACAGTCTTTATTATGGCCAAAATTGAGGCGTAAGATGATTTCAAAAACTTTTTTCTTGTGGGCCGGAAATCGTAAAAAAAAAAATGCAAGTGCAGTTTTCTTCAGCTCGTCAAGACGAGTCGAATGATGGGTCTAACTCCTGATAACTCTAAGGATTTACCGGTTTACCGGCTGGTTACCGGAAAATACGTTGTCTCCGGCCGTTTTCGTTCTAGAAGTGATAGACTTATGTTTGACACCGGAAATTGTTTCTTATAGTCAGTTCTCCTGCAGCCTAAAAGATGAAGGTTGTATCAATTCTCTGAAGAGAGTTATCACTAAAATACTATTTTTGGCGAAAATGGGACTAGAAATTAGGAACGTGCAGCAACAACAAAATTTTAGTAAAAATTACTGTTTTTAGTGATAACTCTCTTCAGAGAATTGATACGACCTTCATCTTTTAGGCTGCAGGAGAACTGACTATAAGAAACAATTTCCGGTGTCAAACATTAGTCTATCACTTCTAGAACAAAAACGGCCGGTGACAACGTATTTTCCGGTAACCAACCGGTACACCGGTCAATCCTTAGAATTATCAGGAGTTAGACACATCATTCGACTCGTCTTGACGAGCTGAAGAAAACTGCACTTGCAGTTTTTTTACGATTTCCGGCCGCACAAAAAGTTTTTTGAAATCATCTAATTTCTTGTCTCATCATCTCTACCCCTCTAATAAACTAATTACAGTACTGCTCCGTCATTGCCGATTTCGGACTCTCGTCAATCTGCATCAACGATATGGGCCGCGATTATTTGCGAAAAAAGCAGCAAAGTTGCTTCCCCATCGGAAATATCAAGTCCGTCGCCAAGCAGGTTACTCAGCACATTGAGTGGCTAAAGTACTTCTCCAAAAATAATCAGTGGAACAACAAGGCGCTAGAATTTATTCAAAAAGAAGAACAGGTAATTTCAGTGAAACAGGGCTTGGCAACATGTGTAGAAGCTCTGAGTCTGGGTTTGAAAGCGTAACGGCTTTTCATTAGAGATCTTTCACACCCTGACTCAGATCTTCTACACAGATTGACGAGCTCAGCAGTGTGGAACCCCCGAAATTTACAATAATTCTAGCGTCAAACTTCTTACTTCACCCGCCACATCGCCCCAGGCACAAATCGCTGGCGCGCGCCCGAAATCGTCTACTCATCAAAAGATTACTACTTCAAGCTCTCGAACGAGTATCACTGTAAATTGGGATGTCTGGACAAATCCGACAGCGAAGGTAATCCCCTTATGCACGATAAGAACCTGTCAAGTTTGCTCTCTTCCTCCTTGTTTTCACTAAAAATGGAAACAGCGGAAACGCGTCAATAATTTTTGTGTTTTCAGCTGGAAGGCTTATCGTAAAGGATGTTTGTGGCAAATGCACAAAGGAGATCTTCCGCTTTTACAGAATGAACGACATTTACGGGGTCGGACTGGTCATTCTCAGCATTCTCAAAACAGGTACTCATGCTTGTTGAAATGATTGATGTTCAATTGATGAATTCTAGTGACGGAGAAAGAGATTTTTGCGAACTTGGACTACAACACTTCGGAAATCAAAAGCTTCATGGAGAATCCAGAAGAAGTTGGCACGAGCCGCGAGCCAAGGTAAATTTCTAGCGAATTCTTGAGCCTCTATTGACAATCTTAGCCAATAAGAAGCTTGTATTTCTCGTTTCGACGTATCGGGCTTTTACTTTTGCTCTTGCCCAATCAGATGCAACTATTTTCCATCTTGGCCAAGGAGAGGCTTGCTTATTTCAGCCAATAAGAAGCCATATCTTGCCATCTAAGCCAATTAAAAACTGTTTTTTCTAGTTTCATCACATCAGAATATTCCCGGGACGAATTCGATAAGTTCCTTCCGGAGAAGATTTTGGAGCACATCCAGCGACAGTCAATCAGAAGCCGACTCGACTACGAACCTCATTTGCGCTGCATCCGCAACATTGCTGAGGTCAGTGTCAAAATCCTCGAAAGAATGTTCATCCTTATCCGATTCGCATTTTTAGCAATGCTTGCGGCCCAACCCATATGACCGCCCAGAAATAACCGAAGTCTGCGACGAACTGGCCGCTTTTGAAGCAACCAGAAGACCCGGCAATTCCACTCACTGGTCTCCAAATACCAGGTTTGTATTTACTACTGGGCTCGGCAACATGTGTTGAAAACCTGAGTCAGGGTGTGAAAGGGGCGGGTCGACGAGAATCGGAATTTTTAAACCAATTTTCCCGAAAAACCCGATTCTGTAAACATATTTTGACTTATCAGGTGAGAACAGAAGGGTATTTAGAAGACAGCGGCAACGAGTTTCACGAGTTTTTGCAGGAATTTCGTGCACTTCATTACCAAATGTGGCATAAAAAAATAGCGAAAAAATCGCTAAATTGCCAAAATTGCGATTTGGGGTCCACTTTGAGACGAGATTACGCCCATTTTTTCTGGATAAAATTTTTCTAGTTTTCGCCGCAGTATTTTTCAAACCCTTTCCTACTCACCTGACCAATCAGAATTTTTCATTCAAAGCTAGTTTTTCCGGAATTTTGGTTGAAAAATCCCGATTCTCGTCGACCTCCCTTAATGAAAAGTCGCTATAGCGGTTTTTTTTAACGAAGCCGCGAAAAATGGTTGTCTTTAAAATCCTGTCTCAGGTTTTCCATGAATGCTAATGAGAATTTTCAGCTCGTTCAAAAATGATAATCACTCGCCTCCAACAGCCACAACGGTGCTTACAAAATGAAAGAAAAAGCAAACTTTTTCAAAAAATTCTTCATTGACTGTCTTTCCTGTTCAACTTTCTCAATACGGCAACCCCAGCTTCTACTCCCTTCTCCGTGTGCATTCAATCCTTAGAAATCTTGTTCAAAAACTGCTGTTTCCGAAAAGAAATAAAAAATTTATTCCTGGCGCAATTTTTTTCTATTTCCAGAAATTTCCAAAAATTGAAAGTGAAAATTTCCTGTTTTGAAAGTCGATTTCGTGGGAAGTGATTTGAAAGAGACGAAATTTAGGAAATTAAGGAAAGGGCACTTGTGGGCTTAGGTTGAGCCCTTGATTCACCGGAAAATTTCAGAGCCCCGTGCCGCAAGCTTTATAAAAGCTAATCGCATAATGGCATGCTGCTCATAAAATTATTGACTTTTTAAATCCCACAAAAAAAGGAAATTCAAGTTTGTCTTTCAAATTTTGGATTTAAACTTCTAAAAGATATTTCTGTGAAAAATTTAATGTTTGAGATTTCGAATTTTTAAGAACCAATAAGATACCTGTATCTGGCCACCCGGCCAATCAGAATCCTGATTGTCTTCCTCCTTTTTTGGTCAGTAGATCTCTAGCGCTAACAAATTGCTCTTCGATTCTCATTGGTCAATTATCTTTTCTTAACCATAACCCCGTGAAACTTACCAATTCTTCACAATACTCGATTCCGAAAAATAAATCCGTTACCATTTACCATTGAAAAACAACCTAAAAAGCAACCTCTTCTGTCAAAAACTGAATCTACTTCAGAAGAATCTCCAAAAATTCTCCATTTCTTCTTTCGCCGAACTGTGTTCCCGATTGTTCATAAACCAAAAACCTGCTCCCTTTGCTGTTCTTAAAAGCAATATGAAATATATATGTCTAATTTTCAAATCTTTTCTTTCTTATCTTTTTCTTTTAGAGGACCCTAGAAAAGCTTCTTAGGTGACTGAAGGGATTTCTAAATTTACAGAAGCTCAAGACGGGAATTTTTGAGGTAGGTTTCGTAAATACTAAATTCAAATTCGAATGTAAAATTAAGGGTATCACTATCTATTTTTTAAACAAAAAAATCGGCTTAAAAATCGCGATTGAAGTCCTTCATCTTTTTTTTATTATTTTTTACTTCAATTTTTTGATGGATAATCTTAATTATGACTTTTCGCAGATAAACTTATTTGATTCTGTTACAATAATTAGCAGCATGATTTCTTGGGGCAGCAGTCGCACTTGCACCCTTTGGTGGAGCATTTGGCGCACTTGCACGGGTCGCAGCCAGGTGGGCAATCAGCGCAGCCTGCATTTTTTGGTTAATTTTTCAAATTATTAAAAAAAAATATTACCACTGCAGATTTTCTTGCAGCTGGCCATTTCGCACTTGCACGGGTTGCAACCGGGCGGGCAGTTTTGCAGCCAGCGCAGGAAACTGAAAGTTATTTTTAACAGGGCTTGGTAGCCTATGTCACATAGGCTATGTGAAAACCTGAGTCAGGGCCTAAAAAACGGCTTCTCGAATTTATCTTTCCATTTAATTTCAAAATTCTGGCGAAGCCGCTCTGCGGCTTCGTTTAGAAAAAGCCGCTAAAGAAATTTAGTTGAAAAATTTTTGAACTCTTCTTACCTTCACAGCAGGGCTGTTTCGGGCAGCAGCTGCACTTGCATCCCTTTTTCGAGCATTTCTGGCACTGGCACGGATCACAGCCATTTTCCCCTTTGGGACAGGTTTTGCACTCTTTGCAGATTTTCTTGCACTTGTCCATTTCGCACTTGCACGGGTTGCACCCCGGTGGGCAGTTTTTGCAACCCTCGCAAGAAGTCTCGCAGCAGGGTTGTTCACAGCAATCACAGGTGCAGCCATTCTTGGCGCATTTCTCGCAGCCGCAGGGGTCACATCCGGGTGGACAGTTTTTGCAATTGTTGCAGATCTTGGTGCAGGCGTCAGTCAAGCATTTGCATGGAACGCAGCCTGAATTGGGAAGGTCATTTTCGGATATTTTAACTGATAAATTCATTTTTCTTCCTGCGAGGAAAACCTGAATCAGGGTAAGGCTTATCGGATTCGCTAGAATTGCCGTCTATTTTCAAATTCTAGCGAAGCCGCTCTGCGGCTTTTTTATAAAAGCCGCCACAGCTTTTTGTTAAAGCTCTTTAAAACCCTGACTCAGGTTTTCTACTCTGGTACATAGAATGCCGAGAAGACGCGCCGCCTTTTCCAAGAGGCCCTCTTCTTAGCTCAAAAGCCGCAAGCGGCTTTCTCGCCTAGTGTTATTTTCCAACCTGGTGGGCAATCTTTGCATCCATCGCACTTGGCTGGGCAGCAGTTGTTTCGTTGTTTTTGAACTTCCATTTTTGAAACTTTTGTTTTGTAGTGTATTTTTTTTTTAATTGTGAGAAAGAAAATCTGGGCGTTGACTTTATACGATAAGTGTTTGTATTCTATTATTTGCGTAGAACAAGGTCTGAAACGTCACGAGCGCCAGCTTGGGAAAACTCAAACATTCTATGCAAACGAAAGAAAAATGCTTCGCGAGTTCAGAACGGGTCGCAAATGCTTAACTTCTCAATACACGGGCGCGCGACTAAGCGCTCAAAACACGGGGTCCAATTATTGGACCACAATGCATTATCCAGCCCCGCGCGGCGCGCCAAATTCAGAGTGTGAAAAACAGCGCTCAGGACTTTTGGCTCTAATTGACGTTTCCGTCGGGTAAAAAAGCTCGTAGATGTATTGCTAGAAAGCTTGAACCCTCTTCTATAAAAATAAACCATTGTAAATCGAAAAATCCGTTCCGATTTTTCACCAGAGAGCGAAAGAGAAATCTGGCGCAAAACGCCACACCTTTTGAGTTTTCCTTCGAAACTTCACAGAGTGGTTCGTTTTCGTCCTATCAGCTCACATTACAAAATTCAGGTCAAACAGATAACTACAACGGGAATTACAGGCGGTCAAAGTCGCCGTGGTCCAATCATTGGACCACGTGCATTGAGAAGTTAACTGATAAGCGGTGTATTTTTTTATCGCCATGTTCATGTGCATATGAACCATTTATCTATTGTGTGATAAGCGGTAATGGGATTGTTTTTAATTTTCAAATTGACCTTGGCAGGAGCTTTTTTTAATCAGAAGTATTATCAAATTATCCAGGAAAGAGTTTCGCTGATAAGAGGTGTTCAACAAAGTTTCGCAAGAGTGTAATAGATAAAGTATTTAGGAAGTAAAGGATGATGTTATCCTTTTTACTGGGCTCGGCAACAGGTGTTGAAAACCTGAGTCAGGGTCTGAAGGACCAAAAATGAAGCGGCTTCACATTGGAGATCTTTCAGACTCTAACTAAGGTTTTCAACACAGGTTACTGAGCCCAGCCCTCCTTATTTAATCTTCTTCATTAAATCAATCATTCAGGCGATGATAGAAGGAGTCCTGGACGCAGATTTCTCCGTGAAGCATCACTGGAATCTTTCGCAAAAGCTCTTGGAGCTCGACTCTAACAACAAACTCCACCAGATCATCTCCAAAACCCTCATCGCGGATATCGATCATCTTGCCGAATTCCAAAAAGCCGAGGTTAGAATCCCCGATTCTCAGAAATTACTCATCAAAAGTAGAATGACTCGTTTCTGATGAATCATGCTACTTCTTTTTAACTCGCCTACGCGTTTTTGTCTCGAAAAACCATGAATTTTAGGCTCGATTCTGTGAAAATTGCTTCTCACGCTGCGAAAATCACGAAAATGCGTTGAAAATTCGCACGATTTCGAAGAGAAAAGGCCGTGCCAAACGATTTACAAAAGAGCGAAAACTTGTGACTGTTCAAAACTGCTCAGATTGTCATTTTTCTAGAACTTCGAAGCTCGAAAACCGGCTCAATAAGAATTTAGTCAATGCAGCAGCAGAAATTTCAACTGAGAAAATAGAGATCAAGAAAAAAGACAGTAATTCAGGAAAAATTGCGAAAAACCAAAAATCTAAAGCTGTCGAGAAAAAGCTAAATAGCATGAAAGCAAAGGCAAAAAATAAGAATAAGCCGAATCCTCAAAGCAAGCAAAAGAACAAGCCTCCAAAAAACTCGCTTGCGGGGTTCTTGAAAAAATTCTAGAGCAATTTTTCTGCAAAATAAACTGTTTATTCCTGTAAATAATTCTTGATCATTATAAATTTTTCTGTAGAGTAGCGGGACAGTGTTTTTGATACAAATAGTCTCTATTTGTCACCTTTTTCAAGCACAGCTGCTCGCTGGGTACGGAAACCTGCTTAGAATACCTGAGTCAGGGTCTGGATTATCAAGAGTGGAAAGTTCCAATCTTTTTCTCAATTCTGCCAAGGCCGATTCGCGGCTACGTTTTCAAAAAAGCCTCTGAGCCGCTCTTCCTTGAAGATCTTTCAGAACCCTGACTCAGGTTTATGGGCCGAGGCCGCTCGAAGCTTCCTCCCCTAGTTTTTTTTTCTCCACTAATTTTCCTTCTCTATTTCCTCTCTCACACCTTATCCCTCAGCCAATTATCAAGCCAACTTTGCCACTTTACGAAAAAGTATTGTTTCAGAAAGTAAAAAGAAAAGAAATGTCTGGTATCGCTACATCTCGACTTTCGGAAGAGCGAAAGGCCTGGAGAAAAAACAAGCCGTATGGATTCGTCGCCCGACCAACAAAAAATACCGTAACCAGACTAATCTTTCGGCAGCAAATTAACCCTGCTCGTATTCTAGGACGGAACGATGAACTTGATGAATTGGGAGTGCGCGATTCCTGGCAAGAAAGGAACCCTTTGGGAGGGAGGCCTCTACAAGATCAGAATGATTTTCAAAGACGATTATCCCAGCTCTCCAGTAAGCACTTCTCTTCCCACCCTTTTCTCATCCCCTTTCTTCTAGCCTAAATGTAAATTTGAACCACCGCTGTTTCATCCAAACGTCTATCCCTCCGGCACGGTTTGCCTCTCCATCCTTGACGAAGAAAAGGACTGGCGCCCAGCAATCACAATCAAACAGGTTTGTTTCCTTTGCCAATATTCTTGAATTAAAAAATATTTTGCAGGTTCTTTTGGGAATCCAAGATCTGCTGACGGAGCCGAATGTTAATGACCCTGCACAAGCTGATGCCTACACTTCATATACTACCAATAAGTTAGTTTCAAGCCGATAAGATAAAGTGGTCACTTCGCCAAATCTTACAGGAAGGGGGCGAATTGGGCTCGCCAGCATGTATGGAAAACCTGAGTCAGGGTCGTTTTCGTTTCAGTCCGGTTTTGATTCAAGACCTTTTGACCCTGACTCAGGTTTTCTGTGCAGGTTGCCGTTCTTACACGGCACAAACTTCTTCACTCGAAGTGTTAGCATAATGACACCCTTATTTTCCGGCTTCTAAGTGACTCCAAAAGATTTTCGAAGTTCGAGCATCATTCCGTCGAGCTGAAAATAAGGCTGTCATCATCCTAATCCGCTTTTCAGGGTCGAATACGAGCGCCGAGTCCGCGAGCAAGCAGCGCAATTCCGCAACCAGTGAAGAAGAAGAAAGTCAGTTTCCGCTTTTCTTTCTCTTTTTTTTTATTAGGGAATTCTGTTCGTTCTTTAGTCAATTTTTTTCTTTTCAGTCCCATTTATCTCTTTCCTCAAAGTTATCAAAAACCAAAATTCTAAAAAATTCTTAAAAACTATTTCTGAAACTTAACCAAAAAGCCACATGTAAAAATAACATTTGGGATCTCTTATTGATAAATTTTTTTCGAATCATAAAAAAGCGAATTCGCGATTTTGCTTGAATCTAGTTAAAATCTACTGCCATTGCTATTAATTGTAATATTTCCATTTGTTTGCAATTCCTCCCCTTTTTGCAATTACAGTAATTACGGAAATAAATGCGAGAATATTTTTACTTGTTTTTCGCTGTTTTCAAATCGATTGTGATCTAACCGATTTTCGCTCCAGGAAATCTCCAAATCTCAAAACCGCGAATTCGAAAAGAGCAAAATAAAAATTTCAGACTTCGGTGTGTGATAAACGACAAACTTGCTTAAAAAAGCTTTTGCTAAAGAGGCCACAGTTCTTCTTAGGCGGACTGGGCTCATTTTCAAACAAAACAACAAACAGCAGCAATTAACAACAACTCTTCTTGTAGAGAAAGAGACGATTTCTAGCGAGAGACTCTTCTTCGACGCTTCTTTCTGACGACGATGGCCGCAAATGTTCAAAACCCTCAGCAGGCTGATGGTGACTGGAAGAACAAGCTCAAGCTTCCTCCAAAGGTACTGCTTCTTTTTTTGAGTCTCAGAGACTTGAGGACTTGAAAACGAGTTCCTTGACCTCTCTCCTTCTGAAAAGTGAACTTGTGGAGCGCCATTACAGTAAATAAGTGCTGTAACAGTATTTACTCAACACAAACTGTAGCTGAAAGAAGCTACAGTAACCCTAGAAGCCTCTCCTTGCCCTAAAACTACCATTCTCTAGGACAACCGTGTGAAAACGTCCGATGTGACGAACACGAAAGGGCTGAGTTTCGAAGAGTTCTGCCTCAAGAGGAATGTTCTCATGGGGATCTACGAGAAGGGTTGGGAAAACCCGTCGCCGATTCAGGAAGCGTCGATTCCCGTTGCTCTCTCTGGACGCGACATCCTCGCTAGGGCCAAAAACGGAACCGGCAAATCTGGCGCCTATCTTATTCCTCTCATCGAAAGGTACCAAAAATGGTGATCCACCACGACTACTTCTTTCTCTTCAGAGTGGACCCTAACAGCGACAAAGTACAAGCATTGGTGCTCGTCCCAACTCGAGAACTGGCCCTCCAAACTTCTCAAATCTGCATCGAAATGGGCCGCCACTGCGGCATCAAGGTCCTGGCCACCACTGGCGGTACCGACTTGCGCGATGACATTCTCCGATTGGACAAGACCGTCCACGTCATCGTCGCCACGCCCGGCCGAATCCTCGATCTCATTACTAAAGACATTGCCAAGGTCGACGCTTGCAACATGGTCAGTCCCTTTTTCATTCCTTTCTTTTAAACTAACGTGATTTCTAGCTGGTTCTTGACGAAGCCGACAAGCTTCTGTCCGACTTTTCAAGCGCGTTGTCGACTCTATCGTTCGAAAACTTCCCGTCTCTCGTCAGATCCTCCTCTACTCTGCTACTTTCCCTCAATCCGTCATGGTAAGAACTCCTCGCCCAAAGTGAAGTCTTATGTTAAAATTTAGGTCTTCATGAAAGAGCACATGAAAAATCCTCACGAAATCAATCTCATGGAAGAGTTGACCCTTAAGGGTGTCACTCAGTACTACGCTTTTGTCGCCGAAAAGCAGAAGGTACGCACGAGAATACATATTTAGTGCTCATGTCATTTTCAGGTCCACTGCTTGAACACGCTCTTTTCAAAGTTGCAGATCAACCAGTCAATTATCTTCTGCAACTCGACCCAGGTAAACGCCAAAACGCGTCAATTAGAAAACCAATCGATTTTTTAAATTAAGCGAGTGGAACTTCTCGCCAAGAAAATCACCGACCTGGGCTACTCGTGTTTCTACATTCACGCGCGAATGAACCAGGAGCATCGAAACCGTGTCTTCCATGATTTCAGAAAGGGACTTTGCCGAAACCTCGTCTGCTCCGATTTGTTCACTCGCGGTATTGATATTCAGGTAGGCATTGCTGGCCCCTAGCTCTGAGTACCGCGTTTCATTACCGAAAAAATCGTTTAGGCGGTGAACGTAGTCATCAACTTCGACTTCCCGCGAATGGCTGAAACGTACCTCCATCGTATTGGTCGATCAGGACGTTACGGTCACCTCGGTCTGGCGATCAATCTCATCACCTACGACGATCGCTACAACCTCAAGCGCATCGAGGAGCAGCTCACGACCGATATCAAGCCAATTCCCCAGGTAATCGCTTTTAAAAGCCAATTGACCTAAAAATCGCGCTCTTTCCAGACGATCGACAAGGCTCTGTACGTCGCCGAGTTCCACCAAGCCGACGGTGGCAAGGACGAAAAGGATCAATAAGGGTCTCTCCTTCTTGATTGAAAATTGCATTTTCCAATCAATGGACTTTTGCAAAAAGCGCCCAACTTTTTCTTTCATTAATTAATTCATCTCTCTACTACTTTTGTTTCGCCCAAATCCCAGCTTTAATTTTAACGAAAAAGAACTCTGCGTTTAAATTTTCAATAACGGTCATTTCAACAAAACCAATACGAACAGATTCAATAAATAACAATTCAATAGTCAAAAAGTCGCAAAGACCGCGGTGTCTACCAGACAGCGGCTTTTCAATAAAATGATTCAAATCGCCGATAAGTTAAACTTTTCCCATATTTCTTTCTCCTAATAATTACATTTCGAAGTACTATTTTTTATTTTATTTCCACTTGGTGACCCAACTTTTACCTACTCGCATTTTGCAAACGTCCCTTCTCAAGATCGACGACCAGAAATCAATTTCGAAAAACCGGAAGATGGTTTCTAGTTGTCATTCTTTCAAAGGGTCGCTGCATATTTTTCTGATTTTTACTATTTTACTAAAAACAAGTTCAACCAAACTGTCTTCAAGTGGAAACCACGTGTTGTGTCGATCCCGCGTTTCAAGTTCATATCCGCGAAAGTTCAGATTTACAATCATCAGAACAACTTTTCTTTTAAAAGAACATTTCTTACAAGTAAAAACGATCTTCTTCGTTAACAAAAACTCTTCTCGGCCTGTGTGGTCATTCAGCCGGTGAAAAGATCTAACCAACTAGGTCCGTTTGTACCTAGAATTGCTGCCCTGCCCACAGCGCCCCTAAAACAACCAAGCTTACTTCTGAGGTCATTCTGGGGTCACTCTTGTTTCGGAGGTCACCCCGGCTCGACCTCAAGTCTTTTTCTTCTTTCGTTACTTTTCAAAAAGTAATGAGCAATTTTCAATCTCCGAAACAACCAAAAACAAACCAATTTAGGGCTATTTTTTCTTCGATTCCGAAAACTGCCTGCCTGATAAGAATAAAAAAAGATAAATTATTGAAAATTAAATTGATAAAGAATAATAAAAAGATTTTTCGGAAAATCGTGGATTTTCGGGAAAATCGCTCTTCCTTGATTTCACCTGAAAATCCTTGCTATTATATAAAATTTCGTAGATTAGGAAAATTTCAAATTACTCCTCAAATTCTTAATTTCTAGCGTCAAAGCTCTTTTCTTTGGCTAGTCAAATTTCCTCCCTCGTTAAAGTCTGTATGCAAACCAATCAGTTGCCCTGCTCTTTATTAATAATTTAATATTAATATTCTAAGTTAATAATTATTAATACCAGCGGCTGATTCTTACTGTCCTACTGCGTGTGTGTATACGAGCTTTACCCTGCCTACTGTCTACATCCCAGTATTCCTCAAAATTTTACATCCCAGATATAAAAATACAATTCGAATTTAGTTAAAATTAAATCCAAGAATCAAAGGGTTTTCGTTAATACAATTGAAAGCTCTTTGAACATTTATTATTGCATATTTGAACATACATATGCAATAAGCAGGTTTCAGATGAGCAGAAATATTTCCCGACAGGTGTTTTATTATATAAAAGGGGCATCCCTAGGAATTCCAATTACAAAATAGACGATCATGGACCCGGCTTCCATAGCTTAATTGACAATTTTAGACCTGGTTCAGAATAAGCTGGGCTTGGCAACCTGTGTAGAAAACCAGAATCAGGCTCTGAAAGATTTATTTTGAACAACCGCATTGAGATCATTCAGACCCTGACCCAGGCTTTCTATTCAGGTTGCCGAGCCCAGCTTATTCTGAACCAAGTCTAAGATTGTCAATAAAGCTGTGAAAGCCGCGTCTATGATCGTCTATTCTGAGGGAAGAATGACTTTTCATCATCAAAATCGTCAATGTTGGGACTTTCTTCAATTCTTTATGGACAAAAATAGACTTGGAAATTCTATCATTTCTTTGTCGAAAATCTTGAGAAGAGGTTTTGACCGATCGTGTCCCAGCCACGAGCAAAATTCACCAGCAGAGTTATTGATGCAAATTATTCATCAGGCATTCGTTTATTGCCAAAGAAAAGTATTCATGAAGGCAGAATGATAGTTGCGCTCTGCAAATAAGGGATGAGATCGATGGTCGACTCCCCTGAGAGAAACTCGGCGGAATTGCGTGCCTCTTTTTCGACTTTTTCTTTGCTCATTTGAGAAGGAGAGAAAGAGAGCGGCATTTGCAGCGAGTTTCTTGGGATTTGCTTAGTTGTTAATTAGAGAGCGTTTTTTGCTGCTAATGATCGCGCGAGTGAATTAATTATGCAAGTTTATGGGCGGCTTAATTGAGTGAAAAATAGCCGAGAGGCGCGTGTGCGTCGATACATTGATTAACTCGGGCCAGTAATCAAGTTACTCCTCTGGGCAAAGACACATTGATGCAATCGGCATTCTTTTTGATCCCCCTTCCGTGCCCTTCCCCCAGGGCATCATGCGTGCCCAAAGCGCCACCTGCTGCACAAAATAGCCAATTCGCCAGTTATGAAAACCAAAGCGGCAAAGCTTTCTTTTTCGAAAACGATAATTTTAACTTTCTTTTTCTCTAGATGAAAATTCAGTGCGTCGTTGTTTCCCCTCATCCGTCATTTCAAATTTGCAGAGAGCAAGACTTCTACCGCAGAATAGCCCACAATGAAGATAGAAGATGGCTTCAGAAAATAATTGATAATACTGAGCCGACTTCTATTCATTGTCGCTTTTAATGCGAGTCCAATCGACCAGCTTTTTTGGCTTGAAATCAAGGAAGAGAACCGATATCAGCATTGCTTGCGAGAACATCGACATTTTGAATAAAAAATTACTAAAAAGGGCTCAAGCTGGGCTCGAAAATCTGTGTAGAAAACCTGAGTCAGGGTTGCTGCTTTTCATTTATGATATTTCAGACCCTGACTCAGGTTTTCTACACAGGTTGCCGAGCTTTCTGTTGCTAGTAGGTGCATTTATTGATAATTGAAGTTGTATGGCAGTTTGTATAGTAAATATAATCGTATAAATAGTGTTTTGCTTCTAGGGTTCTTCAGTTGGAAAGGGCCAGGAAACATTGATGCCGAGTTTGGAAAGCTCACGATTGTAGGGCCCGTAGAGATTTGCCAATTCTTCGGCTGTTTCTATCAAGTATTTTTGCTCCTCTCCTTTCCTTCAAAAGAAACATTTGATTCCTTATTCTTTTCGTGCTAGATATACCTGCTGGTTCCCTTACTGGAGTCCAAGCAAACTTCCTCGCCCTTGTAATTAACGACGCAGTAGAAGCCCTTGGTTGAATTAAACACAAAGTTGTCGCCAGTGACGCAGCGCGGCAAGTCCATGAAGCCCTGTACTTTGTCCATAACCTGATTACTAATTTAAAAAAGCGGCGCAAGTTCATTTCTTACTTCTCGGGGAGAGTGGCGGATTTCTTCTCCAGTCAAGATTAAAAACTGTTGGCGGGAGAATTTCGCGATGAATTTTTGAAGATAATACGAATAGAAACCGACTAAAAAAGAGGGTTTGTCAGAAAAAAAATTTCCACAGGCAGATATGCTGGGATCTAGACTTGGGAGCCTGTGTAGAAAACCTGAGTCAGGGTCTGAAAGATCTCTAGTGCAAAGCCGGGTAGCGGCTTTTTCGAAAACGAAGCCGCTTTGCGGCTTCATTAAATAAATAGCCGCTACGCGGCTTTGCACTAGAGATCTTTCAGACCCTGACTCAGGTTTCCTACACAGGCTGTTAAGTTTTATTGTTTTAGGTTTTGAAAAAATACCTGTTAGGATGGATAAATGACCATTATTCGTAGTACTATTGTACAAATCATTTTCCAACAGCGCCGTCATCTTCTTTTCCTTCAAAATTCTCAGCCTGGTCGAAGTGCGCATCACGAAATCGTCAAAGTTTTGAATCTGATTTTGTGCGAGGAAATTTCTGAAGCCAGACGATTTGCGAACTTTGTGGTTGAAATCGGAAAAGGCGCGGTCGATCGGGTTGCAAATCACCAAGATGAATTTTGCGTTTGGAACGGTTTCTGCTATCCGATCAAGCGCTAGAAAGGGGTAAGGGAAGAGCTGTATCGGATAATTCAAGTTGTTAGTTGACAAACCTGGTGGGTAGACAAAGTATTTCGGCGTCTTTTCAAAAACGATTTCATCTTCTGCAACTTCTGGCAGTCGATCGAGATACCAGTCGATCCCGTTTTCCCATTTTTTGTCGAAGAAAGCGAGCTCTTCGTGATCTGGAGAGACTTTGACTTTCGGATGCGCCGTCATGTAGTAGTGCAGCGCGGTGGTGCCGCATTTCTTAGCTCCTAAGCCGATGACATTTGGCAGTAATTTGCGCTTTTCTCGCCCGTCCGGGTCTGCTTGGCACTCATCGTCTGAATTTGAAGGTCAAATTTTGGGAATTTTGAGAATTCGTCTCTAGAACGTGGCTTGTTGTTTGGGCAAAAATGGGAATTTCTTCAGTCTTCGGATGTTCACAGTCCGGAAAGCAGCAAATATAGGTAAATTTAATGTTTTTTTATATTTAATTATCTTTAGATTTCTTCAAAAAGAAGAAGAAGAAAGTTACTCGAAAGAAGCGAACAAACTCATCAGAATAGCATATTCTGAATCAATGTGCTCTTTGCCTTACTGGCCGGTTTTCTTCTTTTTTACCTGAATAAAATCAATTTCTTATATCAACTTTTGTGTGTTTTTACTTGCAGGCTTAGTTAGCTTAGATCCTCGTTTCGGTTGTGAGAGTTTCGGTAGTAGGGAGTTGTGCTTTGAGCTGCCCCTAACCAGGCTCTTGTGTACATATCCTCACTAAGGTTCGGAAAGGCTTGTATGGAAAGCCGCGTAGCGGCTTTTTGAAATTCATTATGACGAAGCCGCGAAGCCTCTTTGCAACATAAACAGTTAATTTTATTTTTGAAAATCGACATTGGTTTTTGAAAAACCGGTAATCATATGCGGCAAATGCGGCTTTTCAGTCTTTTTGACAATGACTCAGGTTCAGGGCCGAGTCGAGGCTCCTGAACCCAAACCTAAACCTAATCACCAGTGGTGGTCCACCACGCCCCTTAACCCACCAGAACCGCACATAAGGCTTAAAATAGGGGCTTTTCCAGGAAAGACAGTAGGAATATGATTCTATAATTTTTACCTTTTGGCGTGCGTAAATTTTTGACTTTTAAAAACCTTCTTCCTTGCAAATCGTCAAGCTCTTCATTCGCTGGATAGAAAAGATATTCTCTGTTTGGCTGGTGTGGATAAATATTATCTGGTAAAAATATAAAAAGAAACGACGAAAACGACGGCGATGTTACCTCTCGTGTGATAATTTTTGATGGGCGTTCGTTTTTCTAACGGAGCGAGGCAAAAGAGGATCAGGACGAGGGCGATGCTGCTGACGAATAACGTGACGATTTTTCGGTGCATGTGCGAGGAAATCCACCCGGAAGTCAGGCGCTTTTTCATTTAATTTCTGCAACAAAAATGGTCATTTTTAAAAACTGGTTTTTGGAAATTTTCATTAGAAATTTTCTCTCTCTTTTTGATATTTTTATCATTTTCTCAAGAAAATTGACTGTAGTACTCACGTGATCACCATGTCCACCGAAGAGGACATGAATTGTGTACAAAAATAGCTCAGTGCATTTTCGCCGATAACAAAACTCAAACTCTGCCCCGCGGCTTGGCAATTCTATCTCACAGTTAAATATTAAATAATCTGCACGGCTCCCCAAATCTCCACCCTTTTTCACCTTTTTTAAATTCAGGGTAATACTGGGAGTTCTTGAATTCTGAGGACTATTTTTTATTATGAATTGTCGTCTCGCCCCTAAAATTATTCAAATCTGTTCGGCAGATCAAGATTTTTCAGTTTTATCGATATTTTAAGGCGACTGAATCCCCTCGATTATAAAACTCAAAGTGAAACGAAGCCTTCCAGTCCTCCACCATCTCCAACACCGATATCTTCGCTTGATATTTATTACTTTTGAATTACTTTTAATTCATGGGAAGCTATACTGTTTAATTCGACTCCGATATTGCCTTGAATAAGGGATAGTTTTTTGCATTTGTTTAAGCGGCAGATGAGAAATATAGTGCAAGAAATGTTCTTTTTCGAAATTTCCGGGAAGTTTCTATGTTTTTAACAATCGTTTCGTTCGTGGAAGAATGCTTTGACTTTCCTCGCGGCTCGAATGATTTGGCGATACACTTTGCCTCTTCCCTGGCAAGCATAATGTCTAGCGTGGCTGTTAATCGCGGAATTGATTTGCTTGTTCAGTTTGCATATATCATTGTTGTCAAAAACAGACAAATCGGCTGATTCTTCGTCCTCTTCATCGAAGCCATTTTCTTCGTAACAATCTTCTCCAGTAGCGGACAATGTAAGTTTCTCAAAAATTTTGTTGGTTCTTCCTTCGTATCGTTCGGCGAAACCTGTACCAGCGATATTGTCGAGAATTATCTGAAGAAAAACAAAAGTTTGCTAAATACACTTTCTCTCTTACGGAAGCATGTGTACGGAGAATCGATATTCTTTCTGCAACTGTTGTTGTTGTTGTTGTTGTGGTTGTGGTTGTTGTTGTTGTTGTTGTGGTTGTGGTTGTTGTTGTTGTTGTGGTTGTGGTTGTTGTTGTGGTTGTAGTTGGGGTTGTTGTTGTTGTTGTCGTTGTTGTAGTTGTTGTTGTTGTAGGCCGGAAAGATTTGATTTCATAGTCTTTGACACCAAGATCAGATACAACATATAAATCTCTAGCGCCTCCTAATTCTTTCTTTTCACTGTCGCCTCCGAGAACATGAGGCATAATAGAAGGAGTAAATGGTAAGCCATCAGAAATGAGCATCGCCCTTAAAATTCCGTCGATTTCAATTCTTCTAAAAATTTTTCCATCAGCGCCGAACCACTAATAACACTGTAAAAATTCGAAAAATTGAGTTAGAATACTTGAGTGATGACGATTTCCATGTATCTTCCTTCAGAACAATCATTCTCGCGAATAATTAGAGATTGGCCGTTATTATTCCAAAAAAATGAAGTGTGTCAGCACTCGGATCGATCCAGTTCAACTTGCCGACAAGAATTTCATAGTAGTAGAACGGTGAAAATGGGGATGTATTGGATGTGGTTCTAATGTCGAAAACAGGAAAACTTCTGACAATGTATGACCATTTTCTAAACGAGGATAAATTAATAATGTTTGAAGATTATAAATTTTTCAATAATGCTCGCTAATCATCCTATAGACTAAAATTTCAACCCTCGCCTGAATCCATGTGCTCGTATTTTAGCAAAATTGCACTCGACTTTCACTTTAATTTGAAACTCTTCGGTATCTCTGATTTCACAGGTAGGGTAGAATTGTTTCCTTGCTCCTATGATACCCGCTGGTGGAGGTTGGAGTTCTGATGCACGGATTGGCAAATTTCCGATCAAATTTTCTTCGCAAGTTGCTTCTTGAACTGGCGGCGTCTTCAAAAAAGAAACTGTTATAAAGCGTTTTTGTTTGAAATTTCAATAAGCCCAAGTTCAAAGCCTAGACAACAAAATTGTTTTCAACACTACGTCAAATTTGAATAGCATAAAAATATTTCTTCTTACCCATGCTAGATCGCAGAGTGCAATTTCAAGTAAAATAAAAACAATGTTCTTCATCTTTAAATTGACAAGTGCTTTAAAACTTCACTAGTTTTATAGAGAGAGTGGCGCAAAAGAGCTTTCATTATCATGAAACCGAGGTATAAGAGATAACCACGTGTATCCAGTTGATAAAATCTCCATCATCGGATCAAGTACATGGAAACTTGAACGTCCTCCGAAGGATGTTACGACACCACGAAATGTTATCACATATCATTGATAACCCTATCAATATCTCTACTCACCCATGCATTGAGCCATGCTAGATCGCAAAATGCAATGGCAACTAAAAAGAAAAAGATATTCTTCATCTTCTATAAGTGATAAGTTTTTTTTTACTTTTATTTTTCAAATTTATGCCAAAAAAGGCGCCAAAGAGCTCTTACTTTGGTAGAAATGAGAGATTAGAAGATAACATCGTGTTAGAAAATTGGTTGGCGTTTAGAAATTGGTTGACGCGGTCAGTTGGAGAATTTTGTAAGAATCAGAATAGTCGGATCTTTGGGTCGGTAACAAATTGGTACCTACTCTGAACGTTGCTTCCGAAAGCACGTCATCTTATTACGCCTTTTTCAACGTATCTAGCCTTTTAGAGCGGGAACGGTCGGACTCATTACCAAAATTTTTGGTAACCCATTACCAATTTTCGGTAGTCGATTATCAATTAATTTTAACTTTTTCGCCAAGTTTATGAATAAAACACCCACCAAGTTTTCTATTATACAGGCGCGGAGCGCACACTCGCTCTTTGAATGAAAAAAATTGCCACTTTTTTGACGAATTTGGTAATGCATTCTCAAAATTGGTAATGGGTTACCACAATTGGTAATGGGTTACCAATTGGTAATGAGTCCGACCGTTTCCCTTTTAGAGCCTGGGTCTTCAACTTAGACCTGCAGGTCGTTTTCTTCTGGATTGCGGCTTCTTTTGAAAGGGACGATCCATCCTTCTTCGAGGACTTAGGCGATGTCTTCTAGCGGTACCCCTTTCGTTTCAGGAAGAAACAGAAACAAAACTATAAGAGCTACTAGTGCGAATATTGAGTACACATCAAATCTCGGAGTTGACCGCCCATGGAACAGGTCCCATTCCAGAAGCAAAGAAAAACAAATATAAAATCATGCCGAGAAAAGGCATCCACGAAACAGTAGTTTTTGGGCAGTACTCTTCCGACCAAAACGAGCCATCACCATTTTTGCAAGCCGATTGATTGACTGATAGACAGGTTTGTACACCGCTTTGAGAGCAAAATCCACAGGAGGCGTCGGATACGCAACTTTCACAGATTTGATTGACGTAAGAATTACTGTGTGCGTCCGTTCCGTTGCTGGTTATTTTTTCTTCCAGCGAATTGTTCGAGTAAAAACCGCCAGAGAGCAACAGAAGGCTAGCGCAGCTTCCAGCGACAGAAAACAGAGCTAGGATTCGGCGACCAATTCGCTCTATCGAGATTCTCGATTCGAGAACAAGCCGATAAGAGTGGCGCCGCCACCTGGCCGCCCGCCAGTCAAGCTCTACTCTCAATACTTCCCTGAATCAGGGACCCCGATACAAACATTGCGACTTTTCTCATTCAACGGGTTTTTGGTTTCTTCATTGACCTTGGGAAGTACAGTAGGATGAAACAATTGCAGTGTGTGCTTGGCGCGAGAGGTGGTTGAATAGTCCACCGTTGACTGGGTAAATACCTATTCTTCAAGGTATTCTTGTATTTCTCGGGCGGATTTTTCAGGATTTTTTACGGGCGATTTGCTCCAAGACGTATCACATTTTAATTATAAAAATGCGAGTTTCCTCGCATCCAAAAGAATTAACAAGAGAAGCTGTTGAAAAATGGCTGGAAGATTTCAAAAAGAAATTGAAGAGAACGACCAGCAGAGAAGATTTGGACAGATTGATTTTGTCCGTGGAGAGATACGACTTTGAAGATGAAGATTGTGCTGGATGGGATGAGGTCATTTTTGAAAACGGAAAAGGAAAAGTTTTTGGAAAGCTTTGGAAGAAAATTTTTTCAGAAGAATGGGAAATAACTTCTTTTCAAAAAATGATCCTCGACATTAATCCGCAACTCGAAGGGAGAATGATTCAACGCTCAGAACTGAAAGAAGAAACTGGAGAATGGATTCTCGATGAATTTTTTCAGGAAAAAATAATTTCAGCCGGAGGAGAAGCGATTGTTTCGAATGAAAAATTTGGAGAATTTGAAGTCGCCGTTCGCGTTCAGGCTTTTGACTCGGCGCTTTTTGTGGAGAAGTATGAAGAAATTGAGTTTGAAATTAATCTTTCCGAAGGTTATTATAATTATTTATTATGTTTTGATTTTCTCAAATTTAAGATTACGAAATCGCTGAAATCTACGAAGAAGACGACGCTCGAGTTATCCCGGTTCATCCAAACGTGATCAAAAACTTCTGCAATATCGAAATTTACTCAATCAAAGACGAGAAAAGAGAGGACTGCCTTGGATGGATTACGATTATGGAAAAGTGCGAATTCGATTTGAGAAGCAGACTGAAAGAAGAAGATTTGAGTTTAGAAGAAAGGAAGAGAATTGCGATCGGAGTTCAAGATGGATACAAGTACTTGGCGAGCATTGGAATTTTGCATTGCGATCAGAAGCCGGAAAATATTTTACTGAAAAATGAAGAATGCAAATGGATCGATTTTGGGACAATTCAAGAGAACACTGGAAGGGAAAGCTACAGAAGAATGGGTTATGCGAGAAGAGGGGCAAAATATAGAGCTTATGGGTACTTGTGTAAGTTTTGAATTGAAATTATTTGAAAATAATTAGCTCGTGTTATATTTTTTCTCAGTTGCTGGATCTGCTGCCTTTTCGGAAGGTAATCAACTTTGTGAAGCAGGAGCAGGAAGAATACACGCGTATTCACCACTACACGTTTTGATTCTTTGTGATTGGAAAACAGCCTGGAGCCTTCTCTTCAAACCGATCGAAGAAGACGAGAGAGAAAAGATCAAGAAAGAACTAAAGGTATTACCTCTTAAAGAGCTTGTTTCTGCAATTGAAGAAATATTCAAGGCATGTAATGCTGAGTGGCTATCAAACGAAACTCCCTCATCCAAACAAATCAAAAACTTGTCAAAAATAATTTCTCTAAAAACGCGCCTCCAAATTTTTGCCTGGATGATCCAAATTTGACTAAGTCGTCGGCAATGGCCAATCTCAAACAGAAACTGACAAGACAGATTAATTTCGACTTCAAAAACGTGACGAAGAATGTATTTAACCAAAAAGAAAGCAATCTTTGTGTCCCAATTTCGGTTTCTGTTCTTTTGAGATGGGCAATAAAAAATGATTTAAAAGATACAATTGTCCCATTTACCGATTATCAGATAGAGGGATTTTTTACTCTCGAAAAAATCTTCATTCATCTGACAATGGGACGGAAAAATATAAATTTTCGGTTTTGACAAAATGTCGAAAACGTAACATTTTCAAAATTCTAAAAGTGCAGTTATCTCAAGCCTGAACTGCGATTCAAGAATTTTGAAAAAATTTTGTGATTTCATTATTACGAAGCGTGGGCGGCGCGATCTAAGAAAAAGTTATGAACTCGCCTAGGGACCAGGCGTACTTATTTTCAGATTTTTTAGACTCAATTATTCTCTATGATCCAAGGATTGTCACAATTGCTTCAGATCGAAAATTGCTCATCGCAATCCTGAAATATTGCGTAATTTGTTATTTTCTCGTATAAACTATTAAATTATTAAACCAATACTAATTATATTGAATAAATGGCCATGCTCGGCCGTTATATGGCCACTTATGGTCGAATTCGGTCGAGTCTGGCCGGAGGACTTCCCGGAGGACCACCCTGGTGGAAAACTAACTGCTGGAAGACCAATATTAAAAAATAATAAATAGCCTAAGAGGAACAATTATTGCCACTTTTGTCGAGCTTTGGTCATTTTCTGCCGGAGGACCTCCCGGAGGACCAACCTGGTGGAAGACTATCTGCTGGAAGACCAATATTAACAAAAAATAATAAATAGCCTTACAGGAACAATAATTGACATTTTCGGCAAGCTTTGGTCATTTTCTGCCGGAGGACCTCCCGGAGGACCAACCTGGTGGATGACTTACCGCTGGAAGACCAGTTTTAACAAAAATTTCTGGATGACCATACAGGGCCAATAATTGCCATTAATGGCTAGTTTTGGTCATTTTCTACCGGAGGACTTTCTAAAGGACCGCCCTAAAGGAAAAATAACTACTTAAAGACCAACATTTGAGAAACATTTGAAAAACCGTTTGGACCCTTTTGCTAAAAACCAACTATCTCAGGGCCAATATAACAAAAATTGCCTAAACAGTCAAAAAAACTTTGGGATGCCATAAATCCATGATAGACACAACAGAAACTGCATGTTTCTTAAAACCGTTTTCTTCGATATTATGCGTAAACAAAGCCTTAACATAAATTAAACTAAGTCTGAGAATCAAAGCCGACCCGAAGGGAAGGCCACGCCTGTTTATTAAATTCAGTCAGGAACAGGACGAAGCCGACCCGAAGGTAAGGCCACACCTGTTTATTCAATTCAATCAGGGACAGAGCGAAGCCGACCCGAAGGGGAGGCCACGCCTGTTTATTCAATTCAGTCAGGGACAGGGCGAAGCCGACCCGAAGGGGAGGCGACGCCTGCTAATTCAATCCAGTCAGGGACAGGGCGAGGCTGGACCGAAGGGGAGGCAACGCCTTATTATTAAATTCAGTCAGGGATAGGGCGAAGCCGACCCGAGGGGGAGGCAGCGCCTGTTTATTCAATTCAGTCAGGGACAGGGCGAAGCCGACCCGAAGGTAAGGCCACACCTGTTTATTCAATTCAGTCAGGGACAGGGCCAAGCCGACCCGAAGGGGAGGCGACGCCTGTTATTTCAATTCAGTCAGGGACAGGGCGAGGCTGACCCGAAGGGGAGGCAACGCCTTATTATTAAATTCAGTCAGGGATAGGGCGAAGCCGACCCGAAGGTAAGGCCACACCTGTTTATT